GTGAGCATCACTGATGGAAGTGAGCATCACTGAAGGAATTGAGCATCACTGATGGAAGTGAGCATCACTGATGGAGATGAGCATCACTGATGCAAGTGAGCATATTTTTTCATTCGATTTGGCCGCTTTCCAAACTGGGGTAACAGGCGAACAGAAACCAGCAGCAAGCAACTGAAAACTGGTATAAACTGTTATAAAAACATTTGGGCAAAAATAATAATTGGTATAAACTGTTATATTTCATTTTATGCATTTATACCTATTTGTTGCCGACAACAACAGCTTATGGCAACAACAACCTTTTTACAACAACATCCCTACAGCAGCCAATCCAAATTTCCGAACATTTCCATGCAAATTGCCCGTTTCCCAAATTGGGGTAACAGGCGAACAGAAATCAGCAGCAAGCAACTGAAAACTGGTATAAACTGTTATAAAAAGTCCAAGTTTCAAACCATTTCGGAGCCGGCGGAAGTAAGCGGAGACTCAAACCTTTTGAATCCAAATTTAGGTGTTATTTTACAACTGCACCTGGGCACACTGAAACTGATCGTCGTTAAATTCAAATTTGACAGTTAAATTCAAATTCAAATTTGGCAGTTAAAATATTTAAAAATTTTTTTAAAATTCTAAAAAAATTTTAAAAATCCAAAAAAATAAGTTAAAATATTAGAAAAAATTTTAAATCTAATTTGAGACATGAGCTTCTGGTATTTTATCAGAATTTTGGTATAAATTTTATGAAAATCGGACGACTATATCTTATAGCTGCCATAGGAACGATAGGGAAAGTAATAGACAAAATTATAACTTCGTTGTTTTTCAACGTATTTTCATTTACTTTAAGACATGAGCTTATTTCAGAATTTTGGTAACAATATTATGAAAATCGGACAACTATATCATATAGCTGCCATAGAAGCGATCCGTAGATGTAGAGAAAATGTAAAGCTGGGAATGTATAACTGTAACTTTCAAACTGTAAACATAATAAGTATAGGTAAAATGTTATGAAACTCTGTTTAGTGTCTGTTTTCGGCATTATAATTTATGATATAAATATGAAAACCAATCTGCAAGGGTATACAAACTTCGGCGAGCCGAAGTTAGCTTCCTTTCTTGTTCATTTTTCCTTTTCCTTTCTCCTTTTTTTTTTTGGTGGAATATTTTCTATTTTTAATCGCCCAGCGAATGGCAAAGGAAATAATCACCTCTCCTTCGCCAAGAACATTGTCCATATCAATTATTTGTGGGGGAGGGGGGAAAACTGTGGCCAGGATGGGGCGATGCAAGGCTACGAGGACGAAAATGTTTCAGTCTAATCTACATGCCGACAGCTTTATTTGCACAAAGCTTTCGCAGAGCGGTGGCCAGCGAAGCGCGACTGTCACAGTAATCCCACCACCCACCATCCACCAGCCACCTCCCTGAATCCTCCTCCTCTCCTGCAGTGACCAAGTATGCAACAAGGCCCTCGCCACCGCTCAATCATCATTAAAAGGCAAGAAAGGGCAAGAAATGGGGCCTGGACCCAGCAGGACCTCCACGAAGATGGATAAGGCTCAAACAGACGACAGCGTCCAGCGGATGTCGCTGTTGGGAGTCTGTAGTCGGGAGTCCCTTTAACATTTCCCTTTGGAGGCGATTCACTCAAGCGCCGCAAAGTGCTTCCTCTCTGGCAAGGACCATGGCCAAAACCAAGTCTGAGCCGGAGTCCGGGTCCCCGAAACCAAGACATCTCGTCCCTGTCTGCCTGTTGCTTGGCAAAAGCAAAAAGCCAGCCCGTGTTTTCTTGAAATTATTTTCAAAAATTTAATTCTCTTAAAAAGAGTGCTAGAAGAAATTTAAATACATTTTTTAAAGATTTATTTTATCTGTGAAATCTCATAGAGGAATAATATATTATTAATTTTTATATAGTTAAGCTTCTTGATTACATTTTTAGTTGATTAATTTCTATCTTTAATTATTTCTTACATTTCCAAATTAAATTCTCACAAAGTCGGTTTTAAATCAACATAAAAATATCCCTTTTCGTTACCTAATAAACCCGAATTTCTTCCAGTGCTTCGCCTCAAGTCGAAATTGCAATGTCGCCAAGTCGGTGGCCCTTTGGCGCTGTTATCGTTTTCGTTTCCGGCATCGCCGGCAGGTCCTGGGCCGCCGAGGTCCTGCGGACATCGTGTGGCCACCCAGCTGTGAGCCAACTTTGTCGAGCAATTATTTTTAGCGCAGCTGAAGCGGCGCGGCGTTTACTTCATCTCGCTTCTGCTCCTGCTCCCTGCTGCCCTGCTCCCCTGCTTTGTTTGCCTTTCATATAAACGAGTGCAAATACTTTTTTAAGTGCCTGTATGCCGCTGTTGTGGCTGTTGTTGTTCTTGTTGCGGCTGTTGACAGTTGTCGGCCTTTGAAGTGGCAAAATATTTGACAAGAAAATGACTTTTCCGGGGGTAGAGTCAGGGAATAGGTAGTCGGTAGTCCCTGGTCCTTGGTGTATGTTAATGCTGTGGCCAGTGGCCAGACTGGACTTGCCTTTGGCTTTGCTGACCTTAATTCGTGGGCAGTCGACTTTGAGTCCTGGCCATTTCAAGGAACAAAACCGGAACGGAACTCAGGTCCTTTGTAATCTTACAGAGGCAGAGAAAGGGAGAGAAGGAGAAGGCTCTCTCCTTTTGTAAGAAATTTGGCTAATTGGCCACACATTAAAATGTTTTTTGTATAATAAGCAATTAGCTTTAATTGATTTTTAAGCATTTTAGGTAAATAAAGAAATACATTTTCAATTAGTTTTGAATGAACTTTCCAAGTCTTTAATATATATATCTTAATACTAAATTGATTTTAACAACTGTTCAAAGCCTGTATTGATGATATTTTAAATATTTTTCTTATTCATTTTATACCTTTTTCCAGTCTCAAGTTCAGGCTAATTCCTGAATTATTAAGTGGCCTTTGCTTATACAGGATAAGCCCAGCTCAACTGGGGTTCTTTTCAACCTTGTGCGCTTCAGCTTTTTCTAATTGGGTTTGGAATTTGCTGGAATATACAGAGAAAGTCTTAAATATTGTATATAAAATGTGATTTTATTTTTGTTTTATTTTTGCTTAAACTTTCACACATTGCGCATTTATGCATACATTTGTATTGTTAATCCTTGGCCTTGGAAGGAGACGTGGTACTAAAGGATTTCCCGGCCCATTTGCAATAATGATTTGGAGCCACTCGCACTTTAGTGCTGCATAAAAAAGCCTGCCGTAGGTAGTTCGTTTATAAAATAAACTGTTTAATGTAATTGTACATTTTTAATGGAAATCAACTGAGTGGAAAGTGGGGAGAGTAAACTGTTGATGTGAAAGTAATAGTGGGTTTTTTGCAGCTAAACCCAGAGCCCTGTCCATTATGGCACCATTAAGTATTCGTTTTGACTTTAAATTGATTATAACGTTTCAATTTATTTTAAATAAATTATGAGGCTTTCTTTTTTCATGTGGTAATCAGTAATCAGTTCATAAATTACCAATTCTGACATCTATCTGCTGGGAATGGAGATGGGCTTGAGGTCCTTTTATCCGTTAATCATCCGCGCGGACATCGTTTCATTTAGCCATAAATCTGTGGGCTGCTTTCCAACTTCCAAGAACCAAGAAGAAAGTTTTTTTTTTTTTTTTTTTTTTTTTGTATTTTTGCTTTACCCCAAAATTTGAGCATTCTTTTTCCGCTTAGAGGGGAAGGAGGAGGAGGAGGATGTGGGGCTCACCGCAAGCCAAGCATAACAATTGCTTTTTATTTTATGATCGCCGGCCAAGGACGATGCTTCCTGGCCAGACAGACAAATACACCCGCGGAAAAGCCAGCACATTGCTTGTCTTTAATTATGTTTTGGTCCTCGAGTTTTGTGCATTGCCTTGTTTATTTTTATTACCCGGTAAGAGGGGGGACGGGCGGCGGCGTCTGTGCCTGTTTATTTACATTAATTTTTTCAATTTACCTTTATTGCCACAGCGCAGAGGGTCGGTCCTGGTTCGGTTTTCTGCGCCGGGACTTAATTAAGCTGTCAGCTGGTCCTCCCCGGATACCCTCCTCAGTCTGTATAGCTTGTGTTTGTATTCGAATCTGAATCTGTGAGTTCCTGAATCTCCGAATCTCGGCTGCCCACCCGAATCCCCTTTAATAATAATTCGCTTTATTTATGCTTTTTCCCACTTTTCTCCTTGGAATTTTCCAACTCCTCCTGCTGCTGCGGTCGTCTGGCTTCCATTTCCGCTGCAAGCAGCTAATTTTTCTGGTAACTGGAGGGATATTTGTCCTTTGCCTAAGTGGCCAGTTCTTTCCGGCATCCGCAATCTGAATCAAAATCAAAATTCAAATCAGAATCAAAATCAAAAACGTTCCAAAAAATCCTGGGTCATGGGGTGGGCCACCACTTTTGAAATTTCCGACGCAATTTCCGTTGTCAACACCTTTGACAGCTGTCAGACGCACACGCAGACACTCTCGAAACACACACACCCTCACACACACACACACTTGTGTGCCGTTCGATTTTTTTTTACTCCTTCTCTGCTCTTTTTTTGCCCTTTTTTCTTGCCTAGCGGAAACGGAAATTGTTAGGCTTAATAGACAATTCGCATTTCCTGGCTGCCTTTGAAGTCCTGCCTGCCCCTGCCATTGATCCTTGCGCACAATTGCACAAATCAAGGAGTCTGCTTAGTGTTTCTCTCTCTTCTCTCTTCCTCTCTCTCTCTCTATTGAGAAGACGGAATCACAATAATTATAATATTTAACCTTCCTGCACCTTGGGCCTTCTAATGAGGCGTCGTTGCCAGCAGGACATGCATAATCAGGGGACAGGCCACAGGATATGAATGAATAATCGGGCAAACGTGAATGAATGCTTCAATCCGGGGCATAAATATGAAAATTATGGCTAAAAGCAGTGAGGGAATAATTAATTGCAGTGTAGCCCTAACTCAAGGACATTTCCCTTTGTGTTTTCCAGATACTGCGTGGAGTTCGAGGTACTCAAGGCCTCCAAGGCCTGCCACAAGCTGCCGCCCTACAACCTGATGATGGAGGGTAAGGACAATACGCAAAAGAAGCCTTAGAGTTTCTGTGATAACATAAATCCTTCTCCCTCCCCAGGCGATCGCATCACCGTGCGCTGTGACCTCGAGGCTCTGATCCAGGACACCGCCGCTGTTAGCTCCACCACGGCCAGGATACCGCCGAGCAGCACCAGCTCGGGCCAGGAGGAGGAGCAGCAGGAGCGGGACAACAGCAGCGCCAGCGATGAAGACATGACCGGTCACAATAACGATGAGGAGCCCGAGGAGGACGAGGACGAGGAGGATGTGCAGAACACCCTGGACACGGGCAGCAACGAAAGCTACGAGTATCGTAACCACCAGCAGCATCATCAGCAGCAGCAGCAACAGCAGCAACAGCAGCAGCTCCCTGCCTCCCAGTTCCAGTCGCATCGCCGGCCGCCAGCAGCTGGGGCCAAGCGGAGTGGTGGTGTCCCAGTGACGCCTCCGCCAACGCTGGCGCCCAGCTATCACTGCCGCGGCGAGGGTCTGGCCGGACGCACGACGCGCTGGAGCGCTCTGGCGGCGCCCTCCTGTCGCGGCAAGTGGCTCCGGCTGACCGTGGGACCGCCGAAGAAGTGCAACCACGCCCAGTTCATCTTCGTCTAAGGCAGCGCAGCGGCTTGATACGAACTATTTTTTTGTCCTCACAGAGCAGAGGTAGCCCCTCCGTCATCATATCATCGTATGTCATATCCCAGTCCATGTCCCCCTACCCCCCCCCCCACACACACACACACACACAAGTACTCCATCGTATGTAAGCGTTTAATCATTAAGCCAGTGGATTAAGAGCCAGTATAGCCTGAGAGTGTGAGAGGTATGTGTTTTTTTTTTTTGTGTCTCGCCAGAGGAGCGATCCGGAGGAGAGCCCGCTCCTTCTCCGGTGAGCTGTGCCTCTAAGTAGCTTAGGAAACCCCCGCCCCCAGCACCTCAAGCCGGGGTCATTCTTGAATCGGATAATACTAGAAACTAGAGACTAAGTCATCAGGACCGCCTAACATCGGGCTGCGTAGCGAAAGAACCCTTCTATATATATATATACTATATATATATGAATGTGTATGAGTGTATCTGTATCTGTATTTGTATCCGTCTAATCGTTAGTTCAGTCTTCGACCTACACACACACACACATACACGCACACGTGGAGAGAAGCCCAAGTCCCTCTCAGCAAGTCCCCGAACCGACGATGGATCACCCCCTCTGGAGTCGGAATTAACGTTTGGATCTTAGCATTAATCTGGATTTTAGGTACACACACACACACACACGAATGTCGAAATAATAATTAAAATTATAATTAAACCAATAAAGCGATCATTCAATAAAGAACGAGTATAATTTTAAAGTAATCCGGGCACTTGGTTTCTTTTACTTCTCTTCCCCACATTCCCCCCATCTCCCACAGAGCTCTGGACCCATCGAAGATCATACAATTTTCCACAACTTGTTGAGTGACTTTAAAGAATACAAAGCAAGGGTTTATAAAAATAGATCTTTGTGAAATTTATGTTGAGCATATTGCTTTCGCACCCACTGTGCCGTGGCTTAGACCAGGTGAATGCGACTTAGCCGAGCCAAGTGGAGTTCTCTCAGCTGATTGACCCCATTTTCCAGGTGCTCCTCTCTCTCTCTCTCTCTCTCTTTCTCTTCCGCTCTTTCTCTCTCTCAGAAGAAAGGCGTAGAAAGAGCGGGGCTCTGGCAGCAGAAGAAAGAGCCAGGTCTAGAGCCTGAGCTGACGGCTAATTGATTAGTCCCAAAGCAAAGGCAGACAGAGAAGCACCTGTCCGAGGAGCACCTGCAGCTGAACCAGAAGACTCGAGTGATTCCCGTTCTCGATTTGCATTCTCCAGCTTGTCAGCCGCGTCAGTAGTGCCTTCTTCTGGCCCAGGTGATTCATCAGAAGTCGCTGGTTTGGTTCCCATTCTTCGGGCCGCGAGGAAAGTTGTCTTTCTTCGAACATGTTAATTGTGACGGGCCGTCGTTGCGTCGATTTCTTTTAACGGTCTGCGGTCTGCTAGCCTCTGGTTTCTAGACTTGGCCGAAAGCATTTTCGTTTTCTAGCCAATAATTCATAAGCTCCCAGTTCCTGCTCTTCTTCAAGAAGGTTCTCTGTCTCCGTAAAAGAGTGCCTCCTCAGTCAGAGCTTTAAGGCTTAACCTAGTAGCCATGTGGCCCGGACAGCAGGTGAGCCTCCTGCTGGTGGCCATCGCCATTGCTGCCATTAACCTAGAGAGCACCGCTGCCTTCCGACACAACTTCGAGGCCCGCCAAAGCACCAACTCGAATGTGCCCCTGTGGAAGCAAAGAGTGAGTTAAATAGACCTGGAAAATCGGAGAATATATCAAGAATCTAATGAGAATCCAATGGATTCCAGGCCTGCGAGAAGCCGAAGCAGAACGCTCACTACATCTGCGATGACAAGGGCGATTTTAAGTGCCTGCCCGGCTGGCAGGGCGATCTCTGCCAGGTGCCCATGTGTCGCCGTAGCTGCGATCCCATGAACGGTGGGTAGGGGAAATTCTTTTCGAGATCACAACCTATATCCTGATCTCTTACCCCCAGGCTACTGCCAGCGTCCTGGGGAGTGTCGCTGCCGCATTGGTTACAGCGGCGAGCTCTGCGACCAATGCATCCCGCTGCCAGGCTGCCAGCATGGCGGCTGCACCAAGCCCTTCGAGTGCATCTGCAAGCCCGGCTGGGCGGGACTCTTCTGCACGGAACGTAAGTTAGAGCTAGGCCTCCCTCTTTACTCCGTATATCCATCCTTCTCCATCCCGAATCCAGCTAGCTGCCGTAGTGGCTGCCACAGCACCCGGGGCTATTGTGAGGCACCTGGAGAGTGCCGCTGCCGGATTGGCTATGCGGGACGCACCTGCTCCGAGTGCGCCACGATGCCGGGTTGCCAGCATGGGACCTGCAACAAGCCGCTGGAGTGCCTCTGCCTGCCTGGCTACACGGGGCTGCTCTGCCAGACGCGTAAGTATCAAAAAGACAGCTCCAGATGCTCCAGATGCCAGCTTAACCATCTCCCTCTCTCTTTCTCTGGCAGCTCTTTGCGATCCGGATTGCAACAAACAGCATGGCTACTGCCGCAAGCCAGGCGAGTGCCGGTAAGTTACTACTGTTCCAGTGATATCGGTTACTTTATTTCCTGCTCCTCCGCCAGCTGCAAGGTGGGCTGGACGGGCAGTCAGTGCGACAAGTGCTTCCCCTATCCGGGCTGCGCCAATGGAGACTGCGAGACGCCCTGGGAGTGCAACTGCCATCCCGGCTGGGGCGGGATGCTGTGCGACGAGAGTGAGTAGCACTATACCCTAAATATACTAGTGGAACTAGCGAACCCACCACCCACAGAGCTCACCTACTGCCTGGAGCATCCGGACACGTGCGAGAACGAGGGCAAGTGCATTTCGCTGAGCCGCGAGGATGGCAGCTACCGCTGCCACTGCCGGCAGGGATTTCTGGGCAAGAACTGCGAGATACGCGATGACTTTTTGCTGACCTCGGTGGCCCCGCCGCGCATCACGCCCCCCACGCCCACCGAACTGGAGCTGGACCTCGACTTGGATGGGGATGTGGATGTGGACGCAGGTGTGCCCGATGACAGCACGGCGGAAAAGTTGCCGGCGGCTAACGAGCCGGAGCGCCGGACAAATGACACCGCAGCTGTGCCAACCGCAGGAGCAGGAGCAGGGGCAGCACCAGTACCCATGGCCCTCGGCACGATGGCCACAACAGTGCCGACAGTGTTGGCAACTGGAGCTGGCAGCCACAATGCGACTAATGAAGCGTTAAGCGCCATTACAACAAGGCGTGCCACCACGCCAGCTCCAGCCCCAGCCCCAGCCTCGCCATCAGCCACGCCAGCAACATCCGGGGAAAAAGCCGTAAAGGGTAATGCAACAAGTGTGGCACTTCCACATCCACTGCCGCCTCCACCACCCACACAGCTCACTGGCCATGAGCAGACAAAGGCAACTTTGGCGCCAGCTGCAACATCCGTGACCGGCCACAAGGACAGGCCGCAGGAGGAAGACGAAGAGGATGATGAGGATGACGAGGACGAGGAGGATGAGGGCGAGTACGATGAGGATGAGGAGGACGAGGACGAGGATGATGAGGAGGATGACAGCGATCAACTTATACCAAATATAATATAGTTAAGCGTTTGACTAATGGGGCATCGTTATCAGCCTGGCAGACTCTTTCGGGGCTTCTGGGATGGGAAATCTATAAACTAGGGAAATTCAAGAGAGCTTAAAGGTTAGACCTGCTAGACTTGTGGTATTTAAGATACTTGTATTTGTGCTGAGGTAGAAATTAAATATACAAAGTACGTATTACGAACATAATATGATGTATATCGAAAATATCGCTGTTTGAAATATCGATAAATATGTGGGATTTAACGGTAATATTTACGATATTTTTTGTATTTTTTTATCGATTACACATTTGAAAAAATTTGTAAGACAACACTTTTAAGCACCGCTTAATAGTTTCTAATTCATCTATTTATAAAAGAATATCGATTTATCGCAGGAATATCCAACTATAAATATCGATTTTCACATTTAAGATAAAGGTTTATTGATATTTGATATAAATCTTCTTTGTGAGACTTTCCAATTCTCCCCCTTTTATATATACTCCAAATTCATTTTTTTTTTTTTTTTGCATAGATATACATACATATATAAATTGTATTTATTTATGATAATTTTAGGGATTAAGCTAAGTAATTTTCAATTTAACAAATGTCAAAAAAAAAAAGATAATAATAATAATTATAATAATAATAAAGTTTGCGCTACTCTTAAGTGCTAAAAGAATCGTTGATCGAAGGGAATTCAGAACAGGAATCTGCAAAGGGGGGGATTGCACTTGGTTTTGCTTAAAACTAAGACAGAATCAGGGGGACAAACAGACGGGTAGGGGATCATCTATATAGTATGGCCAACGTAGCGCCAACGGGAGAGTACGGGATACGGAAGCCAGCACTTGGACATGGGCGTGAATAAAAATAGATATATGTACGTAGAGGGACGACTTACAAAACGACGAAAAAAATATGCTTGTGTGTGTGTGTGTGTGTGTGGAGAATAACTCAATACGAAATATCGATATGAATAAACATAGTAATAATTATGGGTGTAATGTTCGTTGCTCGAGGACCTAGTTGAGCTCCCGCTTGTCGCGCTGACTGATCTGGGCCATGGTGATGTACTGGCGCACCAGGCGCGAGATCTCGTGCGCCTGCTCCGTTTGGACGCGGATAACGCGCTGCTGCATCAGGTTGCCCACCTTCATGTCCAGGAAGAGGGCGCCGTCCTCCGAGCGAACCTGCAGAAAGCATTAAGTAGAAGATTAATAAATATTTCTTTTGTACAATATCAAACATCTCCAATGCCCACCTTGCGCGTGGATATCACCTCCATGAAGCTCCAGTGCTGCAGGGTCTCGTGCGTGTTGGGGTCCAGGAAGAGCACGCCACGCCGGTTGAGCGCCAGGATGAGGTCTCGCCACATCGGGCTGTGGTTATCCTCCACATGCGGCCCCTCCTCGGCCCAGATGCGCTTCACCGCAAAGAAACTGCTGCCAAAGAGCGGCCAAGCGGCCAGAACGTTGAGGAACTGGGCCTTCACCTGGCCGGGACTCAGATTGGCCACCTGCGGCCAGGCGGACTGCACCAGGCCCACCCACTGGGCGGGCCGGATCTCGCGTATGCCCAGCGCCGGCTTGGGCAGCAAGAACTTGATCTCCTTCATGGCAGGGACGTGACTCAGGTCGGCGGCTCGGTGCAGCAGGGCCGCTATCCGGGCCATGTCGCGTACCATCTCCGGCACGGGCACTCCGTTGCCGGGCAGCTCCAGCAGCAGTCCCTCCAGATAGTCGGGAGCCACCTGATTGAAGAGCACCTCCACGTACAGCGGCATGGGAGCCGGTTCGCGCTTCAAAGCAAAGTGCCACACCGACCGGCAGAAGATCAGGTAGAAGGGCTGGCCGGACTTGAGCAGTTCCGTGGTCACGTCCAGGATATACTCGTCGGCGGCCAGGGGCATGGTGAAGGCATCGCCCTGGACGATGCAGTACAGCGAGAACTCCTGCTGCTCGGCCTCCGATTCCACGCCGAGCAAGGCGCACAGCTCGGCAATGACATCGGCCACCACCGTGGAGCACCTTGTATTGACCACTCTTTCGGCTCCACCAGGCAATCGATAGATCTGTCTCCGTGCCGAGCGTCCAGCGGATACGGCCGTGACCTCCTCCACGCTGGGCACATTCTTGCGGCCACCGCAGCGGGCGGTCTTGCGGAGATTCGTCAGGCAGACGGCGGCGGTGCCATGGCAGGAGCGTCGCCTGTCCGAGGCGGCCGAAGTCAGATGCTCCATCAGGTAGGGTCGCAGGGCATCCGAGCAGCCAAAATATGCCGCCAGGATGCTAAGCAAACGCCAGGCGCGCTGCGAGCTATCCGGACAGGGTGACCTATTGGCCGTTGTCTGCTTCATGAGCTGGCAGTAGACTTCGTCGCGCAGCGCCAGATACTTGTGACAGTGCTGAAAGGGAAGGATAGGGGAAAGAAGGTTGGTCTCTAATCTCTGAAAGATCTTGCATAACTTTAAACTAACAAAATAAAAGCTTTCCAAGCCACTTCCTATCACCAAATTGCTGCTCACTTAATCTCTTCCGGTTAAGTCCAGCAGGTTTTTGTCCAAAAACCGGAATTGATCGAATGTCATGTTTTTTTTCCGGGAGACCCCCTTTGGGTTTCCACACCCAACTAGAAAGTGGAGCATCCAGTCCAAGGTCTTCTCCGGTTTTTAAAAACCCGCTTCAACTCACCATTAGCACAGTGTAAACGCACTTGACCTCGGTGAGGTCGGGATCCAGCGGTATGTCGCCGCAATAGCGCAGGATGCAGTCGAAGCACTCTAAAGCCAGCGGCGCCAGGTCATTGGGCAGACGGAGCAGCGGCAGGCGTATGGCATGGCCCTGCCACTTGACCAGCTCTGCGTAAGAGCGATTGGCGGCGGAGGACTGATGCCGCTCGTGATGCCGATCGGCGTCCCTCAGTTGACTAAAGAAGACATCAAAAGTAGACCTTAGGGGAGATCATTGGGAAAGGGAATTCCTAGCTATACTTACTCGTTGCGGAAGTGCTGCATGGCAAACTGGAGCAACGAGTACTTGGTCACCGAGGGCGGTGTGCCGCCGTTGCTCTCCTCCTGCAGATAGTTGGCATCCAGGTCGTGGTGAGGCAGCGACTGTGACTGATGCTGCTGCTGCTGCTGTTGGAGCTGCAGCTGAAGCTGCTCCTGCTGATGAGCCTGGCCATTGGTCAGGGAGGCAGGCTGCTGCTGCTGCTGCTGGCCGGCATTGGACTTGCGGGCGGAATGCAGGTAGCTCTGCTGCTTCATGTAGCGCTGACCCGACTGCTGCTGATGGTGCTCGGCGACCAGCTGCTGCTGCTGTTGCTGCTCCTCCAAAGCATCCTCCAGCTGCTGCTGATGCTGCAGGTGATGATGCAGCTCCGCCTGCTGCTGCTGGGACTCGTTCTGAGTGTGCTCGGAACGCTGGGCGTGCGCCTGGCGCGATTCCAGGCGCTCCAGCGGCACATTCAGGGTCTGGGCGGCGGCCCGAGCGCCCGAGGAAAGGGTCGAGGCCTTCGATTGTGACTAAAGGAATACAAGACAAGGTGAAAGGGTGAGTTAAGTGAAGAATATTCATAGATATTTTGTATTTAAGAATGTTTTAAACTTGAAATTATTAAACTAAGAGCAAACAAAGCCTTTAAAAGCGAGAGATAAATGGAAATTTCCTTTCCTTTAAATCAAATAATTATAATGATGACTCGAATGCCACCATCCTGGGTGGCAATTATTAGCGATATTCATTTTCCGCAGTGCATTGTGCAGCTGGGAGAGCCTGCAATTTGTTAATTGACTTGCAAGGCGCAGCTCGCAGCTCGATGGCCATGTCAATGGCATGTGAAAGTTGCTGGGCGCCTTTTTCGGCCAGCTTGGAGCGCAACCAGTTGCCAGTTGGAACATGGATGGGTTCGGGTTCGGGTTCGGGCCAGACCGGACCGGGACTGGCATTGATGATTTATGCTCGCATATTGACCGGTGACAGCTGGCGGGGATCGGGTATACGGGGCACCACCGAGATCGGTTTTCGGCAACGAAAGTGTTTCGATTTGGCATTGTCGATTTTTCACTTTTATTGCTTGCATTCAATTATTATTTGGCGCAATTTGTTGCATTTGCTTTCTATTTTTTTATTTTGTTTTTCTGCAACGCCCCCACAAAAACACGCAGCCACACATGCATCCATAGATACATTTGTATCTATGCGATACACTCGAATATCTGCACTCTCATGCGAGAAAAGCTTGGGCTTAGTAAAAGTTGTTGTTTGTTGTTTATGAAAGCGGAAATCTTTCACCAATCAATCAACTCTGCTGGCCATATTTGCGAAAAATTATGCGCATTGTTCAAATTTTGGACAGCCGCTAGGAAAATGGGAAAATATCGAGGCAAAGCCAACACTCAACATCTTAAATAACTGGTTTTTAATTTGAGATTATTTGCCAAACAATATAAATCCACAAGATTGGCTTAATTTTATGCGTGAAATTGTCAAGAGTCTTTGGATTTGTAACTTTCAGATTGATTCTGCTTTGTTTATCTTGGATATGTCGAAGTCTTTGATTTTTTTGTTTTTTTGTAAGACAAAACGGTAAATGTTATAAAAAAAGAGGTTTCTCGGGTTAACAAATATGCATACATGTTTCTAAGACATTTTCCTGTTGTTTTTTTTTGTAGATTTCTTAACTGCGGTTGGGGAAAACCGCAAGTAAATGTGAATTAAAAGTCAAAAAAATTGCCAAATAATAGGACTATCTTGTGTAATCAAAAAAGTGTATATAGCCAAGAACCTTTGAGCTTTAGTTTAGGCATTATTACACTAAAATATCTATAAAAAAAACTATTGCAAAGATAATCAGTAATTAGTACTGAGTCTTCGTGACTTGATTTATGTGAATAAAATCACCAAAAACACTTTAAAAATTCTTTAAGTGCCTAAAAATAATTTAGAAGCATGTTAATGGGAATTAAATCACCAAAAACACTCTTTAAGAATGTTATATGTACTTAAAAATAATTTAAAATGAAAAAGAGAAGCTTGGTAATTGATATCTTAACAGAGCGATTTCTGGCAGTGCCTAGAAAATGCATTACCCAAAAAAAAAAAAAATAAACCCAAACGTCGTGGGCAGACATCGAACTGATCTTCAGATCTTCAATCTCAGATCTTCGCCTGGGGACTAGGATCACCTAGTTATGTAGGCCTAATCCCGGAGCCTGGCTGTCTGGATCAGATCGTATCGTGGCTGTCAAAAGAACAACGACTTGGCCTGGCTTACATGGGCATGGAACTGGACTGGTCTGGTCTGGTCTGGTCTGGACTGGACTGGACGGGCGGCAAGTGGGTCAGATGGCCTGAATCGTATACCAGATGCTCCAGTTAGGGGCTCGCTTGCAGCGAGAATTCACATAGAGGAAAAACAAGAGTTAAATTTGGAGTGTAATTTCCAAGTGACCGCTAAAAAAAACTTTCTTTTCGGCTGGCTGGCTGGCTGCCTCCGTTCGGTGTTATTTCATATGTGCGCTTTTCTTTGTTTGGCCAGCAAAACGCGCGCGCGAGTTAATTAAAATTCGAATTAATGCCTGTCCGCTTGTCCGGATGGATTTACGGACTCTACGCGAGACGAAAGACCAAAAACTGCACCGAGAGAGTGTATATCGCCAGTGATTTACCTCGGGCGAATCTCGAGGCAAAGCGAAGGCCGGCAATAAAAACGCACAACGAAAAAGTGTAATTAAATTATTGAAATCAAATTACAGTTAAATTATAATGTTTTTTTTAGCTCACGCGTATAATAAACCATAATGTACTATCGCCGCCTGCATCTTTGTGGGTCATTCCATCTCACATACAATCCATCCCATGCCCGATTCCCCTCCAGTTCGTATTGTCTTTCCCTCGGCTTGGTCATCGAACTCTCTCGGAGAACGTGATGGCATCTCCGCTGATCCAGCACGATCGTTATTTCTTTCTAGAGGGAATCCGGACCAGGCCTCAACCTCAGCCAAGCTCCATTTTCCGGTCAACTCTGTGTAACCTCAAGAAGATCGATTGGGAGGTAATGCTCTTTGTTTTTAAGGGAATATATATATATTTATTTTAAATATTAAAAGTCGGGAAGTTCTTTTTGGAAAGCCTAATGCTTGTCAAGTGTTTTTAAAAGCTTTCAACAATTATTACAAATCTGGTGGAGAGTTTAAGGTTAGAAAAGTAAACCTGAAGCTAGGATAATAAAGGCTTGGAGTCTAGAAAATATAATTAACCAAGTTCCTAATTGATATAAAGCTAGAGAAGCTTTAATAATACATTTAAATTGTAGAGAAATAAATCCAAAATCTATTTCAAAACCTCAACTGCAATTGTGCTTCAGTTCAGGGTTTAATTCCATCTAACAATGTTTATTCGGGGGCCTGGGTGTCCGGCTTAATGTATCACTTGCAGTTGCATAATCGACACCCGAGAGATGGCCAGTTTAACCGCTAATTAGCCCACCAACCAGGCCAGGCCAGGCCAGGCCAGGTCCAAGCCCGGGACAGGTGATGTAAGATGGAGAGATGGAGAGAGAGAGAGAGGCTTTGAGTAGGCCGAAGGGGTACTGGGGTTTGATGGATGCGCTTGCCTTTTGTGCCCGCCCGTCTGGCCACGCTAATAATGCGATTATGTGCCGACTTAATAACACCGTTAGGCCCCCTACCATTAGCCCCAGGCATTCATCTGTCAGCGGGAGCCCTCTGCCCCTCCGCCTCGTATTTGTTTATATTTCCGAACTTGGTTAGGAGAAAATTGAAAACGCAGAAGCTTAAACGGTCACCAAGCAGGGAAATCATTGGAAAATATATAATATATAGCTTCCTTTCCGCTTTACCTCGTTGGAGTTCATGGTCTCAAACCGCGCCAGTATCTCCTTCACGGATATCTTGGACTCTGTGGGCTCCTCGAGGATGGTCTCCATGCGACTGACCGAACCGCTGCTGGCATTGCTCACCCGCCGGGTCTTATTGCCGCCCAACAGCAGGGCCGTCGATGGGGTCAGGAGACCAGGTGCGGAGGTAATAACAGGTGCAGCGGTTGGCATGGAACCAGCATCCATTACTGGCTCCTGGCTCTGTTCCTCCTCTTCCTCCTCCTCCTCCTCGTGGTTGTTATTGTCATCCCTTTGGCTTAGCTGCATCTTGAAGCTGAGCTGCTCTTCCAGGCAACACTGCTCGCACAGGCTGCCCCCGGAGGAGTTGGACATGAGGGTGGCCGTGGTGCAGCACTTGTACACCATGTCCTCCTCCACGCTCCAGGCATTATCCCCACTTAGTCCTGGTGGATCGCAACCAGATCCGGAGCCTGACACCAAGGCCTCACTCATGGCGTTGCAGCACTGTTCGTTTAGCTCCCTGATGCTCTCGTTGGTCAGCTGGTCGAGATCACTGCGCCGCAGCTGCATCTGCTGGTGGCTCATCTGCTGGGCATGATGCACCTGGGCCGCTGTGGTGCCAGTGATGTGGGCTATTTCCGCATCATCCGAGTCCGTGTAGAGCATCTCGTGATCCTCGTCCTCTGTGAGATTGTTCAGCGAGTCCAGCGAGGCGCACTTGCACTCCTCCTGCTCCTGCTCCTGCTCCTGCTCCTGCTCCCCTTCCTCCCGCTCCTGATCCTGCTGCTGCTGCTGCTGCTGCTGGCCCTGCTGCTGCAGCAGCTTAAAGTTGTTGACCTTGTCGTGGTGCATCTTGCTGATCAGCGACTCCACCTTGTTGACAATGCTGCTGAACTTGTGGGGAACGCTGCCCCCGCCGGTGGCCAGCTGGCAGGAGGAAGCTGCACCGGAGGCGGAGGAGGACTTGCTGCTGGCCCGCACGCTCTGCGACATCCTCGGGTGGGTAGCTCTCCTCTCAGGTCGCGAACATGGGCCATAGGCAGTGAAAGTTACTGCATTGTGATGGTCAGCACGGGGCTCCTTTCCACCTGCTACGGCTACCTGGCTATAGCCACACGACGACGACGGCGACCATAATGAATGTTTGCTCAGCGGAAAAACGTGAAAAACACACACGAAAAGCGCACACAGAAAACCGAGGAAAATCGGACGGCGAACGAACCGCAGCGGCACAACGTATGGAATGGAATGGTTCGGATGGGATTGGGTTTCGGATTGGGTTTGGATTGGATTGGATCGGACACTCAGCACTCTGCACACATCCAAGGCAGCAGCATTGTATATATATTTATTTGTTGTTTTTGATTGTAATTTTTGCAACTTTTCGTTGCAATGCAGTTGTTAAATGCGTGCCGTGTTTATTTTCCTTCTCGTCTATTATTTCTTTTTTACGCTTTTCAGCCTCAATTTATTTTAATTTGCCATTTGCCATGCCATTGCAGTTTGTCTTTCCACTTGAGTTGATGGTTTTCCACGGCAGCAGATCGTTTGTCTATCTCCCCTGGGTTGTGTGTCGTGGAGCAGTTCAAAAATGTTAATTATAAAGACCATATACTATATGCAATTGGATGCGAATAAGGAGGGAAGACCTTGGAGGAGTGAGGTAACTAAAAGTCCAAGGTAGTGAGTGCCTCTTTGATCAAATATCTGCCTTCTACTCACTATTCTCTGTACTTCTATTTGGATATATTTTAACCCTAGAAGGTCTCGGTAAAGTATGCTTTAAGATATTTAAGACAAACAACTTAGTTTGGGTAAAAATTAATAATTCATATTTTCTGATTTTTATGAAACCCAAATTAAGGAAAATTTCTTCTCTAATCTTCATAGAAAAATGATCCAACATAATGTCAGTCAAGTAAATAAAATATATAGACAGTAGCTAATCCAGTGCATTAATTAGTTATATAAATAAATAAATAAATAAAATATTGACAATGAACAGCTACTGTAAATCCCAACACCTTTGAAGACTCTACAATTTCACAGAGTTTCTTCTTAGCAATTCATCGCTAACAAGCAACCAAAACAAAACCCTGGAAAGTGTTTTTCCCTTAAACATCTTCGAACTGCTGCCACAGAGAGAGATGGAGGAGGAGGTGCCCTGCCCTATCTGGGGAATCACCGCTAGACAGCCTCTTCAGATTCCGATTTGTCATACGATTTGTTTACGATTTACTGGGTCACACGGGGCCGGACCTGGACCCTAGAGATAAAAAAAACACCACAGAGCACGCACACACAACAAAATACAAGAAAAAAGCCAACAAAATGGCTAACAGCGGCTTAAGTTGGTCAAAAGAATTCAAAGACGCGGCGCGCTGCGTGGTGCCGTTACCGCACAGTCGTAACAACTGAACTGACTGAGCCACTGGAGACTGAGAAACCGAGACACCGAGCCACTGAAAACCAAAAGCTGGCTAAAAGCTGGCTAAAAAACTGGCCGAAACGGTCGCCAGACCGGACTGGGCCTCCGAAGAGCCACCAAAGACTGGCCATTTCACTCGCAGCGGAGCAGAACACTGAGAGAAACCGATAGGGAGAGAGAGAGAGAGAGAGGCGGCTGAGTGAAAACCTGCTGACTCTCGCAATTCTCTTGGCTCTCTCCACCGAGCGGAAAGTCTTTCTCCACTACCCACGACCACGACCAAGTCCAAGTCCATTCCGATTCCCATTCCCTGCTGAGATAACTGTTTCGGCGCGTCTCTTTCTCTCCTCGAAGATCGGCCAGTCCGAGTGGCTTTGGTCGGGCGTTTAACGAGTTTTCACGCATAAAATGAATCAAATTAAAAAAAGAAAAAAATAGTTGGGAAATGGAAAACATTTTGTTGATCACTGACAAAAATCATGTGAGGTTATACAACGAAGACGAAATACCCTAAAGGCAAGTTTACTTTATTTCAAACTCAAGAAAGCAGCCTAACCTTTTCTACACATCAGTATCCCCTGCTAAGCTACTTTATTATTTGGCGATGATACCGCTAGAATCCGTTGGGAATTACAGTAGAATGTAGAGGAAACTATCGAAAATATTGCACATTATTATGGAGACTATCAATAAATTAAGGATTTCTCTCATTGCTACTAACAAATAAAGCGGTGAGGTATCATTTTAAGCTTGAAACTTAAATTAAATTTAAATTTAACAAAATATATATTTAAAGAGTAACCCGCGAGAGGGCATACCCCTTCAGAAAGTCTCCACAACAAAAAAAAAAAAAAAGAGAAAAGAAAAGTAAACACTAGACTGGAGTGCGAGTGATGGACGTGCGCCAACTATGAATCCCATCCATGCGCAGAGGATGCCTATATGGCGCTGGAAACTGGCTGGAGCCACTGGTGCCCACTGAGCTTCAAGGCGTGCAAAAAGAAAAGCAAACCAGATTCACAGATTTACGAATTTACGCAGCCAAGCATTCGATACTTGAGACAAATTAATTTCTTCAAACAGCAAAACACTCGCTTCCAGGCGACACTGATCGCCAAGATGTGATTAATGGCTTTTCTGCTCGATAAAAAAAAAAAATATATATTTATAAATATATAGTTAGACAGAGGTAACACCTCAAAATCACCCAATTACTTGCCACATATCATTAGCTATTATCTTAAGGCCGTGAAAACGTTTGTTTGTTCGCCTTAAAGGCCGCACTATTTATGGCCACATAATGCGAGCAATTATTCATGCAATTAAGGCCAATTATTTTTGAGTTTAGAGGTGTTAAAATAATATTTAAAAAAAAATTATAAGTAATATATATCAATTGTATAAATAAATATATCAATTAAGAGGCCTAAAAACAAACCCAAATTGAAATAAGTATTTATGTTGCCAGAAGATTGATTCATTTGAGCTTCTCAAAGGTTATTTTAGTCATTTTTTAGATGATATGTTTCTTAAATTAAATTATGTTTTTACGGTTAATGTTTCAGTTTAAATTTAATAGAAATTAATGCTTGACAATGGACTCTTAAGAGCTTCAAAGAGTTTAAACTAAACTGAAAAATCTAGCATACTTTTAGACTTTCGTGAAGACTTTTCGCAAGTAAATGATAAGCCTTAAGTATTTTTTTTTTCTAAAAAATAAATAAATAAATATTAAATTCATAAACTCTAAATATCAAAGCATATATAAAATATATATATTCAGAATTTTGTGATTTAAATTTCTGTTAAAAACAAAACTAAAGAAAAATATACAATAATTATTCTATTAAAAAACCTTGGCAAGAAATCACTTAAAATTAACCACTTATTTTTCAAGAGATTTAAAATTAAAAAATAAATATCAAATTACAACCAAAAGTCGACTCACCTTGCGGAACTCCTGGACAAAACTAGTGACCATCGACTGTATGGCGGCTGCCCGGGCGGCATGGAGCGCCAAATGCTTGCCGTTGCGCAGATTCAGCTGCAGGGCAGCCGGACGCGGCAGGGTGACGGCGCTCTGGATCTCCCCGAAGGAGATGGCCTGGACCACGATCAGGTAGTCGGCATCCCGGCGGGCCAGGTACAAGCCGCTGTGCGAAACGCCCATGATGCTCACGTCGGGATACAGGGGAGCGCCCTGCACGGCGAACAGGCGGGCGAAATACAGTGGCCAATCGCGGGCCATGTCCACCAGATGGCGCTTCACCAGAGCACGCACCTGCTGTCCAGCTCCAGCTCCTCCAGCAGCGCCAGAGTTACTGCGGGCTGAGAGCGTGTCCACGCTCACCCCATGACCGTGCAGCATGTTCAAGGCAGAGCTCTTCTCCTGCGGCGTGATCCTCAGGCAGGGTGTCACCCCGAAGACATCGCCCAGGACCTGAGCGAAGAGCAGATCCAGGGCCACCGGTGGCCCGATGGGTTCGTGCGGCTGGAAGACCTCCTTGCGCACGCGCAGCTTCCAAGGCACCCGGTTGTAGGTCAGGCAGGCACTGCTTGCCCCCGCTCCCAGTCCCAGGCCCACTCCCGCGGAGGAGGTGGTCACTCCCGGACCGGGGCTGGTGGATACCGGTGGCGGTGGCACTGGCGCTGGCACCACTATGGGCGGCGGCGTGGTCATCGCATGCATCGAATCCAGCTCCTCACGCATCCCGGAGCTGGCTGAGCTCTTACGCTTGCGCTCGTGCTCGTACTTCTGGGCCATGTGTGTCCGGAAGGTGGCCAAACCGCTGCCGCCGCCACCGCCGCCGCGCTCTTCACGTCTTCCGGTGGTGTCCAGGCTGGCTTGGATCACCCGCGGCGGCGCCGGCTGGTACACCTTGTGGCTCTCCCGCTCGCGCTCCACCTGGCGCAGCTCGTAGAGACGCTCGCGCTCTCTTTCCCGCTTCTCGCGCTCCTTCTCGCTGCCACTGGCCGAGGCGGGGCCCTCCACTTCTGCCCGATCCCACACCGACTCGGAGTAGTCCTCGCGGTCGCGACTGCGACTCCGGCTGCGCGACCTCTCCCGCTCCGACTGCTCCCAAGCGGCGGCTGCCGGCGAGGAGGAAGCCGAATGCTCGCCGTCCATGTGCAGGTGCAGGTGGTGGCTGGTAATCATCATCTGTTGCTGCTGCTGCTGCTGACGCACTGCTCCAAAGGTGTCTCTCTCCTGGCGCTGGATGAAGGCCGGCACATGCTCCTTGGCCGCCTGCTGACCGCTCGAGGTGCGGTAATCGGGCTCTGGCTCGGGACTCCTGGCCGTGGGTGGACTTTGCGGTGCCGGTGGCGGAGCTGGAGGCGCCATGCTCGGAGGCCGTATGGGCGGTGGCGGTGCTGGCACACTGGGCGCCGGCGGCAGCATTCCCGGCCAGCCGACAGAGGGAGGAGCCGGCGGTGGCGATAGCTTGCCCTCCATCCGCTCGATCTGGGTGCGAACCGTGGCATGGGAGTCGGTACCATTGCCGCTGACACCTCCTCCAGCGCCTGAGCCTCCTCCGGGACCGGAATTGCCGCCTGAGGTGACGCTGGCAAAGAGCCCGCCCAGCTGCTGCTGCAGCATGAGCTTGCGGGTATCCTCCAGTTTGGCTGGCGCTCGTTGTTCCGACTTGGTGGACACCGTCGAGCGGACCGAGTGCCCGGCGGTGACCTGCTCCAGCCGCTGCCTCATCTCGGAGCTGAGCTTCAGCTTGCCCACGCTGCCCGGCGGCGGGCGATCGGCGCCGATCTCAAAGCTCTTCTTGGCCAACTTGGTGGTGACCACGCTCTGCATGGGCACATCCTGCGTGTCCCTATGGTCCCTGCTCTCCCTGCTGTTCATGGCCGCCGTGGAAGTCGTGGTGGTGGTTGTCTCCAAGCGCAGGCTGCTCCGCATCATCTGGCCACTCATTGGCGGCGGCGTGGGGCTGTCGATCTCGAACTCCTCCCACTCGATAGCCGTGGCGGTGGCTCCGCCGGATCCATTGCTGCCGCTGCCGGCCAGGAGCAGCTGCTGCTGCTGGTGGTGGTGGTGCTGCTGGGCCTGGGGCGTTGTCTTGCGCTGCTGCTGGCGCATCTTGAAGGCAAAGAAGTCCTCCTCGGTCTGGAACTGGGGCTCGTCCTGCGGCGGTGGCCAGCGCCACTTGCCAATCCTCACGGTCTTGGCCCGTCCATAGGGATCAAGGAAGTGGCGCGTCTCCGATGGGTCCTTGCATTCCAGCGGCGGCGGCATGGGCGGCGGTGGTGGAGGGGCCGGCGGCTGCATTGACTCCATCACCACCAGGCTGCTCCGGGTGGTCTTCATGCGCAGCGGCGACAGCGGTGATTGTGGCGGCGGCGGCGATATGGACAGCCCAGGAGCTGGTGGCGGTGAGCCGGAGCTTGTGGTAGTCGCCGCTGCTGCCGCCGCCTGCTGGCTGAGCAGCGTCTGGAGGGCCTGGTTCTGGGCCAGCAGCTGCTGCTGGATCTGCAGGTTCTGGGCCATGGCCGACTGCAGGAAGGCGCGCTGCACCTGCTGCTGGTACAGCCCCGGAGCGGACTCCGTCTCCGAGCCCGGCAGCTGCATCAGTTGGTGAATCAGTGGATCCCCTCCATTGGTCTCCGTGCTGCCGCCTCCGCGAATGCTCACGGCCAGCTGGTCTTTGTTTCCAAGCTTTTCCAGGCCCTGGGCCATGGGCAGCAGGTCGCTGATGTACTCATCCAGATCTTCTATTTCCGACTCGGAATCTGCCTCGGATTGGGCTGGGTGTCCCCCCTTGATGGCCACTGCCAGCTGCTCCTTGCTGGCCAACTTCTTCAGGCTCTGGATGGGCTGGAATATGTCATTGATGTAGTCCTCCAGGTTCTCGATGTCCGACTCGAGGGGCTCCTCCAGTTGATAAATTCCTCCGCCGCGAATGCTGGCCGCCAGGGAGCGCGCATCCGAGAGCTCGTCCAGAGAGCCATCCAGCACGGGACTGAACAGGTCGTCCAGGAACTGGTCTACATCCGAGGCCTGCGAGGGCACCCTTACGCGACGCACGTGCGAGGCCAGCGAGGGAGCCTCGCTCGTGTCGGACATGGCCGAGGACCGGGTGGCGTACTCCGCCTTGTCGGCATACTTGCTGGAATGGGAGCCGTGGGAGGCGGCATGGGAGCGGCGGCCGGCATGCTGGGACTTCTGGTAGCGTGGAGCCGTCTCCTTGCCCATTGGAGCCAGTCGCTCCGCCGAGTGGTAGCGATCGTTGAGGCGGCTCTCAGAGAGACCCAGCGTGTGCAGCGGCTCCTGGGAGTCACAATCAGGCGGCACCGGAGCTATGTCGCCGGCCAGCAGATCGTCCAGGGACTTGGATCGCGACTTGGCCTGGCTCTGACCCGATCCTGGGCCAGCTCCGGGGCTGGGTTCCCGCTCAAAGTACCGTTCGTTCAGGGCAGAGCTGCGGGAGAGCAGCTCCCGGCTGCTTCTACGCTCCCTTGGGACATCCTCCTTGCCTGCTCCAGCAGTAGGCGGAGCTGGCGGCGGCACTGCCGGTCTCTTGACCGACTCCGGCAGCGTTGTCCTGGCAAACTTGGCCCCGGATCGCAGCAGGTCGCTCCTGGGAGCCGGGAAGGCCGGACACAGCTCCTTCTCCGCTATCAGGTCCATCACGTAGTCCAATCCGCAGCTGTCTGTTAGCTGCTGACCGTCATCCAGGACCAGGGTCCAACCCCTGCTGGCCACGCCCAGGGAGGAGACGGCCAAGGCGGCAGCCTCCTCACAGCTGGTCCACGAGTCCACGGCCACCGTCTGGCTGGCCTCGTCGGGCAGCGTCAGTGGCAAAGCCATGTCGCAGCCCCTGGTCCAAGCACGCCACTCCAGCCAGGCGGGCACAAAGCTGCGACTGGCGCCGCCGGGCGAGGAGCCGCCGCTGCCGCCGCCCTGTTGCCGGAGCAGCTGGCGCAGGAGCAGCGGACGCAGCGAGGCGGGCGCCTCATCGTCGACGAAGCGCATCAGATACTTGCTGAAAGCGGCGCTGGGCTGGAAGCAGCATAGGCACTGGCCCATCAGCTGCCACAGCCGTGTGGCCTCCACGGAGGAGGGCGGCAGACCATGGACCTGGTTGCACAGCTGCACCAGGATCTCGTCGCGCAATCCGCGCGAGCTCAGGGCCTTGTGGACAATATAGTCGGCCAGCAGCTTCTCCTTGGCACCCTCCAGCGACTTGTCGTTGCTCCAGCGCAGGATCAGCTTGAAGACGGCCAGGGCGTCCTGGAAGTCCTGGTCCCGCGACGCGGCCCGCGACAAGAAGGGCGCCGTGATGGGCTCCCGGCGCGGCTGCAGCCTCAGGCCGTTGCAGTAGACGCTGCTGAACTTGCCGAAGGAGAACTGGCCCAGATCCTCGGGCAGCTGGACCGCCGAGGCCGGTGGCCCCGGCACCGTGCCCAGCACCTTGACCAGATGCCGGTCGCCGTGCGGCGGTGACCAGCCCTGCAGCTTCGAGTATATGAAGGCCAGCTCGGCGGGTATTTCCAGGTAGCTCAGCTGGCTCCTCTCCAGCACCGCCTGCTTTGCCTCCCGGGCCTCGCGTGCCCGCTGGGCGGCCTCCCGGGCCTCCTGTCTCCTTCGGTGATCCGATCGCAGCTGCTGGACCCTCCTTCGGGCCTGGCGTCCCCGCCAGATTCGCTGGGCTGTGAGGGCTCCCTTGCGCAGCCGCTCGAAGCGCTGCTGCTCTCGCTGACCACGCCAGCGTGCCTGGAGCCTGGTGGCCGCCGCCTGGCGACGTGCCAGCTGCCGGCGAACCAGCATGCCGCGCACATGACGCTGGACACTGACCGCCGCCCGACGCAGCCGCTCCGTGCGCCCGCTCTCCAATGCCCGGTGCAGGGCCTCGCGCAGAAAGACTCGCGTGGCGCCCAGCTGATAGTCCGGACCCTCGACGCCCGTTCGCGGCATGGCCTCCAGGAGGGCGCGGCAGAGCTCGCGATAGGGCGTGCCCCGGGCCAGGGGAGCCGCCAGGAGGTGCCTGTAGCGCTCCACAAAGTGCTGGAAGCGCAGGCGCACCGGGTAGCCGCGCTGCCGGATCTGGATGGTGTCCAGCATGCCCAGGTAGCGCAGCTGCTGCAGCACACACGGCATGTCCATGCGGAGGGCGTGCTTCTCCTGGTTGGGTTTGATGCAGCGCACGAACCACGGATGGCAACGGCCCATCGACTGCAGCAGCTGCTGCAGTGAGTCCGCAAACCTGGCGGCCACTGTCGGCGTCCTTGGCTTCATGGTAACGAAGCGACCATTGCTGCCCTTGGGCAGCGTCTTGCCGGCATCCCGTTGGGCCCGCAGCTGCTTGGTCAGCTCCCCAACCAGGGGAAGGCGGCTGGAGGCGAGTAGCTCCAGGACATCGCCACGCAAGGCGTCACGATTCTTGTCCAGAAAACCGTCCACACAGTACCACACCTGGCCGGCATAGTGGGTGACTCCAAACTCCTGGGCACCGATCCGCGGGCGGGCATAGAGCTCGCTCAGCGCATGGTTGTAGTGGCACTTCTCGAGGAAACTCAGGTCGGTGGCACGCGGGAAGTTGGACTCGTCGTCGAGCAGGTGGCAAATGCCCACCGGCTTTTTGGCCAGCAGATGGATAACCGGCAGGTTGTCGTCCCAGGCCAAGGGTGTCCACTCTAGCCGCTCGCGGGCATACTCCGCCTGCTCCAGCTTGAAGACGTGCTTGTTGAAGTACAGCTGCAGGTTCTCGTTGGCGTAGTTGATGCACAGCTGCTCGAAGCTGTTCTCGGCCAGGTCCTCGAAGCCGAAGATGTCCAGGATGCTGATGCGGTGGGCATCGTGGGTGCCGCCCTTCTGCACAATCGAGTTGATCCTGGACACCAGCCAGTTGAAGAGGCCGGCGTAGAGGGCCTTCGCGAAGGCATCGCGGGCATCCAGGGCCTGGTCAATGCCCAGCGGCGTGTGGAGCCGCTCCGCTCGTGCCTCCGTGGTGCGACTGGTGAGGGCCCGGTGCAGACCCTCGGCATTGATGTGGAGCAGATGGGCGGCCCACTTGATCTCCGCATCGGAGCCCACCTCGACGCCCTCCTGGCCGTGCCGCAGCTGCCGGCGATGGAAGTAAACGTTGCCCAAATGCAGGACGGCGGCCAGGACACGAACAATGCCCTCGCGTTCGCCTTCGGAGACGCCCAGGACCTGCATGGCACCCTGCAGCGACTCCCAGTCGACGCGACCGCTGGCACAGTCCGTGGCTCCTTGGTTCAGGTAGAAGTACTTGTCCGCCTCCAGCAGGCCGTACTTGGAGCGCTCCGCCTCCGAGAGGCCGCCGAGGAGCTCGTAGAAGACGTGGTAGTTGCGCTCCCCCGGCGCCTGGGTCACGATGCGCGACTTCTCCAGCAGGTACTGCGTGATCTTGGCCCCCACGATGGCGCCGCTCTTGAAGTATACCTCCAGATACTTGCCAAACCGGGAGCTGTTGTCGTTCCGGGCGGTGCGTGCATTGCCAAAGGCCTCCAGCAGGGGTGCGGCCTCCAGGATCTGCTCGGTGATGACCGCCGAGGCGGATCCGCCGCCGGGCACCACTGCGGCCAGGTATTGCATCACCAGCTTCGTGGACTCCGTCTTGCCGGAGCCACTCTCGCCCGAGATAACCACCACCTGGGGCGAGGGCAGGGCCGCATGGGCAGCCGCTCCGATGGCAAACAGGTGCGGAGGCAAGGATCCCAGGGGGCGGCCGGCATACTGTTTGGCCACCTCGAGGCCGTAGGCGTCGGGGAACATCTTGTAAGGATTGACGGCGATCAGAATGCTGCCGGCGAATGTGTAGATCAGACCCTTGTCGTAGCGTAGGCGCAAGTTCCAAAGCAGCGACGCCTCGTGCAGGTCATCTAGCAGGGTCATGTCCTCCACGCCGCTGCTGCCCAGGTCCTGGCGAGCCCGCAGGCTGCCCTCGCCGGGCTGCAAAGCGAACGTCTGTGGCTGTAAGGGAAGCGAATGGGAGATTTAGTAGAAGTTCAAGAGCTCTAATCGGGAGGTAAATATAGATGGTATTTTAAAATGTTATTATTATTATTCTATACAAGATAACCCCTAGATCACAATCCCGTTTCTCACATGGCGCGCTATCACATCGCTGCAGAGAGTGGACAGCCGCTTAACCACCTGCGGGTAGCGGCACTTGAGGCGTCTCAGGCGACTCTTGGGCACAGCCGGATGCGGATGCGGCCACAAATGCTGAGGCAGGTCCTCCGTCTCCTCGAGGCTGGCGGGACGCTGACGGCGCAGTACATGCGGCGAGAGCAACGCCAGCGAGGGTGACTGGGCGGGACTGGGCGTGACCGAGCCACCGATGCCGGCACCGCGTTGCCACGGCTCCAAATGGAAGCGAACGATACGCATCTCTCACTTGAGCAGACTATAAGGGCTATAGAATTGAGATCCCGATGTGAATCGAGATCGCGAAGAGGTCGCTCCTCGTTCGTTCGTTCGTTCGTGGCCAATGGCTCGCGTGCAACTGAAAGGAATCGGAATCTGGCGACGAGGCTGCCACAGTTTCCCCAAACGTTTCTAAAACGGTTTCCAAAGCCAAACCGCCAAACACGTTCTATCAAAACGGGGAGAAAAGCCAGGAGTGGGGGCTTGATAGCGCACCGAACCGGACCAGAGACCTGGTCCCAGACCAGATGACACTCCTCCTCCTCCCTCTCCTCCTGATGGCTACTTAGTGTGGGCCACCAGAACACGCACACTCTCTTGGCGGCCAAAAAGAAAACAGAAACAGAAACGGAAAAAAAAGAGAGGAAACCCGATCGCTCGATTGCCTTTCAATTAGGCACTCGAGTGTGGGACTTTCTCCACGGCCAAGATCGATTCCAAATCCAAAGCCAAGCCCGACCAGTTCAAGTTCAGCCTGGGTTCTGGCGGAGAGTGTCATCCGATACACAGCGCCAAACAACGGCGTGAACAATATGCCGTGGAGCGCCGAGAATGCATTCGATCCGGCGACTTGCCCATTGATATCGATACGGTATCTCCGCATCAAAGGCCAGCGCCAGATCGAGTGGGGTGAGTCAGGCCTAGGGATGTATGTAGATAAATTGAAAGGAAAAGTCCTGTATGATGTAGCGATTTTATAAGGAAAATATATATATTTTATATGGAAAATATGAAGAGAAAAAGTCGTATAGATCTGCGAATTTTATAAGGAAAATATCGAGATGAAAAGTCTCATACGATTTATTGATTTTATATAATAAATATCGTCATTATTAAAAATGAGTCAAGCCTAGGGATAAACATATATCGAGAGGAAAAGTCAAAGATGGAAAAACAACAAAAATATCGCTGTCAATGTCATAAATTTTAATAAAAAAAACTCATGAGAATTATTGAAAAATATTGAGTTTAACATTACAATATCGATTATCTATATAACATTTTTTAAATTTATTTAAATTAAAATTAAAATTATGTTAATAAATTTTTACTAAAGTTGATAATTTAAATATTAATTATTTTAAGTTCTTTTTTAGCACAGGTTTGGTGCAAAAAAAAAAAAAATTAAAAATAACAGGTTTATCGCATGTTCAAAATATCGATTTATCGATACAGTACCGATATCATCTAAAAATTTATTATTTAAATCCCTTTTGAAATTTGCATAAAAAACTATAAGCTAAAATAAAATAATACAACAATAATTAGTATTTAATTTAAAATCTATACAAGATTTCCCTTTAAATAAATCAAAGAACTTAATTTCCAGGGGTTTAATTTTAATCTCGCCTTGAAAACAAATAGATATAATTAAAATTCGAATTAAAAGAGGCATGATACTGGCTTTAATTTATTTTTAAAACCCGTTTAGCGATCAATCAAGCCAGAGACAAGGAACCTCAGAGATGCCAGAAGAACAGGGAATGGAGGCTCGTTTAATACAGAGCTAAGGATGGAAGGCTTCTCATCCCTCCTCGACTTGTCTGCAGCGCGGCATTAACCGATAATTGATCGAGTTGCGCGATTACGCCTTTCAGCGCCATGCGGAGAGGTAGCTCTTGAAGAACACATGTGCCTACCAACAGGTTCTTGGACAGCAAACAGGATACAGGTCTGGGGTACCGCTACGACTAACGTTACTTGCCAATGAACAGAGCGAAAAAATATGTTAAAAACAAATAATATTATTTGTATTTAATATAAAAGCTGATTATGATTATTAAAAATTAAAATAACAAAAAGACAAGGCTGATTTCTATTTCAAAAACCTAAACAATTCCAAGTTTTCACTTTGTCACCTTAAGGTGGTTGTAAATGAAAACAGAAAACCCAGGGTGAAATCGTTCGTGTAAAAATGTTAATTTGCAAATAAAGACCGTCTGCACCTATAAACGTAGTTCATAATTTATATTTTAAACTACGCCCAGCTTGTTTTCACTTTAACAAATATTTGTTTAAGAGTTATTTCGCAAAGTCTGTAGCTATTATTTCTGAGTGTATCGAGTTTATAAAGAAATTAACAGCCTCTAGCCAAGACCTGACAAATCCTAAGAGTTTCTGTCCAAGATTACAAGATTTCAGGCTCGATAGAGTCCCCGTTGCTTGTTGTGTGTGTTCACAGCCTCATCTCCTCCAGACCGTCCATAATTGCTTAGAGGAAAAAGGAAACGCTGGTCAGGTGCAATTAGCTGAAGTTTGCAGTGTCAGAGGTGCCACAGTACGTACTGTAGGCAGGGAAATCTAGTTCCATAAATTCCATGAGGGCTAAGCAGCTACCAAAAATAAATATAAATATATAAACAAAGACAAACACAGTCCCAGGTCGAGTGAAAATAGTGAGAACCATTCAGGGGCCTCGGCGAAACCGAAAACAAATTGAAAATTCAAACAGTAGGCTAAGAAACGAAACTGAACGGAAAAAAGGTGCGAACTCGCACTGTGTGCACTCAGAGAAAATGTTCTATACATGAAAGACAAATAATAAAAAATATATAAACCAAAAATTAAGTAACTAAAGGGATTTTTTAAGGTTTTTAAAAAGTAAAACCCAATCTAAAGTCTAATATTTCAAATATTCATTATCATTCTTATTTAGTTATTTTTATGCACTTAAGCTTCTTATTAGGAATTCTAAATTATTATATATACATATTTGAAATCCACATACCTTGCCTTTGATGAGCGCCTGGACAACAATCACCTGGGCAGCTCGGTGCACCTCCTGGATCTCGCCGGGTATGGGATGGCCCATGCCCGGATCGAACCAGACCAGATCACCTTCGGCCCAGTCCATGGCTCCGCTGTGCTGCTGATCCCCGCTTTCCCGCTGTCTGAGTCCTTCCTCTCCACTCCTCTCCTCTCTCCAGCAGCTGTCCTGCCTTCCGTTGGGCCAAAGAAATGTGTGTGTATCGCCTGGAGGCGAACTCTGGCTGGGATTAAGTCGGTCGTAGGGACTGCTGGGTTATGGATATATTTGGGTTTTTTGGTTTGGGGCGTGGTGCTCTTCAAACCGGTTGATTCATTGCTGAAAAACAAAACACAAAATGGTATTTGTTAAGTACTTTTCAATTTTCTCAAGGCAAAGCTGAAATAATCAAAAATAAAAGAGGAGGCATTCGTGAAAAATTCACGTAATTATTGCGCCTTTCTATAAAACATAATAATAATAAACCTGGCTCTTTGAGAGCATTAAAAAATTGTTGGCTTATCACCTGGATTGCAATTGTGATTGGCTTTGGGATCGTGAGTAGGATTCGAAGTCAATGACGCGAAGGCCGCTCTATGAATGAAAGTACAGATTTTTCCGTTTCTTCGCCCATTTATTTGTTATTTTTCTGTGTCTCTGTGGAAATGTTTGCCAACCGAAACCGAGGTGCAATGAAATGCAACGCCAGAGACACAAACAAAGAGCAGAAGAAAAATTGAAAAATTAAAAAATAAAAAAAAAACTGAAACAGAAACGTGAAGCGGCAACAATGACAGCCATCGTTCGCAGCATTGCAGAAGAAGATCCGCGGGAACCAAACTGATTAAATAAGACAACTCAGAGCTACACGATTGACTTTGAAATGCCAAAGGGTGCGGGGATATATATTGATGTACTATGTATTTTTAAATAATAAATTTAGTAAATAATGTTGTTCTCAAAATTCTAGTACGAATTAGTTTTTAAACTTGAATGTTATGAGAGCACAAAAGTTGCTTAGCAACATCGCTGCACTGCCAACTCCATTGGATGTTGCCCAACATGTTCCCAGCCACACTTGCCTAGCAACGTGGACCAGACAGTATCTCGCTTTGTTAGATTAAAGTTTATTTTTATAAAATATAATGCTAACTTCATTTTTGAAGAGAAATTTGAGATATTAATAGGTTAGGTTAGACCGGACATAGGCCAATATGGCCCTTAGCTATCCGGGGAAACTCCTGGATGGATCTAGAGACTATTTATGCGGGTTTAATATATATATAGATATTAATTTAGTATCTAATAATTTTATATTCATAAATATATGTATATTAGTTTAAGGAACTACAACTAACTTGTAGATATAAATATTTTTACTCAAAGATTCTAATTATTAAAGATTAAATATTATTTATTCAATTTTATTTAGGAATTTAAGAACTGCCTTTGACTTTGGGACCATTCTTAGAAAGATTTCTTACAGCTAGAAAATCTATATTAAAATTAAGGCCAAAGACAAACGCTTATACTTGAAAAAATGTATAAATTAAAAACTAATTAATATGCCCAGAATGCTTTGGAAATATGTTTGGCCCAAAAATCAGACCAAAAAATCAAGTTCATTAAGAAATTTCCAAAAAAGCCACATATCATGCATATGAAATGCCAGAAGACGCCCAAAAATGAAACCCAAACTCTTATATAGGTTGTCCAAAAGAATATATTCATATATCATATATACATATATATATTAAACAGATGCCGCAAAAAAAAAAGACAAACCGAGACGAAGATATGCCGCTTTTGTTGTTGTTTGTCTTGGCCTTTTCTCAGGCAAAAACTTTCACCTGTTTTGCGGCAAACATACATACATACATAAATATTTATGCCCAAAACAACAGAAATGTTCAAATGGAAATAAAACCGCCGCGACAGAGAGTCTGAAGTTGTTGTCGCTATTTGATTGGATTTGATTCATGCAGTTTTGGCTCTAAGTGAGTCAATCTCGATGGATTTGGTAGTTGGAGTTGGGCTTTGGATTTGGACTTTTGGGCCTGGCCCAGTAAGATGGTTGAGCCAGGCAACTGCTCAGCGCTCAGCGAGTCAATAGAGTAACTTGTTTGTGGCTCTGAGATCTCTGGTCCAAGGGGGAGGCGGCAGGTGGGCTGACACTTTGTCAGACAATTTCATTCAGTTACACACGTACGCACCAGCCTTGTCTCTAACTACAGCCCTCTCTGTTGCTCTTCTGGGGCAACGACTGTAGCGCACAAAAATCTTGGCTTAGCTACGGGTTCGACCGCATTCCGATGCTAAGACGTCGCTGCCTGCAGTCTATGTTTAATGCTAAGGCAGTCAGCAGCCAGCCAGGCCAAAACGGCAAGCAGCGAAAACCACAATAACCCCACACCACAGCACACACCACACCACACAACGATTATGTGTGTCTGTGTCTCGGTGTGCTCGTAATCAATGAGCAAATATCCAACGATGTGGAATAACAATCATAAGAATTTCATTTGCAGCTGATCATCGACGAGGTTTGATCATTGAATTTAAGAGTAAACGGAAATTGCACAATTTTAAACATTTTTTGTGGACTTAAAAATGTCGCAAAACGGCATAAATAACTATATAATTATGTATATATATTTTTCTGGCATACATGAAATTTATTTTCTTAGTTCTTAGAGAATAAAAGCAGGCCGAGGCTTGGCTCTACATTTATTTACATTTTTGCAGGAATTAAAATAAAATCTTTTCCTACAAGTATTTCATTTTCTTAAATTTTATTGAAATATTTCTTGTAAATATATATTGAAATTTATATTTAATAAATATTTTTTTATAAGAATGAAATATTCATTCAATATATTTTCATATTTTTAAAAAACCTTTAACTAGAATCAAAAAGGTGTTTTCCCCTAACCAAGTTCGTTGCCTGAGTCTTTCGTTTCTTCGATGACAAATCCAAATGGAATTAATAGAATCTTTCAATGAAGCTGTAGAGGCAGAGAGACACCCCTCTCACATCCATTCTCACATGTAAAATATTTGTATACAAGGTCTCTGTTGTTATTGTTTTTCTCGATTTCTAAAACTGATTTGTTATCAGCTGTGAGAGAGCCACAGACGACCGCACCTGCCTAAATGCTTCAATCTAAAATGTGTATAAACGGATAAACGAATAAATGCTTAAATGTTAAGTTATGCAAAGTCGAAGTCAGGTGTTGGCGCGACTCGAAGAATGCGGCGTTGGGTGCCAAGCTAGTTTCTTGGGTCTCCAGCGTGGAATGGATACGGGTACATTCTTGGCATAGCTACCAGAGCCCTAGAGGGGAGTGGCTCCAGAGAGTGTGTGTATTTATGATGTGCGTGTGCGAGAGACAAAGTGAAACTCAATAGGCACGCACGATCTTTAATTATTATTTATTTCTCTCTGTAATTTGAGTTTTCGTTTTCGATTTTGTGTCGGTTTGACGAACTGCAATTTGCAATTCGAGCAGCAATTAATTTCGGTTTGCCTCGCTTTACTTTCAAGTTGCGTTTTTTGTTACCCACTTAACACATTCGCTGCTCTCTTGCATTATTTATTGTTTACCGCCAATAAATAATTGTATTATTTTTGCTTTGCCTTTCGTTTTTGCGTGTGAGATCGAGGCAGATAATGATAACAAATGCATTCAGCAATTAATATGTTAATTCAATATGTAATTCATTTAAAGGAGAATCTACAAATATTAAACGTTGTATCCTTACTAGTTTGGCCTGCCAAAAGCTGGTAGATGTCATCTCAATATAAGGCTAAAACCAACTGGGATAATCTTTCTTCAGCTCGCACTGTTGTGCCCTGTGGCCCGAGAAATTCCCGGCTATTTCAATTTGAACTGCAGCTCAGGTCCAGCTCTCCGCTTGCCTGGCATTTCAATTAAACCCAACGGCTATGGCAATGGCAACGTCAACAATGTCCGTCTGACTGACAGTTTGACTTATTGGCTAAAAGCTTTGGCCAAAACCACACGCACAACGCACTCGCCAGTCTTGGCTCTGGCTCTGGCTCAGACCCGACTTGTCTAGGGAGTGACTAGTCATATATATTATTTTCAGTGTTGTTGCAGTAAGCGGCTTAATTGCCCTCCGAGTTTTCGAATTTTTTCGCCTTTTTTTTGGGGTTGGACAAATAGAAAATTTCAAAAAGTGGAAAGAAGAAATATTTAGCAAGAAGTCCAAGTCGAAGTCGCCGCACGATTTCACTAGCACCACGGCCAGAGTCAGAGTCAGAGCCAAATGGTATAAGCCAAGTTCGGGCTAAAATGGCGACACACACACAGACACACGCGTGCAGAGGAGAGTAAGCCAAAAGGCCAATAAACCTTTGGGGGGGGAGAAATATATATATATATATAAGCGCGCCATGTTGCCAGCTTGCCTTTGCTCATCGATCACAAACACACCGAGCTCGGGCAGAGACGTGGCTCGGCCGGCTCCATATCAGATATGTTGTTAACTTTATGCATGCAGAGGCGAAAAGGGAAATCTCCGAAAGAGCTGATGGCCAACTCTCCGTGTTGTTGGAGACAATTGAAAGTGGCAGCAGTGCATAAAGTATTCTAACAATCAACGTCGCCGTCAACTCTGGCCGGGGAGGAGTGCCGCTCGATTTGTTTTTTGCAATTGCTATGCGTCCCTGCGTTTTCCGCCTATGTACACGGCGAGAAAAAAGGGGTAAGGGGAGTGGGATTAAAGCTAAAATAAATCTAAATAGCAAGCTTAATCTCCTCCAGAGGACTTAGTGACTTGGAAATAATGGTTTTTTTGATTTACTGAAGAATTTTTCTATATTTTGATATTCTAAAAATACCTTGTTCTCCATTTTATAGGTATATTTTCTCTCTCTGTATCAAAGCCGCACCCGCAACATTGGCGGCAAAGCAACAAGGGACACACCAACATCCAAAAGCAACTTGCAACACCAACTGCCATGGAAACGGACGCCCACGATCTGGCTGGGATTGGGGATAGTTCCACTATGGATTGGAACCATGGAACTAGACACCACCACTGGGTGGGTGGGACGGAAAACAGCTGCCTCTCGGAGGCGTAGCCGAATGTGGGCCAAAAACAGTTGGCGGCCAAAAAGGCAATTGCAAACCGGCAGAGGTGCCGCCGAAGCCAAAGATGGGTCTCCTTCAACGGCAACACAATGTGGGCGGAATATCAATTAAATATTCAATTAAAATAGTAAGAAAAACCAGCATACTAAAGGCTTGCATCCCTTCAGGGATCCTCACTTTCTCGCAACAATCTCAATCGTTTCGATTTAATCAAACACCTTAAGTTCCCAGGCGAAATTGATTTTGGATGCCTCCAATTATCGCATCATCCAAATCGATTAAAGACTTAATAACAATGTGTAGGTTTTCGATCAGAAAACGAAATCGATGACGATGGCCAAAAGAACGTCGAAGTTAAGTCCACACAAACAAAAAATTAATAAAAAAAAAAATAAACGTAAATGAAAAATTTCACTCAATGGAGATCGTGGTGGTTCGTCGTTCGCTGTGGCTATTTTGTTTAAATAAAGTAAAAGTCAATTAACATCTTTGTCGCATTAGCATCGTGAGTGTGTTGGTATGAGTGACTGTGCTTTCATTGGTATTGGTGTTTGCTGTGGCCTTTGTTATGCATTTTTAGCATTTGTGGCTCGGCTTTTTCTCCGCCATGAAAACAAGCACGAAAGCGAATAGCAAATAAGAAGAAAAAATAGATATATATGTATATATGCTATGGTTACCAACTGGGGGGGGAAACTAGGTTTTCGAATGGCAAATACCCTTGATAGTGGAAAGATTGACATGAGAACAGGGTAAGATTAAGTCCCAACAGGTAGCAGCATTCCGAGAGGTATAGCTTCAGTTTTTTTACATTTTTGTTAGATTTCAGAATTTATAGAAATAAATTTATATATATAGAAATAAACAAAGATAGTAAAGATATTTATAGGTGATTACATTTTAACTTTTATCACTATTTGCTCTTTAATTCAGCTTCTTTAAATACTTGTTAATGATATTTACAAAGCCTGGCTAAAAATCATAAAAAATATTTATGCTCATTCTCCCATAAAATCAGCTGAATATGTATGTTTCATTTTTCTTTTTTTTTTATGACCATCTTGATAGCTTCGTCACGCTGACCTCTGTGGGATGCAAGTGGAAATACCCTGCTGCCAGGGTATTGAGTTGTGGCAGCGATAAGAAAACACGGCAAAGAGCAAGGAAAACAAAAGACTCAGGCAACGAACGCGAACGCTGGCTAGCCCAAGAATGCCAAGAGAGAGAGAGAGAGAGAAACGGGAATAGGAGAGCATCGGGGATCTTGGGGATCTGGGGGAATGGCAGTCAGGGCGTTGTTGTACGGAAGTGGCACGCACACACGGTTACACACACACACATACAGAGGCATTCGGACCTGGCCAAGTGGCCGCTGTGGCCGCCGTCGGCGACGAACGGCTCTGCGGCATTCTTCGATGGCCGGAACCAGTTTTCTTTTGCGCCACCACCAATTTTTTGTTTTATAGCTTTTGCGCTGCTTTTTCGTCGATTTTTTTTGTTGTATTTTTCTGGCTTTTTGCACGCCTAACTGTTTTGCCATCGTATACCGTTGCTGGCAGCACAGCGCAGCGCAGCGTTCTTGGCTTTATGCCTTGGCATGATTTGGCCAAAAACGTTGGCGATTTGATCGTAGGGATCTCTCGAAATCGAAATACAAAAAATATAAATTAAAATACCAAGAAGCCAGGCCAAGAAGCTGGCCACTCGTTCAGCACCGTTAGGACGAGCTTATGCAACTGCAGCGTCTGGGAGATGGGGACCAAATGCTCGGATGCCGTTACACAAATTGAAATCGATCGCATTCGGTGAACGGAACAGGTCTCAGAAGCCATCAGCAGCATCGTGGCGATCGCCACATCGCTGCATCTCTTGGCCAGCATTGAACCCAACGAATCCGAAAGGTTTTCTTCGATCCGAACACGTGCATCTGAGGGTATGGGTGCGATATTGCATCGCTGATGAGCTCACTCGGGGAGGAGCAACCAATCAGCAATACCTAATCACAGTGGACACTCCGACAAGTGAAGGCGGCACCGAAAATTATATTATAATAATTATTAAAATAATAACGAGGATTTCTACCTTCTAATAAAATTACTTCAAAACCTATAAACCCTGTACTTTGCATTTAAACATCTTTATGGCAAATAGCAAAGGCTAATAATACCTTATCAATTTCCCATTTTAATAATAAATATTATAATACCCCATAGCGACTATACACTGTAAGGTACTGTCTATAATTAGCCATGATGATGATGGGGGTGGCTCAGAAAGCCAATTGCGGGAATTGGCAATGGCATTGGTCAATCTGATTAATTGTCTTCTGACTGATTGACTGATTGCTTGAGCATTTTTTCGGCTGGAAATACATACATGTAAGTCCCAAAGCTGGATGACTTCATTGGGGAAGGGTTTCCAAGACTTCTTTCATTATAAAATGTTTCTTTCAAGTTTGTCAAACTAATAGCAAGGAAAGCTGGAGAATGTGATTTAAGCCAGGCTTTAAAATTAAATTGTATTAAATTATTTTAGACTGATTTGTAGTACAAAAACTAGACAAACTTAGTAGAAATTTAAATAAAAATAATTTAAACAATTTTAAAAATTAAAAAAAGTTGTCTAAGAAAGTCATAATCCATAAAAACATTTTAATATACGTTTTCTAGTAAAACCTCTCATGACAACCCTTTAAAAAAATATATACAAAATATTTAAAATAATTTTCCGAAACTTAACAGATATATCTAGCTCCTCTTCTTCCCCTCTTTCGAAACTTGTTTGGAAGAAAGACACATCTTTTAATGGCGCCTGCTTCATCCTATTTGATTCTATTGTCACTCGCTGCTGTTCTTATTGTTGTAGTTGTCCAAGATTCAGATTCAGATTCTGATTTGAATTCCGAGAGAGCGAGCAAATTCTCTCCGCTCTCCACTATCCCCACTCTCTTAACGTTCTCGCTACTTACTTGCTTTGTTGTTGTTTCGCGTTTCAGTTAACAGTTCTGGCCAGCTTGCGTGTGTGTGTGAGCTGGTGTTTTTATGTGTTTCTGAGCTCTTTCTTCTTCTCGTCGCCTGCCCCTCTTCTTATTGGCTCGCTTGCTTTCAACGTCACTTCGTCACCGCACACAGAACATTAGAAGAGGAAGATTTCTGCTACATTTCTTTCGTCGCTGCGTCTTCTCTCGCTCTCTCACTCTGACTCGCTGCTGGCTTGTTTGTGTCGCCGACTTGTTGCTTCAATTTTTATTTTATTTTTCAGATTTTTTGTCAACTTAACCGAAATTGAACAGAATTAGAACAAATATAAATAGCACGGCACTGGCGAGTTCGGCAACGAAACAGCTGAAGTTGCTGAAAAGAAGCTTGCAATTGGTGGGTATTTTCCGATCTCTCCAAGGAATCTTCTAGGGATGAGCGATACAGTGCGTGCGTTTCGTTCCTCGGTGTGTAGAATTCGTTTAAAAACTATAGTTTTTTCAGATGAGCTGCCCACTAATTGATCAGCTAGTTAAAACAACTTTCACACATACAGCTATTACCGCACCGAAAAAAAAAAATGCACAACAAACTTCTCCGACAGTCAAACAGCAACTGAAATGGCTAAAAACCGCTGAAACAACGGTTAACGCCGATCACTTGTGGCCCAGAGAGCGAAAGAAAGACAGACGGAGCTCAAAACTGGTTTTAAATTGTTCTCTGCTAGCGATGGCATGGCCAGCTTACGCCGAGCATCGATAACGCTGACGATAACGATATCAAGGAAGCTCTGGGCTCTTAGAGCTCGTGTTCTTGATTTTCAGTCGTTAAATAATTAAAAATTTATTATAAATAAAATATAAATTTTAAAAATTTGTACTTTTCTCCGCCTTTTCTGAAAGCAAGCTGTATAAATGTAATATCATGAAATAATCGATTTTATTGCCATCTCTGCTCAACAAGCAGTGCGCTGAACTGCTTGCGCATGCGCGCGCCTTTAAATTCCATTTTGTTTTGGGGACTTCAATCGCCGGGAAAATTAGAATAACCAAATAAGTTTTCATAAATTTTCTTTATTTATTATATCGACAGGGAAAAAAAACTGCTACTTTGACTACGCGAGAAGCTATCGCGCTCCAATCTCAAATCTCCGGATAGGCGCTGCCAATGAGGTTCTTACCCCTATAGCGCCACGAGTAGGTGATAATGCCGAACTTGCTGTTGCCCAGGGACACCGGGCAGGTGCGGTCCGGCCGGAGCTGGAAGCAGACCGTATACAGGGCCAGCTCCAGTTCCGGGGAGGTGCCCACGAAGACGGTGTTGACGGGCTTGTTGAGCCCCTGATGCGAGAACCGAATCTTCAGGATCTTGCCCTTCTGCAGGGACAGCAATATAAAAGTTTAAACAATATATTTGATATCCTGATTCTCTTACTCACCGTGCCAATGTCCTGCTCCTTCATGTAACCCTTGTAGTCGAAGCGGCCACCCTGCTCCTCATCACCGATATACACCCAGTTGTGGAAGCCAATGATGGTGCCGTCCTTCACCTCGTGCACGAAGACATGCTCAAAGCCGGAGCTACCGATCTTGCCCTGGCCGCGGGAGTACTGTGTGAACCACAGCTCCTTGACCAGATCCCGGTGCGTCTTCGGATCGGGGCTGAGCAGACCCTTCTGCTGCAGGAAGAGCATCGCCTGGCGCATCACCGGCGTGGCCATTACCGCGTCCAGGAAGTCATTCTCCTCCTTGCGCTCGTTGGGGGTCACATGCTCGTTGACCAGCGTGTCGTGCTCGTAGTTGTTGAACAGCAGACGCATCTTGGCGATCGTTGGCGACTCCAGGGCCTTCGAGTCCACCTGGAGGAGACTGCATCGGACAAAGAGAACCGATCACTTGATTAATCACAGATTAACTCTCTCACTGATTACTTACGGATTTGGAGCCTCGTCAGCGCTGTCAATGGACCGCGTGCGTCCCTGGACATTCACCTGGATGTTTCCGATTTGGCTGTTGGTCTCCTTGGCGTACAGCTGCTCGGTCAACTGGCGGATCTCGTCGTCGGTGGCCACCGAGTTGCCCGACGACTGGAAGCCAGGTCGCACTGTGCTAGTGGTGCCGCCGCCAAAGGATCCTCCGGCATGAGAGGGTGTGGGCGTGAATTTCGTTGGTACTGATGTAGGCGTTGGTATGGCTGAGCTCTTGGTGGGCTGTGCCGGATGCACCGGATGCTGGGGCGTTGGCAGGGGAGAGTTCCAAGCGGATGGAGAACCGGGCGTCGGCGTGGGTGAACCTGGAGGCGTCTTTACCGGCGGCAGGGCTGGGAAGTCCTCTTTCTGGGATGGCCTGCGAGGTCCTGGCAGCGCCGGGAAGTCCTCCTTCTGCTGCTGCGGCCTGGCTGTGGTGGTGCTAGACCCAGAGAAGCGCACATCGATGTTGGGCTGCACTCCCGGCGACTTGGGTCGCTGGGTGGTCGTCGTCGTTGTAGTTGTAGTAGTTGTGGTGCCAGCCAGTCCGAAACCAGGACGTCCTGTCCCCGCACCTGGTCCTCCGCCGTAGCTCAGATCGTAGCTATTCGGCTGCGGCTTCTGCGGACGATAGGGTGCAAAGCCCGGCGGCAGATTCGGAGCTCCAGCTGGTGGGGCTCCATTTGCCTGCGGACGACCCGCTGCGGGCACCTGCGGTGGCTGCTGCGGCTGGGGTGGCTTTGTGCTGGAGGTGGCGGTGGGCCACTGGGGACCACTGGCCGGCGGCGGTGAGGCACCGAAGGGCGAGGATCCCGGCGTGTCCGGTCGCGGTCCCAGCGGCATCAGCGGCGCATGCGAGATGACCAGCGGCGGTGGCTTCTGCGGCGATGTGGGCGTCACCGCCAGCTTGGGATTCGGAGTAGGAGTGGTGACCGAGATGCGACCACGCTCCGTGGTGGTGGTTGTGGTGGTGGTGCCATCGCTGCCAAAGAACTTCTTGAAGCCGCCGAACCAACTTGACTTCTTGGTGGTCGTCTCCGTTAGCGAGTCCAGCGGATCCGGTGTGATCTGCACCTCGCTCTTGTAGGCGGCTGGAGGGATGGATGGATGAATGGATGCAGGGGGAGTTTAGAGGGAAGAGGAGACATCGGGGTTTAGAGCTTCCTTACCTGTCAGGCCCAGGCACAGGCACAGGCACAGCAAGAGCCAGCTCAATGCCAGGCAGCGCATGTTGCTCGTTTTATTAGCACTTTGCCTTGGTTTATATCAGTTTTTTGTTGTTAGTCTTCGTTTTCTTTTTGCTATGTATTTTTTGTTGTTATGTCCCGGAGACAGCTCGACCGACCGATCGGAGATTCAGCTAGCGACTGGCGAGCGACTCCGGCTCGGCATCCGCCTGATCTTGGCGATCGGTGTTTGTTGCTGGTTTTATTAATGAGTTTACGTCGTCGTCGGCGTGGGTTTTGCCTCCGCTCAGGTGCGCTACAGCCACTGTAGCAGGGCATTTTGGCTTTGGCAAAAAATATAGGTATATCCTCGAGGAGGTAGTAAAATGAGATTTAAAAAATGGGAAAAAATATTTGGAAGAGTTTATTTTGGTGAATAAGCTTAGGTATTCACTCAATCACTTGGTTATTCAGTCAGTTATTTATTTAGATGTTTAGATGTTCATGTGTTCACTTGTTCACTAGTTCATTCAGTTGTTCATTTAGTTGTTTACTTACTTGCTCATTTATACAGTTGCTTAGTTGCTCACTTGGTTCCTTAGTTTTAACTTACTAAATTAAACAAATCAGTGAGCGATTGAGGAAACAAATGATCCAAAAATGAATATTTTGGTGAACTTCTTCTTTCAAAAGATGAAATAAACGCGTCACTATTGTTTCCTTACTGAATATTATTGCTATATAAAACAGGTAAAAGTAAAAGGTAAGCATTAAAATTGTTCAATATTACTTCAATCATTACCAAGATTTTATAAATAATTTAATTAAAGAACAGCAAAGTTCAAAAGTTATTTTAAAATCGTCAGTAACCAGCATACCTTCGTAAAATCGTATATATTTTTCGTTGACCATAAGAAAATCATTTTGCAAGTTTTTCAAGCGTTAATTATAATGATTATTAACTCTCTTAAATTGTTATTTAGCAGCAAATTCATTATTTATTTTATATTTTATTCTATTCAATTAGATTCATATTCATCGGAATTATTCTAGCTTATCAATTGCGTTTTAGTTTGAAAAAAGATTAGATCATATTGAAATCAACCTGATCTAATTAATGAAAGTCATTTATATTTTTTAAATATTTTTGATCAAGTAAAATCAATTATGAAAACACCATATATAGTTTACATTTTTATTAAGCAATTTTATTTCTTGTTTACATTCGTTTGTAAACATTTCTCACCTTTAAAAAATGTATAAATAATAAACAACAAATGTAAGAATCTCTTCATGTTAAATAAAAATATATATATACTTCAACCAGTGGCTTAAATATATAGAGGGCTTATAGTGGAATTATCCTCACCATGTCGTTGTGGCCGGGGACTACCTACAACTGCTTTGATCTTGGTTTCTGGAGGGACCTGCTCTTCAAGGGTTGGTCGCTAACGAGGGTCGAGTTGAGTTCCACAATTACCTGGACAGAGAGCACTAATTGCCAAACAAAAAATTATAAAAATAGCCACAGTACAGGGGTAGTCCGAAATTCCATTTGCCTTGGATTCACGTAAGCAAATTATTGGACTTACATAATGCCCTCGAACTCGGCTCTCTGCTGATGATGATTCCGCCAGCATTGTTCTGCTTCCCAAGACGACCCCAATTCCGCTTCCCCTTGCCACTAATTAATTGCACTCGCCAGAATCGGCCCCAGCATCGGTCCAGCGAACAATATATATACATACATATGTACATATATATTTGAAATTGAAAATTCAGAGCTAAAATCGGAGGCTTATCAGCCTTTCGGGCGAAAAGGCCACTGGCAAAGGTTATGTTTTGTGTGTGTGCTCCGATTTCGAGTGGATCCTATAGCTTCATATAGCTATAGATTAGAGTAAGTGTTTTTTTTTCAACACAGTGATAACTCGGAAAAAGGTTAGAAATTTGAATGGAAAGATAGATAGAAAGGAGCTTGTGAAAAATATTTATAAATAAGAGATTGAAAGAGATTCTATAACTGAATTGGGAGTTTTAGTTAGTGATTTTTTAGTTAGTAATAACTCCGAAAACCTTTGTGCTTTATGATAAACATCTATTATATATGTCGGAGATATCCGTTATTTAATTTAACCGTAGTCGAGCCAGCGAGTTCTGTTCGCCTGCGCAGTCAAATCGAATCTGTCATCACGCCACTTTTCCTGTGGCCCTTTCACCTTTTCTTACTTTTCACTCAGATGTCATTCCTAGACAATCTCAAGCTGTCTCTCTCATTCTCTCCTATTGTTGCGACAGACGAACAGACCTCACTCAGTAACACTCCTGTTACCGACTCAACTGTCATTGCGCCTGCGCGCCAGCGACACCTACAGGCTACCAATACCTGAGCATGCCGAATAGTTCTGTTGCCATAGCAACAAGCTTTCCAAATTTGCACTTAGCAACCAACTCGCCGACACGGCCATCCTGACAATTCACGCGTCCTCGCGTGACGTGTCTTCTAATAGCTCTAAACATAACTGTCATTTTCATTTATCATTCTCTCTTTTTTCTCTCTTTGGTCTCAACTTAACATTTCATTTTATCTGTTTTATTCATGTCAAATAAGCTTTACTTTTATTTCTTCTCGCCACTTCATTCTCTTCTCGTACCAAATCTGTATCTTCTTTCTCTGCTCGTACCACAACTCTTACTCAACATCTCTTCATCAATTTATACAGGCTCTTGCTGCACACTTTGCAACGCTCACACGCACCTCTTGCGTCACGGTCTCTCTGGACCCTCACAGCCTTATAAATGATTCCACCAACGAGTGCCTCAGTCGGCGATCTCTCGCTTACACTTCTAGTGTCTTCAAATGTTAGTTTGGCAGGATAACCTTTCGAAACCATAGAGTACAAGCTCTTTTCGTATTTCAAAAGGCTCCGCTTCACATATTCTGACCATAGGAATAAAGTAGGCCCTGTTTCATGTGATCCGACACGGCCTTCCTGACAAATCACACGTCCTCGTGTGTTAACTTTAAATCACAGTATTCTAAAATTTCAGTACTCGTTACATTTTATTGTTAACAAACATTTCATTAATTTTCTAAACATGAGTATTGAGGCATTTAGACAAAATAAGCATCTTGGTTTCATGATAACATAACAAATTACATCTTCATTTTAATCATAATTTACAATTCAGACTTCTCTAATTACATAGCTTTATCAACTGGTGTATTTCCTTTTACACCCACATACTGACCCCCGCCATAACAATTCCTTCTGTTATGGTGCGGTCTCCACTGACCCCCGCCATAACAATTCCTTCTGTTATGGTGCGGTCTCCACTGACCCCCGCCATAACAATTCCTTCTGTTATGGTGCGGTCTTTATATCCCCTCTTGGGATTCCAAGGCATCAACCGTGCCATCCATATCATCATTCCCCACATGGGAATCAGACGCATCTCCACTTGAGTCGTCTAAATCTTTAATCAACTTTAATCTTTAATCAATCAACGTCATTGCTTATTTTGTCTATTTGGCTATGCCCTCAAAAACTCATGCGCATACTTATAAAAGTTCGCTTACTTGACAGATATCTCAAAACATATCAGCCACCATCAAGCTTTTCTATAAACTCTGTTTGGTGCCGATCTTCATTTTCATTTTCCATCTTCATTTCTTTCTCCTTTCTCTCTCATTCTTAACATATTTTCCATTTTCATTTTTCATTTTAAATTAATCTTGCCTTATCAAAACTAGTGCTTTTCCGAACCAGCATAACGTAGCTTTAAATTTCTCTTTCTTTATACTTTTCTCTGTGTCATGTGGTGGTATCAAGCCCAAAGGGTGGGTCCGATTGGCATCTCTTAAGGGCTTGCATTGGTTGCACTACTAACTGTGCAGTTCGCCGCAAGTTGCACCCCGCCAAGAGCATCTTCCCATCACCTCTGCGGTCCTGGTATCCAGCCAGATGACTACTTTACAACTTTACACATGATACAATTTTCAACAATCTTTAAACTTAGTCATTTCCAACAATTCTGATAAATATTGCTGAGTCTATTTTTTCCAACCCAAACACATAACGGATTTATAACCTTGATTAATAACTATCCAACAAAATTTAGGGGACACTACTGGCAGATAACATTGCCTCACACCTCTCTGTATTCTTTAAAATCCCTCTTCGTAACTCAAGTTGATTTCAATTATTTTTAGTTGTTTATAAACTATACCAATAAATCCTGAATCCTGAAGTTGATCAGTCGGTCATTTGAGATTTCATTCTAAGTTCAGACGTTTTTCTGTCAATTTATTTTTATTTATCGGAGTTAAATCAGTCATGTGAATTCTGGACACAAAAAGAATTCCACAATTGCCTTGCGCTTTCTCTTCCTCTACTCTATGATGCACTTCAGTTAATTTTTTTTTTAGAAATGATTACATCTGCAATAAGTATAGACTACAAACTCTCATCTGAGCAAACAATGCCAAAAATGTCAGAATAATTGCACGCCAACCAATATTTCCAATTCATACAAAGGCTACTTGGACTCCACAAGACACATAGTTCTACCAATATATCCACCAACATAAGGGTCTCCATTAATTAGGTGTATTAGCATTGGACCATATCCACAAGAGCTTATATCTGTTTCAAATTTGATCAGATGTTTCGAACCAACAAATAACGATTACAGGCTCATTTGTAATAATATTAAAAACGTTCGTTCCAATTTCTGAATATCGTCATTTCACTTAAAGATACTTGAAGCCGAAGAATCTGTCTCATGATCTGAGAAAATCGAGGCACACGTTTTTGAAAATAAGGCACCAATTCAATAAATGGTCTTACGACGGTCTCTTAATTGCACCGATTAAAAGGACGGACCTTTAACGTAAGGATTTTCTAGGAATTGGGTCTGATTTCTCCACCGCACACCTCATAGCTCAGATACTGCGTAGTAGGTTCAAGAAACCCACATTTGGTAACGTTAAATGGCAACCCTGGTACAGTCAACACATTTAATACAACTTTCAGCCTTCGGAAAGCCTTTTCTTCCGAGTTTGCCATGATTAACATGCATCTATGTAAACTATCGCAAACAATCATGATAAATTCCAAACGCCTTAACAATTGCATGATGAAGGTAGAAGATGCACTCTTCAAACCAAACGGCACGGCAGACCAAACAGACGGCAACTCGTAATTTTTTTAAATTAATTATTTTTCAACAGAAACATTTTTCCTTCACAGGGTCTGACATAAGCGGCAAAGGCCACTGTCCGAAACCATTTTCGAATATTGCTTCCGATAGTCTAAGCACAACCTATCGTAGCACAGGGCTCGCCAATGGGAAGGCAGATGTGCAAACAACACTGCAATCAAACACATCTCTATTCCCATCTTTTAGCCAATTCAGCTCCCAAATCAAAGAATAATTGGAAAGGGCTCACCCGATACTGTCACTGTTGAATCACACAAATCAACTCGCTTCTACATGCAGCTGATGCTGCCGCTCGCAGCCGCTGATACCCATCTCGTGCACACAGATGCAATGTGACCACCGTTATCACGCCTGAAGTGCGTCACTCCAGCTCTCCGCACTTCAGCCGCAGTTCCGCCAGTGTGCTGTTGTTGTTGTCTTCCATTCTTCCCCAAATTTTCTGGCCGACACTGATGACACTTGCAACCGTCCGGCTCAACACGCGACCAGTGCATTTGACTGCCTATCACGACTCCGGTGTCTCGCACCACGCGGCTGCGCAAGCCTTCGATGCGCCACTGAATTTAATATCGACCGAAAATCACTTTATCAGAATGCCCGCGAGGCTATGGTGAATCCCACTTCTGATGTCGGAGATATCCGTTATTTAATTTAACCGTAGTCGAGCCAGCGAGTTCTGTTCGCCTGCGCAGTCAAATCGAATCTGTCATCACGCCACTTTTCCTGTGGCCCTTTCACCTTTTCTTACTTTTCACTCAGATGTCATTCCTAGACAATCTCAAGCTGTCTCTCTCATTCTCTCCTATTGTTGCGACAGACGAACAGACCTCACTCAGTAACACTCCTGTTACCGACTCAACTGTCATTGCGCCTGCGCGCCAGCGACACCTACAGGCTACCAATACCTGAGCATGCCGAATAGTTCTGTTGCCATAGCAACAAGCTTTCCAAATTTGCACTTAGCAACCAACTCGCCGACATATATTAAAAAAAAAAATATATATATATACTATATTAAATCGTTATTAATTAGCAAATAATTTAGTTTTCTTGTTAGCAAAATTAATATTTTCTATAGTTTGCAATACCTTTGTTTGCTTAGCTTTTGTAGGCGTATCATAACTGCTGGGTCATTGCTTAATTAATTAATTTATAGCTCTAAGGCAGACTTTCTCAGCAAAGCTAAACATAAAAGTAAACATTAATTTAGATGACCTTCAATTCTAATATTATTGTTTTCAAGGCAATAACAACTAACAAATTAAAGATACTTTAGCAATGTGAATGGGTTAGAGTTGCTTTTATATACAACCAAATTTTCTCGCTTAATTATTAATAAAAATATTTAAATAAAAATAGCATCGAATGCCTTTGAAAAAGAAAGAGAAAAGTAGAGTGAAAGTAGAAGATTAGACTCCAAACCCATGGCCGACTTTTAGGCTGAACAGAATGCGAATATAATTAATTTATACTTAGCTTTGTAGCTCAAGATTTTCCAAACATAAACATTTGACTAAGTAAACAAATCAACTTTATTGCCATACAAAAAAATATATATATATATTTAACAAAAAATGTCTACTCCTAATGCAATCACCTCACACGCTCTTATTGATGAGCTTCTTGCGAATGGACTCGTCCAAAGGTGGAATGGCCTCGCGGGGAATCAGGAACGTGGACAGATTGAACAGATCCAGGAAGACCTTGTACCGATCACTGAAATAAAATAATTATAAAGATCACTGGAAGATATATGACCATTTTCAATGCTCACCTGAGGGTAGACCGAAGATATTGATAGCCAGAGGAGCCGCCGGTGCCCAGCTGCTGGGATCCAATCATGCGTTGCACCATGATCACATGATTGTCTGCCAATGGTAGGAGAAACCATGATCAGAGTTGGGCTTAAAATGTATCTAAATAAAACTCACATCGCCACTTGGTAATCAGCGAATCAATGTCCATGAGCAGGGTGAGCAGCTGGTGGGGCTGACTGAAGCGCGGCTCATCCCGGTAGAAGGTGATCATGATGGCGCCCTGAAGTGCCCGATGGCTAAACCTCCTATCGCCGCGTCGCACCAGGGCATCGTGCACAGCCGGATCGAAGATGGAGCGATAGACTTCGCGACGCTTTTCGATATCCATCAGGCGATAGTTCTTGGCCAGCTCCACTGGCTCCTGCATGGCGCTCTGGACCTGGGCCTCCAGGAAACAATCGACGCTCTGCTGAAACTTCTCCCAGAAATTAAATCCGCTCTCCTCCAGGCCCGGCGTCCGCTCCAGCCAGCGCTGCACCAGCTCTAGCAGGGAAGGCTCATGCTCCGAGCTACGGATGGCATTTCGGGCCTCCTCGTCGCTAAAGACATCGGAGTACTTTTGGTTGTACCTCACCCGCTGATCGGTGAGCACGCCCAGCTTGTTCTCGATCAGGCGGAACTGCAGCGACTGAAAGCCGGAGGCGGGAGCCAGGTATTTGCGGAAGTCCATAAAGTCCAGCGGCGTCATGGTCTCCAGAATGGGCACTTGGTCGACGAGGAGCTGTAATTAAAGAATTATAGGAGGAATGGGGAATAGTTGTAATTGTATTTAAGAGACCCACCTTCAGGATGAGAACAACTCGATTGAGTCGCTTGACAATCTCTAGGGTCTTGGTCTCGTCAATGACCTCCGCGTCCAGCATGTCCCGTATGGAGTCGAACTCGAAGATGATTTGCTTGAACCACAGCTCGTAGGCTAGGGATGCAGATACAGTTAAAGATACATTTAGAGATACAGATACAATTACTCACCCTGGTGCGTTATAATAAAGAGATGCTCATCGTGAACCGGTCGCTTGTCCTCCTGTGACAGCATGCACTGGGCATCCAGCAGCTTGTCCAGCATCAGGTACTCCCCGTAGATCTTGCCCACCTCCGTGGTCAGTGGCACGGCGGAGTCATCGTGCTCGTTTCTACGAAAAGTTCCACAATTGAGTTCGGCTTGGGAACTACTAGCACGTGCCGCTGCTCACCCATTTCCAGCGTAGGGACAGCTCATCGTGGCTTAACCTGGATCGGATCGAATCGGTTTGGGATCGTGTTCAGAGATTCGAAGTTCGCCGAGCGACAGACGCTGTCAGACTGAAGCGGACGCGGATTGAAGCCAGACCCCAGCGAAATGATAACGCCGCCGGAGAGAGGGCTCCCAGTTCCGAATGATTGCACACACAGTCGTCGATCTGCGAGATGTGAGATCGGAGATCCGAGATAGACTGGAAAACCGAACGGAGGGGATTATCAAGCGTTAGAGGTGAAAGTGCCACCTATAAGTCTAGGCAACCTAAAGACGCCAATGGGTTTTGTTCTCAAGAAATTAATTACTTTGAAAATAAGAAACTACATTCCCCTTTCCCTTAGATAAAGTTAATAAATTAATAATAACTTTTAATAATATTGTATATTTTGAATAATATTTTATATAGCCAATATCATGGATTAAAGAAATTCTAATCGAATGTTTGAAAATCTCATCAGAAATGTGTAAATACCTTCATAATAGTTTGATCCTGAAAAATAGGTCAAGATGGTGCTTAAATAAAGCATTCATTATAATGTTTATCGATTTAAAATCGAATTCTGCATAGAAAAACTTAAATTCTATGCCAACTCACATATCTATAGAGTCCAGCTGAATATATGAATATGTTTCAAAGTTATCTAAATTATAAATATAAATATAAATATATAAGATGTAAAGATGTAAAAAAACTAGAACAATCGATTTCAAATCGATATTTCATACAAAAGAAACCTTTGATCTTGTTGCTAACTCTAATGTCTTATCAACTAAAATAATATATTGAAAAATAATACTAATAATAAATTGAATTCATATGTTTTTCACAGTTAGAGCTGCAAAAACTAAAATATCTATCGATTTTTCATCGATTTCTCCAAGCTAAAGAAGAATATTCTTCTTTCGCCCCCTTGGACGCTTCCAAAAACCACAATAAATAAGGATTAAGGCTCGTTTGCTTATAATTTTTCTTTGTATTTCTCATATATTTCTGGTTTTCATTTTTGTTAAAATGTATTTTTGAGTCATTGGCTCAGTCATATATTTGTTGAAATTTGTTATATATATATATATATTTATATATATATATACTCGTGTGCCATCGCATCAATTCTTGTTTTTTTTCTTCTTGCCATCGTGCCCCCACATACTTACATAACATATAGCGTAATGCGGGGGCGTGAATATCTGGCCTTAATATTTATATATACTAGTACATACACTTTTCTGTTGTTGTTCTGCATGCCCGAAAAACGCAACTGAGGATCTCAACCAAGTCAATCGAATATAGGATATACCATCATCTAAATGTGTGTCTAAATATATATGTATATATATATGCATTTTTCGTTTATATAATTTCCTTTTTGTATTTTTTGTTTCAACTACATTTGCATAGAAAAAATTGAGTTACTCGTATTTCCGTCGATATCCATGCACTGAACAAATAAAACTGGATATTTCATGCGATTTTTTCTTTTTTGGGGAGGGGGTTCTCTTGCAATGTGCTCGGAATTCGTTCAATGCCATTTATGTATTACATAAACATCTATTATATATCCATATGGCATGCCTGTGTATGGTATATACATATATATTTGTATTTATCATTTATCATTAATCGCTTTATCGTCTGTTATCGCTTTACTCTCGCTCTCTATCTGGCTCTAAATGTATTTATGTATATAATATGCAAATCGCGCTGCGTTTTCTAGTCAATTCTAGTTGTCGTAATTCTCTCAGTGTAAAATCGCGACACACATACACACGAACAAAAAGAGAAGAAACCAAGGAGAACAAACAAAAAAAAGTGCATATCGAATGCCTAAGATCGCGCTTTAGTTATCATTAATCGTTTATAGTTAATCGTTAATCGCTCTGTATATGTGATTTGTTAATTCTATGACTAAGTTGTTTCGTTATGCGCGCCATCTCTCTCAATCGCTCTTGCTCTCTCTCTCTCTCTCTCTGTGTCCGTCCCTTTCTTTGTGGCTAACAATCTAACTATTTCGCTCGCGCGCTGTCACCTTTCACTGCGTTGTCTTTGTCTCGCTTCCGTTTCCGGTTAGCTGTCACATATACTTAACCCTATTGCACTGTTAATTCGTGTTCGCTCTTCAAATATTTGTTCGTTATAGACATTAACACAATATCTGATCCGAGTCGCAATACAATATTTATATTTGTTGTATATGTAATGTTATGTTCTTTTTTGTAGCATGTATGTTCGTGTGTGTGAGTTTGTTTATAATTCTATGGAAAATATCAGATTTGATTGCGCTTTATCCTCTCTAACATTTCGCTCATGAATCTGTGTTGATTAAGTGACTATACTTATGTAGGGTTCCTTATCGACTAGATGGAATGAAAAGAGGAGGTATGTAGGTAGGTAGGTGATGATGGGATGCAATGCAATGCAAGCTTTGGTTTATTTATTTCTTGTTTTTTTTTTTTTTTTTGGCACTGATGCTGAGAGAGGCGGCGATTCGCGGAGGCCTAGAGGAGACTCCGCAGCCCAAAAGTATGCCTTAAAATACAGTATTTGCGCTGCATACTTTTGGCCAGCAAAACGTGCGCTTTGAAATCTCCTCCAGACTTGTATAGTCCCATTCAGGAAGTTGTGGAATGCGATGCAGGATGAGTTCGATCATCTACAAATGAAACCCAAACAAACTGTAGCATACAAAATATACATATGGTACGTGTACACATAGATCGTATTTTTCGTATAAACATTAAGCTTAGCGTAGAAAACCAAAGACTGTTGAAAATCTCAAATTTATTGTACAAAATAAGAAAAAAAAGGATAACTTAAATTATATATCTCTACAATAAAGATAAATAAAGCCTAGGCCTATACATACATATATAGTTTTAAATATACATATACTATATATACTCTTTGATAAGAGAGTGGTTTTTGTTTTTGGAGTTAGCAACAAATTGCACTACATTGAAATATATATATACTTTGTAATATCAATTCAATTCAATAAAATTCAATTATGTTTTAGTTTAGCATACAATAATAATTTATAATTTATAATGCATAATCCATAATCCATAATTAATAATTATGTTTCTGTGTTGAGTCATAGATACACGCTTAAAATCAAATGCACTTTCCCTTGAGCAAAACTCGGTCTTCTTGGCTAATAATAAATTAAAATGGGGTTACAGAAAAAAAATAGTTTCACATACAAATACGTGTATGTGCATTTGGGGTTTAACATTGCTAAATTTCATTTGCATAACTTAATTAATTTCTAAGCTTCTTTTAATCTACTAACTCTGGCTTCTTCGGTTTCTCTGTGTGTCTTTAGTGGTTGTTGTTGTTGCAATTACTAGCACCCAGCATGTAAGTAAATTCATGTGATTTGGTTGTATTTTGGTTTGGATTCGACATCCCTCTCTCTCTCTCTCTCTCTAACTCGTTAATTAATTCATTAATTCATTAATAACTATTAAATAAAATCCTCGACGGCAAGGCTCAACTTAGGGTGTACAGGGGCTTCCCCTGGCTGGTATTTTAATAACACTACGGACAAAGATACGGATAACACGGATACGGCTACGGATAAGGTTAAAGATACGCATACAGATACGGATACAGATACGGATACAGATACTTAACGGAAGATCTTTTAGAACCGATTCGAAAACGCTCGCTAGGGCCAACTGAGGGGCAACTCAACATATCAGCGGATGGGATGGGATCTCGAGGATGCTCTCTATCTATCTCTCTATCTCTCTCTCTCCCCCGGTCTAAGGCAAGGACATGGACATGGACGCGGCTCCTGCGGGCGCTCATCTACCCAGTCCCCCGCCCATTCCGCCTCCACCCAAATGCACTGAAGTCGCTGACAACTCGACGCGTTGACACTGGCGGCGCTCGACGATGACCGCCGCTGGCAGCGACTATTCAAGCGCGGGTCATACATTCATCGCATAGTACACGGATCCCTGGGCCTGGGCAGAGCCCACTCCCGCCGCCTGCTGCTGCTGCATCTGCTGTTGCTGCTGCATCTGCTGTTGCTGCTGCATCTGCTGTTGTTGTTGCTGCTGCATCTGCTGCTGCTGCTGCGCCTGTTGCTGCTGTTGCTGCTGTGCCGCTGACGTTGGCGATACCATGGCATTGCAATCACTGTGGGACACTGCCGCCGCTCCCTCCGGCACTCCACGCTCACTGAACCCGGGCATTCCGCCCTCCGGTCCGAACTGGTAGTGACCCTGCATGAGGCGCTGTTGCTGCTGGTGTTGCTGCTGCTGCTGCTGCTGCTGCTGCTGTTGGTGCTGGGCGTAGTGGGCGGCATGGCCACGCCCACTAACCACATGTAACTGCATGCCGGGCAGGGCATAGCCAATGGGCACCCGGATCGTCTGCTGGGTGACCTAGGTCGGAAGGAGACAGAAACAGACATTAGTGGCTTATTAAAATGAAAAATATTTGCAATATTAAATAAAAATTAAATTATATACAAGTTACCCTTAACTGGAGGTTAACAATTTGTTTTTTTTTTTTTTATACACACACATACTTATCTATCATGCTTTTTATGGTTAGTAAGTTTCAATAGTTTTGGTTTCAGAATTGAAGCAAATCCTTGGAGTTTTGTTTAGTTGTATTTATTTCGTTCAAATAACCGTAACCGGAGGTTAGATATTAGTAAACGGAGGTTTTACATAGCCTATAAATATATTAAATCTGATGTATTTGTATTCTTTAAGGGAAGTCTTTTGATTGTTGGAATTTACATCGCTATTTAACTATTTTTCTTATGCTTGATTAAAGTTAACCGGTGGTTAAATATTTTTTAAATATATTCTTTTTAATAACCCGATATTCCAATACATTTTCTATTCTCCATTTCCATTTCTCATTTTCAATTGTTTCGATTAGTTAACCCTAACCGGCGGTTAGAGAAAGGCATAACAAGATTTTTAGCATAGGGTTAGTTGTTCCGCTTCCACAACATCTACAATTCTGACCACACCCACACTTGGATTCTCACCTCGTCAACCGACTGATCCCCTTGGACTCTCACCTGCTGGTACTCGAGAATATTCTGGCGCTGGATGTGCGCCAGCTTGGGATCGACGCTGCTGCTGGTGGCGAACTGGGAGTAGGTCTCCGCATTGTACGGTATGAGCACCATGGTCTGATGATAGTTCCGCAGCGGCGGCGGCGACTCCGGTCGCCGGGTTGGACTCCGGGCAAAGTGACTGCTGTAGCTGCTGTGCTTGCTCTGCTCGATGGCGGTGGCCGTGGCCACATTGGTGGAGGTCACACTCTGACAATTCTGGGCGGCGGCATACAGCAGCGAGGCATCGTCCGCTCCGCCGGCCGCCGTAGCTCCCTGCTGGATCATCGTCTGGCGGAACATGGTGCCGGCGGGCAAGGTCTGGTAGTAGGTCTGCTGTATGGCAGCCGCGTCCATGGGGAAGCGTTGCTGTTCCCCGGTTTCGCTGTAGAAGCTCCACGTTCGCTGCTCCGTCTTTTGCATGGCCGCCGCCATCTGTTGCTGCAACTGTTGCTGTTGCTGCTGCTGCTGCTGCTGGTGTTGCTGCTGTGCCTGCTGCTGTGCCTGCTGCTGCGCCTGCTGCTGCTGCTGCTGGACAGTCTGTGGCACATTCTGGGGCGAGGGATTCTGCTTGAGCGTGTTGGGCATGGCGTAACTCTTCACGGCCTGCGGCACCGGCTGGCTATTCACCACGGTGGGTATCGCCGCACTGAGCTGCTCCTGCATCTGGGCCAGGATCTCGTTGGTGGAGCTGAACTTGGGCTTGATGCCGCGCACCGATGGCCGTTTGTTGAACCCATAGTCATTCTGCTCGTCATCGTCGCTGCTGGCCTGCGACTGTGAGGGATCCGCGCCCGTGTATCGCTTCTTTAGCTGCTCGGTCCGCTTGGCCTCCGCCTGGGCGAAGGCGGCCAGCTCATCCTGCTCCTGCCTTCCGGCTGCCTCCTGTCCCGGCGTGCCGGCAATCACATCGGGCGCCACTTTCCGGGCATCATCAGCTCCCCCCACTCCTCCACCACCTCCTCCGCCGGCGACAGCCATTCCCTGGGCCAAGCCCTGGGCAGCCATGGCAGCGGCATGCTGGGCCGCTGGATCCCCAGAAGCTGCCGCTGCTGCAGCTGCTCCCAGGAGGTGGCCCATATTAAAATCGGCAGCCGCAGCGGCTGCAGCATAATGGGCGGCATGCGCATGGGCATGGGCGTGGCCATGGGCATGCGGATGGGCGGCGGCAGCAGCTGCCAAAGTGTAGTAAGAGGAGAGGTCATCCTTGTTTCCAGCCACACAGGCGGTGAGCGGGGCCAAAGTGGAGGACAGGAACTGGCGCTTCGGCTCCGCCTGGCGAGGCGGAGTGCGATGGATCTGGGTATGCACCACCGGCACCTGGATGCCCATGCCCAAGTCGGGAGCCGCCGGACAACGGCACTCCTGCGGTATAATAACTATGGGATTCTCATCCATCTCCATGATCTTCTCCTGCTTCTTGTCGCGATTAAAGATATCGGCAATCTTCTTGTAGGCCGACGAGCCGCTCGAGGAGCTGGAAACGGAGCTGCTGGGCGAGAAGCTCTTCTCGCCATTCACAAACTTTTGGCCAGGGCCAGAACCGGGCACGGGATTGGGATTCTCCTCACCGGCAGGACTATCCCGCTGGGCCAGCTCATCGGCGGCTCGATCGGCGGCAGCCTCGGCATCTTCATCCACAGCCCGCTGCAGCTCCTCGGCCAAATCTTCGTCAATGTCACAGGTCAGCTGCTTGATGCGCTCCTCCAGCGAAATGTCCGACTTGACAGCTTTTTTTCTAGCGGAGATAAGGCTGTTAATGCTGAGGGGGAAGAGGTTACCAGGAGACTTCCCAGGACACTTACTTAATCAGGGAACGACGCAGTATGTTGCGCTCCATGCTGCGACGCAGGGTATCGGAGTCGCCACAGCTACCCGGCAGATGTGTGACCAGGCAACCGGCCCTCTTGGATTCATCAAAGGCCCGCAGGGCCTCGGAGGTAAGCACCGGTGCCTGGTGGGCCGAGACGCTTGGAAAGAGCTGACGCACCGCCGAATTGGGACGCAAGGCGTTATTAAACAGCGTCGAGTGTTTCTTGATGGGGATTAGCTCGTTGATCTGGTTCTCGCTGTCGTCCAGCTCGCCGGCAAGCGACTGGGCATCGCTGTCTGTGCCGGCATTGGCCTGATCCTCGGTCACAAATCTCACCGAGCGCTTTGTGGTGCCGCTCTCGTCCTCCGAGGTGGTGTTGTTTTGGTCATCCGATTGCTACAGAAAGAAGAACCTGGTTAGTAGGGTTCCGGAGGATGTCTACAGAGAGACTTCAGCTCACCTGGGAGATGGAGTCCTGCTTCCAGAGCTTGCCGCCCTTAAGAATGCCGCTGATCTGCGTTGGCGATGTCTCCTTGGGCGGAATGGGTGGCGGCTTTTGGGCATCAAACTGTTGCTGCTGCTGCTGCTGCAGTTGCTCCGTGGCATTGGGCGATGCTGTGGCGGCTGTGGCTGCTGCGGCAGCGGCTGCCGCTGTGGCACTCGCCTTGGCTGGCAGGGCAGGTGGCAGCATCTCCGCTCCGCTTGAGGGAACTGGCGATGGAGCACCGGCAACGACAGGGGCTCCTGGTGTAACGGCCACATCCTCGTGCGCCTCCCGGATGATCCGACGCTCGGTCACTGTGGTCATAGTGGTAATGGTTTCAACAACAAATCGTTTATTCTTTGAGGAGCTACTGATGGCTGAGACCGGAACCGTAACCGGTACCGGAGCCAGGCCTAACCCATAGCCAGTGTTGGAGTTGGAGCTTAAGCCTGAGCTGGCGCCTGAGACGGAGCCTGAGCCTCCTGAGCCGGAGGCTGATCCGGAAGAGGCCCTGCTACTTCTAGACTTGACCACTAGGCACGGGCAAAAGAGAGAATTTATTTGGGCGTTCAAAGAGAGCGGGTTAAGAGAGCGAGATCGGATCGGATAGATGTCGGAGATATGGTGACGAGATCGTATGCTGACGGATGCTGGATACGAGTTTTATATATGTTCACATGCGGATGCACACGAGATCCAATTGTGGACGTTTGAATGGCTTTGAAATTAAATATTATCTCGAAGAGCGAAAGCGAAGTAAATTATAACTGTGGGTTTATTATTATTTATATTTTTTAATTTAATTTTAAAACGCTCTCTTGCTCAAATATTTCTCTCATCCCTGCAATTTTTTAATTTATTTATATTTTTTATGTAATTTGGAAAGCTCTCTTTCTCGAATAATTTTCCCATTCCTATAAATTTCTTTCAATAAAACAAGTTATTAATATCAAAGCAACTCTAAGCTGGTACAGTACTGCTCTGAGAGCTTAGTTTTGACTAGGCTGGTCACTCTGATCAGGAAATAATTTTTAAATAATTCACTTTTTAACCCTTTTCCAGTAATAAAAGCAAAAAATCAATTTGCTACAAATGCTCAAATGGAAAATTTCAATGGGACCTTGGGTGTGGAGACCCCCTCCCTCCCTCGAAGGGTCTCTTATGTGAGGTGTGCAATGTGGCCATGGTAGCGAATGCCGTGCATAAATGCATGATAAAGCTAATAATGACCCAAAAGGTTGGCTTTGATACAGATTTGGATACATGTATGTGGGTTCAGGGTGAGGTTATTTAGGTATATGTAGGCACCTACCTGCTGTGGGCGATGGCTTGTACTGCGACTGCAGAACATACTTGGGCCGCTCCTCGCCGGCAATGATCTCCTTCTGGGTGATGCGTCGCTCGGGGGAGCTGGTGTGCAGTGGCAATATGGCCACGGCTGGCACACCCAGTGGTGTCATCTCCTCCGGACACTGTGGGGAACTGCATTCTGTGGAACGTAAAATGTAAATAAAAGAGAGAGAGAGTAATTAGTCATGGCTTTTATAAGAAATCAACCCCCAGAGACTTTAAAGATTAAAAAAAATACTCTTAAAGTACCTTTGTTTGTTAAAAAGAAGTGTAAAAATCAGCTTAAAGTATATTTTGCCCTAAGGAAATGTGAATTTGATTTATGAAAAATTTATAAAAAAGGGTGTGTATATTTTCAGGTTTCAGGTTCTTCCCCTTCTCAATATATACATAAAAAAAAACCTAAACCGATGATTAATCGGCAGCCAAAGTTCGGGGCACTTCCGCCTGTTGCTGGCCAAGCGGAAGCGCGCTTGAAGGATCGGAATATGTGTGCGTGCTTTCGGGGCCACGCATAGTTTTTTTTTTTTTTTGCCATAGACAGTGCTGCCTGCTCCCTACTCTCGACTGGGCTTGTCGCCGAGGAGGGGCTTGTCGCATTCGCGGTTCGTTAGGCGCAACAATTAATGAAGAGCACCACCGACGACTCCCCCGAAAATCCGGGTGCCAGTGCCAGTTGCCAGGTTCGTTCCATTGCCGCTTGCCGCTTTTGGCAGTCAATAAACCGTGACGACCATCGGCATTAATGCAAATGCAGCAGAAGCAGCACCAGCAGGGCTTCCAATTCGAATATCCTTTGGGTTGGGGGCTGTGGAGAAAGTGATGTTGCCGTAAATCAATCAATAGACTCGATAGACTCGCTGGGAACTTCTGCGGGAATGCGGGCGTTGAAGCAAACAAGACAATTATTTATGGCTGAGTCTCCTCCGTTTTGGGGTTTGATTTGTCGTCACCATGGAATTATTTTTTGCCCACTGATAATGGCCCAAGCTGGCAGTTGTGTTAACTATTGATTTGCAATAGTTTATGGCAAGGCCAAAAGGTTAAACAAGAAGCGTTACTAAGGCAATTCAATATATCTAACTATAAGATAGTTTCTACTTTACAAGGCCGTGATCCCTGTATCTCTATACATATACAAATTGTTTAAAAATAATAAGCAATATAATAAACATTAAAGAAAAATAATAAAAAATAGTATCTCCCTGACCAGGAGTCCCCTGAACGTCTGTGAACCCTGATGGGCCCCCTTGGCAACAGTTTTCGAATTAAATTAACTAGAGAGTTGCCACCGCAGGAGAGCTAGTGCAGCTCTGCTCACTGCTTTCCCGGAAGCGAAAAGCAGGAAGCATTAAAAATGGCGTCCAATTTAAAGGACACCGAGGCTGAGCATGGCAGATTGTCAACGGCCGGGGCGAATGTTTGCTTAAATAATTCATAATTAGATTACACAAAGGCAAACGAAAGCGTTTGCGAATGAAAAGAACGCGCTCGACCGCCACTCCCCCCAGATGGGGGATGCCCGCTAATTGCGTTGCGGCAGGGAGATGGATGGGCAGGAAGATGGGGATGGTTACCAGAAGGGGGATCGGCATGGGAAAAGGGCACATGCTGCGGGCAAGCCTGACATTATAAAATAACAGATCGTATTACTGGAATTATCTAAAAGAATTCATTTCTATTCTGATTACTGACATCACAGAATCTGTTGTGTCATTAAATATTAATATTTCTTTAATTTATAATAATAACTAATAAATAAATAATTTAGATTCTCTGCTCACCTGCTTCCTGGAGCTGCTTGGCCGCGCACTCGGCGCACTCGGCACACTCTGTGCACACGCCCTGCAGATCCTCTTCCGATTGCTGCTGCTGCATGGCAGCTCCATGATGCGGCTGTTGATGCGACTGTTGCTGATGCTGTTGCTGCTGCTGTTGTTGCTGCTGCTGCTGTTGCTGCTGCTGCTGCTGCTGGGCCGTGCCTACGGGCGGTGGCGGTGGCGGTATCTGGCCAGCATTGGTAGCGGTGGCTCCATTGCGAGCGGCCAGCATGGCAGCGCGCTGCTGCTGGAGGCGCTGGATAACCTGCAGTTGCTGCAGATGCTGGGCCCCAAAGATGTGGCCACTGAGGGCGCCGCCCAATGTGTTCTTCAGGCTGCTGTCCTTGTAGCCATCGGGCGGACTGAGGGCGGCGTCGTCCACGAACTCGATGGGTGGCTGGTATTTGGGGCTCTGCAAAAGGAGGACAGGTGAAGCAGATAAGTTGCACCGCAAATTAAGCTAATCGAGTTAAATGTAGTTATGCATATATCTGTGTTGCTACATGGCTGTGGGTTATGCAACCAGGAGAGTGTGCTAATCCTGGCAAATGGATGGATTTCTGAAGCCAAAAGCCACAAGTATTAACCACAAAGGCCATGGGAGACGGCAGTCTAATACAGAAGTAATATTGCTATTAATGAAGTCAGGAACATTGAATTAAAATGTGTTTTATACGATTTCTCCTTGGTAAAGCTACCAATATTAACTCCTACATTTAAAAAATATCACAAAAAGCTATTAAAACTACATTATATTTCATAAGAATACCAGTGAGACCGTTTTATTAGGAAAATTACAGCCATATTTACTTATTTTATGTGGTTGTTTCTGTTTATTTTCAACAATTTTTTAAATACTTAAAAAAAAAAACAATTAAAACGAAATAAAAATCATTGATTTAAATTTCTTTTATATTGATTTACATATTATTTATTTATTTTGCTTGGTCACACTGACAAACGCTTATTAAATGTTGTATGACTGTACTTCTTCTAAGATAAAGAAAAGAAAATTGCTTTCTTCACTTTTCTGATGATTTTTAAGAAGCTCTCGAAAGGATAATTCCTTTTGTTGACTTAGTTTTAAAACGAAAAGATGTATTTTTTTTTAAATAAAATATCATGTCACATAAAATCATGTACATATTTTTTGTCAGCAAGTCCTACCACTTTTCCGGCTGAAAAAACCCAGCTGAAGTTGTAAAAAGCCAACCCAAATCCTGCCACACAGGAACAGCGACAGCAAAGGAAGTGCACAAGAGTTATGTTACACCCATGTGTGTGTCTGTGTGTGTGTGTGAGTGAGTGGCATTCGAAAGTATGGGATATGGGCTTCGAATTCCATTCCCAATTCCCCGGGGGAACTGCCAAAAAATCCTGTTTATTTGCAAGTGTAGCAAGAAACCTGCTGCTGCTGCTGCTGCTGCACCGTCTAGACTAGGATCCTCCCGGTCGGAGACTTCTCTCTTCGGGCTTACAAGGAACACACATCCTTCCTGATTTCTCTTTTTTGGGGGGGAGAGGAGGCCTGCCATAACTCTTCTTGAGATGGGAAAACTTTTGCATAAATGCGGTGTCTTACTTTTTCCAAGGAAGTGAATGCGGCGGATGTGGCTAGCTGAGAGTGTGTTATGCAATGCACTGGGTAAACTTGTTACACACACTAAATGCATATTAAACTCTTCAGAGAGCACACCCGCACACACACAGACTCAGCCTAGGAGGAGGACGCACTTGAGCAGCGCCAAGTCAAGTGCATTGGGCATTGCACTGAGCAAAAAGCCAGCTCTATTAGGTCACACCAAATTTATGAAATAACATATACGCTACTAGAATTTTTGCACCATGCAATGGCCAGACAGGACGACTCAAGGAGGAGACAGAGAGAGAGCCAGAGTATGGAGCAGATAAGCAAAAAAGCGGCGCACTCAAGTGTCGCTTATGTGGCAGCAAATTGAAATTTAAACGCAGCTCGAGGGCCGCTCAGGATCGATACGAGTGCCGAGGTGAGAGCGGCAATGACGATAATGACGACGCTGACGAGGACCAAGAGGCTGATGATGGTGATGATGATGATGACGAGAGTAGTGTTGAGGAGGGTTAGGAATCAGGGAAGGCAGGCAGGCAGGCAGGCAGGCAGGCGGCAGACAGGAAGGAAGAAATGTCCGAATCAAGGCAGGCAAGGCAACTTTCCTGAATGTCCTTAACACATAAAACGCGCTCGCTCATCACGAACAGCCTGACGACGCCCACAATTCATAAAACAATCTATCACTGGCAAACACTGGGACAACGGCAGACAGACACCCAACAATGTTGCTGCAGTTTCGAGTTACTGGCACAAGAAAAGCATTTTGTATAAAAGTTCTTAAGTGATTTATACACACTTGCCAATAGAGAATGCGAGGACAAACTCGCAGCTATTATGTGTGTTATGTGCCATCCGCACAATGGCCCATGTATCTGCGTATCTGTGTATCTGTGCCTGCGCCTGTATCTCTATCTCTATCTGTATCTGTGTCTGTGTGTGCGGCTTGACTCCTACTTGACTGCCACTTGGGCGGTTAGAGGGGGTGTAGAATCGAGGACACTGGGGCCGCTGTGCTTTTGTCCCTAGTCCTCCTCTCCATCCCCCCCCTCAACCGATAACAAAAGTTGGACAGCCCTGCGTTTTGGCCGTAATTAACATGGAAGGCTGGCATGTCACACCCTCCCCGAGTCGCCGAGGAGATAACGTTGAATTGAAAAGGAAAACAACTCCGGGCTCCTCCTAATTTGCAAGGCAGCATCCCGGATTGAAGTCGTCACTCTGGCTGAGTAAATGATAAACCAACATCCAAAAGCCAAACTGAAATCTGACTGAAATTCCCAAGAAAATAAAACTATCAAATCTTAGTTTTGGGAATCAAATGTAGAGGAAAAGTCGGTAGGGATAAGGTAAGTAAGATAATAAAGAGATTTAAATGGATTAAATAATATTAATAATAATTTAAAAGAATAATATAAAGAATTATATATACAAGATTTGAGGGAGATGTTATCAGTAAAAGTGGTTAATATATTAAAAAACATCTTTTAGTTTGTTTTTTCCCAAAAAATCGATATTTTAAAATAGGAATAAATGAATAAAAAGTAATATTCTAATATATGGGATCAATACTAAGGATTTAGTTTAAAATGTGTTTTAAAAAGAGTTTCCTAACGATTGAAAAATAAATGTAACCATTTTCAAGAACGTTTTTTTTTTCGATAATATGAATATTTTAACCTTGAATACGATCAAATTTAGTTTAAAAAATATTTCTAAACACATTCAGTTTTATTTTATATTTGTATGTATTTTTAAACACATTTCTAATTATGTATTGTGGTTAAGAACATTTATAAACATTTTCATAGACATTTTTCAATAATATCAATATTTTATTTAATATATTTTATTTCATACACATATTTTTCCATATTTTAAATATCGTTTGCTTTTAGTTTTAACTGTAGGCTAGCATTATATAAATAAATGAATATCGTTTTATCAAACTTTACAACATTTTCGATAGGAAATTGACTGCTTACATTTGATTTTCTCACTAAAATGCATTATTTATCGATATTTTCGATACAACATTCAGCTCGATTTTCTATATCGGACTTATTTCCAGGGTGAATGAAGACATGCTTCAAATATGCTTTCATCCCTCACCCGACTTTGCTTTATATATTTATTCTGGGCCGTAATTCTCTTGTTTCACCTAACTAGCTGCGTTGCAAGGGGAATATATATAGCAACTAAGTATGAAAAATCAACTTAAACTTGACACAGGCACCACGTCATCATCAGCGTCGGAGAGAACAAGCCAAAGAAGCGCACGAAGTGGGCAATAAACCAACTTAAGCAGCGACCTAACTGGGATAAAAGGGGATAGTAAGGAAGGAGCGAGGTGTGGCTCGGGTTGCCCCCTCATTAGCCGGAGTCCAGACCCAGACCCGGATCGGACCAGAGCCCGAGACGACGGCTAATCAGCTTATGCAGCCCCCGGAACCGGACAAGTGGGAAACGCAATCCGCTGGCTTGGAGCACAGAAACAGTGATAGGAGACACCTGGCTGATTCAGTTAGATAAGTCAAAGCAAGCTTCAAAGGTAAGTTTTTTATTATTTAAAATATTTAAAATACAAACAAAAGAATGAGACTCCCAGCTAACTAAGAAACCCCATCTAAATCTCAAACCCAAAATATTTCCAGGCATTTAATAGGTTCCCCCCTTTGATCTCCACTCACCTGTGGCGTTCGGCCATCTCCACCCTCGGCGGGATTGACCGCATAGTTGCACTGGCAACCCTCCTCGCAGCACAGACGCACCAGCTCGTGCTCGCCGCAGGTGCAGGGCTCCTCATCCTCCTCATCGTAGGCGCAATCCTCGCGTATCAGTATAATGTAGTCCGCCTCAAAGAACTCGTTGCGTGTCTCATCGAAGACGACACGGTTCTTCCTAGCCGGCGGCGGTCGATTTGGCTTCTTGAGCAAACCGCGCAGCTGGCCGTTGACCTCGCGCATGGTGTGGACGCCGCTGGTAGGGATTGGAGCTAAGGGTTTTGGCGGTGGCGGCGGCGGCGGCGGAGCTCGCCCTCTAACTAATATATCTGTGGTGGTGCTGCTGCTAATCACTTCCTCCTGCTCCTGGCTGGCTAGGCACTCATGGCACTGGCAGGCTCTGTGGCTATCGTTGTTGCTATCGTCGCTATCGGTGTAGCACTCCTCCGCCTCCTCCTCGTCGTTGTCGTACTCCTCCTGTTGCTCGCTGACAAACTCGGCCAGCAGCTCGTCGTAGCACTGAAAAGTGGTGCTGGTGGTGCTGGTGGTGCTAGTGGTTCCAGCCTGTCCACGTTCCACAGGCTTAATAAGATCCGTGTGGTGGCGGCTCCTCTCGATGGTTGGCTGACTGGTGCTCCACTGCAGCTGGCGGGCGGCCTTCAAGTACTCGCTAAATCGCTGAACATCGAACTCGCTGAGCGGTGGCCCAAAGAGGTCCTCCTCGCCGGCATTCGCTGCCTGAAGCGGCGGCTGATGATGATGATGATGATGATGATGATGGTTGTAGTTGTCGCGATGCTGCTGTCGGATTGCTGGGACAAAGGCGCTCCTAATCCTGCTGATGCTCCCTTCAGCCACCACCTCCTCGACCGTTTCGATTTCAATCACCACTTGGTCGCTGCTCTTCGGTGCTGCTAATGCCGAGCCCGAGCACGAGTCCCCGCTCGGGTGCTCGTCCTTGCTCTCCTCGCACCGGCGCAGTGCCAACTGGAGCTGCTCTTCTCCAGGAGACGTTCTCAGCAAAGTTGCCTGGCGATTTTCAGCTGTGGCTGATGGTTTTTCGCTTTCATTTGGCAATTGCTGGACTGGAATACAATCGGCGTCTAATTGGATTGCACTTGAGCCTGGTGTTGCAACCGTCTTATTGTCCTTCTGCTCAGTCGAATCCTTGCCAGCTTGGAGAGTTTGAGTTACAGTTTGGGGTTGAGCCAGGGGTTGGGGCTGGGACTGGGACTGCCTAGTGGCCTCTTCTGCTGGGGGTGGTTTCTTTGTTATGCTTATGGTTTGTTGCTGCTCCCCCTCCTGCTCTTGCTCCTGTTCCTGCTGTTGTTGTTGTGGTCTCAAGGATGCCTTTACACAATCAATGTTACTACTACCGCTGGCCACGCGTCCCTGAAAGTTATACTGCAATCGCTTCAAGCGCTGGCTGGCCACAAAGTCCTCGCCCAACTCCAAATCGCATTCGAAATCGATGAGATCCTGGTCGCTGCTGCAGCTTGTTGCTGTTCCAGCTACGGCTCCTACCACAGTATGTCCCTCAATGGACTCGAAATCGATGAGCTTCTCGGGTTTGGAAGCTGGCGGAGATTGCTGCTGCTCTGAGGCTGCTCTCACGTAATCCACGTAACCGCCAGGCACACTTTGTGGTGGGCGGACGACAACAGCAGCAATGCCACCGACAGCAACATTATCACCCAAAAAATATGGGTGGCTGGTGGGGGCTCCTCTTGCTCCTACTGCTCCCTCTCCTGGCTGCTCCTGCTTATATGGCAATGACAATGGCGCCTGCCCCGACTCCTTTGACTCGTGCTCCTTGCCTAAACTTAACCCTGTGGCTGCTGCAGGTGCTTGAGTGGCTACCTCCGCTGCTGCTGCTGGTGGTGCTGCTGCTGTTGCTCCTGCTGCTGGTGCTGCTCCTTCTCCTGCTGCTGTTGCTGTTGCTGTTTTAGCTGCTCTTGCTGCCTTGGCACTGTGCACATTTTCACTGGCATTAAAAAAAAAACTATGATTATCGAGCCCGCGCCTCCCGACTTTTTGCACAAATTTTTCTGTACGCCGCGCGACGTCGCCTGACGACTTCTCCGTCGGAGTGAGTCTGGCACTGCCCTGCTCTTCCTCTGGCTTTGATTTTTCACTGGATTTCAATATACAAATCGCAGCAAGTCCAGATTTTAAGCCAGAATCGCTAGACGGCTGGCTAATGGGCACGGCCTGAGGCTTCAATTCGGACTCGGACTCGGACTCTGTCTGTGGCTGTAGCCTCTGCTGCTCAGCTGCGACAAGGTTGGCTTTGGAAAGCTCACTGCCAATTGTAGGTATTGAGCAGGCGCTGCTCCCGTTACCATTGCCACTCTGGGCTGTCACATTGGGTGGTTGCTGCCGCTGCTGCACTGCGTCGGCGCTCATGCTCTGGCTCACGCTCTGGCTCTCACGCTCGAGTTGCGCGTACTCACATTTCGTTTTCGTGGCCACTTCCGTTGCTTTTGTGTCGCCAAAGTTGTAGCTTTTGTTGTTGCTGTTGCTGCCGCAGTTGCTGCTGTTGCTGTTGCAGTTGTTGTTGCTGTTGCAATTGTTGTTGCCAGTGTATTCAGCACGCGCACGCGCCTCATCATTGACATGGTCGCGTGAGCTGCGTGCCTCGCCTGCCAAGTGGTGATGGCCTAGTCCACCGCCATTACTGTTGGCCAACAACAGGGCCTGGTCAGGTACCGTTACTGCTCCTGCTGCTGCTCCTTGTCCTGTTCCTGCTCCTGTTCCTGTTCCCACTTTGCCTTGACCATGGTCCACTCTCTTGGTACTCATCATCTTGCCACCGCATATCGGCGGCTCGTTTGCCAAGGCCAGCGTCAACATGTCCACAATCAGCATGATCTCTTGCCACCCCCCAAGATCAGATCCTTGGATCAATTAAGCCACATAACCCACTAGGGATCAGTGTGTGGGAGTCTCTCTCATGGGGCTTTCCCACCAACAGGTTGAATTTTTACTACTTTTGCATAAATTAAACGCGAGTTAGAATTCCGAATTTCACACACACGGGAACAGGTGCGCCGGATGGTGCGGTGGTGGTGCACTCGAGCGCATCCTGTGCGAGTGTCCCAGGACCAGATAATACCCGGTTTGTGTGTGCGTTGTTTAGGGGGTTGACGTGCTTCGAGCGTTACGCGCCAGCGAGCATTCTTTTATATTATGTTTTTGTATTTTTTTTTTCACCACCAAAACACAACAGAAAAACAGAGCACGAAACATAAACAAAATACGAAAAAATTATCGCTGCTATTTTGGGTTAATTTTCTTAGTCTCGAGCTTGATGGGTTGGTAGTTTAACCACGCGACGCACGTCCATGCCCGGTTCGTGACGGAAGTCGAATGAGCAAACCGAGCCCAGTCTTTGCCGGCCTCAGTCTCGGTCTTCGTCGCGATCTCGGTCTTTTTCTCTGCCAACGTCGTTGCACAGTGGTCTGAGATCAACGACCGAGACTGGGCTCAGTTTCAAGAGCTAGCTGTTGGATGTGGTGAAAGGTTAAGTTTCTATAATCACAGTCTAAATAAAGCGGTTTTCTAAAAAACCAAAAGCTTCTTTTGAAAGTTTTCCTTGTAGCTATTTAATAACTTTCAACCAGAACCACTTGGGAATTATAAGAAATATTTTTAAAATTTCTTGAGTTTCTAATGTCTAAATAAATTTGTTTTCAAAAGAACCAGACGCTTCTCTTTATGGTTCCCTCGTAGCCATCAATAACCAGAACCACTTGAGAATTAAAGCAACAAATTAATTAATTCTTAAATTAATTGATGAATTCTTATTCATATATGTATATTGTTAGTTTAGTTTTCTATAAATTTTCCTTAACAAAATCTTCCCTTAAATTATATTTACTTACAAACTTAGGTACTATTAATTGTTTCTTAACAAAATTGTTGCTTTTTGGGATTCTCCCCTGATTGTTCCACTGTGCACCGCCGCTTTCTCTGCCAGCGTCGTCGTCGTCGGGGGCGCATGCGCAAAAAACCGAGCAAAGCGGCGAAGAAAGGCCGTAAAAAACAGAAGCGGAGACGGCGGCAAAGGTGGTTGTTCGGTTGCATGCAAACCGACCGAGGAAGGCAGGGGTCGGAGATGCCAGCGTAGCTACTAACTGGCATTTAGCCATAAAGATTGGAGGGTTTTGGGGGTTCCTAAGACAGGCTTTAGCTGGCATATGATCCAAGTATGTAAAGCAGCTCCCAGAAATACAAAAACAAAACCTCGACACTTACTCTTAAGGTTCAAAAAAACAAAACTAAGTCTCAGAGGTTTTTGTTTTTTAATTTTGTTTCTCAATATTTGTTTATTTATTATTTCGATTATTTAATGAATATTTGGTATATGCATATATGTATCCCTGGCTCTTTTATCATCTTATGTTATGTAATTTGTTTAATTTAGATAATATATAAACACATATATTTATTTAATTATCTATTTATTAATTTCCATAGCCAACATAGCTGCCAGCTCTAACGGGCTTTGTGGGGTTGGGGGTTACAGTGCGAGTGCGAGTGGCAAAGGGGAGCCACGACGCTTTAATGACGGTTCAGTGGGGACAGATCGCCCAGCTCACTCGCTCAGAAGGGGCGACAATTTCGAATTACGCACCGGCGGTCCAAGGGAGCACTTTATGACCACGTCTCTCCGGCCAAGACTAGTGGACGCCGGCTATTCGGGTCGATCACCGACGTGCCCAAGCCATAAACTTGGCTAGAAGCCGAGGCAGCCAAGATTTGGATGATCGTGATCATAATGAATGTGATTAGACTTATAGTAATGATGCGGGCTCAACACACAAATATGTCACACTTGGTCCCCCCGATACATACATATTTGTGCTGACAACGGAACCCATTCACATTAACTCCTTCATGGTAACATATATGTAGTTATGATCTAGGCTAATACGGAGTTACCTGTTCAGAGAGAGAGACTAAAAGAGAACATGACAAGTTAATTAGCATTTAATTCAACAATTTCTCATTAAATTATTAAGATGATGCATTTAAATTAACGACCTGCCTTTCAATTATAAAGAATGTGTGGAAGAAACTGTGAAAGCAATAAAATAGGCTCAAGATAATGGGAATTTTATGATATTATTATATTTAATTAAAGGTAAACAAGTGGAATGTGTCAGTTACGAGTTTTTTTTATGAAGAAAAGGAAGAACATAAAGTAATAAATTCTGCAGAGAACTTCCAAAACAGATCTTCCTAAATTATTATTTAAAAATAGAGATTATTTATCCCTAAAATCTGAAGACAAAATATAAAATATAATATTAATCTTCCCCATCTAGTAAGCTCTTCTCTGAAGTCTTTGGTCTCCGTCTCCGGTTCTTAATGAAATTTCCCTGAAGCTGAAGCTTGAGTCGTATCTCTTGGTGGTTTATATAAGGTGTCGGGCACACACAATCGACCGTCAAGTGATCCGATTTGAATCTCTCCCTCTCCATATCTCCGGATCTCATTGCAAGTACCTGCTGTACATGCAGACGTGAGTATATAGGAAAGATTCCACGTACTTACTAACCCCATATAAAACAGACTCATTACCCCGACAAAGACGAAGACGACGATGATAATCATGACGATGATGACAGGCCCCGGGGTTCCGTGGTGGTGTGCATGGAGTGTGTGTATAGTGTATGCTTTTTTCCGGGGCAAAACTTATTACTAAGTAGGAACAGATCGCGAGCAAACTGAATGAATGGAAAATTGTGGGAACAATGAAGCCCCCAGCGTTTGCCGAGAGCGTGAGAATTTCGCCACCGCCAACGCGCGCTTCTTTGGCCAGAAAAATCTTGGAACTACCGAACTCCGAGCACAGAGCACCGAGCACCGAGCTGCTTCGAGGCTGTTTAGCACACAATGCCGCCATTAAAGGTCGCACTGTCCCCGAGAGTCTCCCAGGCCATGCCATGTTATATACTACCGACGCCGCCATCGGCTCCAGTTTGAAATCCCAGCTCCCATGCCCATGCCATGCCCTCTCTTCGTCTGGGCAAGAGTTGCGCGCAGATCCGAAGCCAAATTGCCGTCTTTAAGTTGACTAATTTTCATTTTGGCCGCTGCATTTTTCCACTTTGCCATATTATAGGCCCTCAAAATATGCGCATAATTCGAATTTTGCTTTAAGTGTATGTGCGAAAAGTTAACACCCTCCCCCACCAGGGTTTTCCATTTTTCCGGGCGAGTTCAAGGCGAGCTTCGTCGTCGGTTCAATGTCTCTCCGCCGTGCGTGACTCGGCATTATAAGTGGGACCCATTGCACCAACCAAGTCGGCGGGAAAACCATGGCTGACTTGGCAATTATAGGTTGCCATTTTCGGTTAACATTTCATTCATTCAGCTTAAGATTCCAAGGATTTGGCAGATCTACAAAATAGAGATCCAACCAGAAACTAAACATGAACCACTTCCCTTTTTTAATTATTATTTTTTTTTGTTTACTAAATCATTAAGCGAGTTCCCCTTAAACGGCGGCCATAAAAACAATTTAGATGTAAGAATTGTCATTAGAAGGAAATCGCTTACATCGCCACCGGGGTCCGAGCTTAGCCCACATCCGACTCTCCAGAGATCCCCCAATGAACATGCTTGGCTAGACACTGAAAGAAACGAGGAAACATACATAGTTATGGATGATACCACATATCTTATGTTTTATACACTTATTAAAATATTTTTGTGTGTTATTAGGGCAAACTGGGCTGTACTTACTAGTGTAGTTTTTGGATTGCAGATGTGTTGGCGAATCGGCGAAAGCTGGGAAAAACCTGGACTGATCTCACAGAGCTACTTACCTTTAAAGTAACTAAATTTAAGAAACAATTTATGAAATACTTAAAATAATTTTTAAGAATTCCTTATATTTTATATTATATTTTTCAAGTGCACCTTTGTTGCTTTCGATGCCTCACTTTGCCAACATCTTTGTTGTTTTGGGGCGCCCCCCCTGTCCCGCATCAAATTCAACTAACTGACTTTTAATTGTTTAAGACGTCCAAAGGCGGCGGGACAGAGGCGAAAGCGGAGAGTGGGGCTATGGCGAGTCGGTTTACCCCATCTTCAGCCGGTGTCGGTGTCGGTGACAAAAGACAAACGAACCTCGGACTCATGCAGAGTAGATTCGCCATTCCTTGTGTGTTGTTGTGGGCATGTAACTCAATTTACAGCCGTCGCCGTCGCCCTTTTGTTGTAAGCAGGAAAAGTCGCTATGTTTTTACCTGATGGTCATATCTCTATCATGATCTCGGTCTGAGATTTCCTGGTACTTGCATAACAACACACAGCCCAACTGGCCACGAGCCCATCATCTGGCGACGATGATTAACGAGACAAATGGGAGACTAATTCGAAGGATTTGCTAATGATTGCCCAAGACACTTACGATTATGAAGCGTCACTATCTTCAGGGTATTGTGTCTGGTCATTTTTTAACGATTTTTTTATTTTATTTTAAGGACCGGTTGATTGCCCAATCAATTTGCATTTATTTTTCATTATTTCCTTTATTTACTATGTGCAAATAGGACTTAAATTTATATAAATATATTATAAAATTATTAAATTTACACAGAAATAGCAATATTTTAAATAATTTTATTTGAAAGACTGGTTAATGATCTAATCAAATTAGATTTATTTTATTTTTCATTATTTCCTTTATTTACTATGTTCAATCAGTACTTTAATTTAAATTAATTTAATTAATTAAAAGCACAACAAAATAATAATTTAATTCAAGTGCAAGCGAGATGTTTACAATGCAAGTGAGCGTGGTGCCCTGATAAGAAGGGACAACACCACTTTTGAACTAGTTCCCAGTTCTATTTTGAGGTTATGAGCTTTACAAGTCGCTTCCAATGATTGATCCTGTTACTTTTACCTGACGCGCATAGAAAAAACGAATAAAGTTTAACCGATTTCGCTAAAACTAAAAGTTTTAGTCATATTGAACCATATTAAGCCCAATGAAGGATTGAGGAATAAGTTGCAACTGCAATTTGGATCAATATTGCCAAAAACAGTGACTAATTGGCATTGTTCAGCACTGCTTCGGCAGCCTTGCAACATTAGATTTATCGATAAACTCCTCGATCTTTCTTTTCTCGAAATTTGCCAAGATTGAATCGGCGTCCTCTTTAATAAACTAAATTATTACGAAAAGTGCACTTTTTTGATACCAAAACTAACAACAAGCATGTCTAACAAAGGATCCTACTTGATAAATGCCCAGAACCGCGACATGATAGTAAAAGAATTAGAAATGAACTTGGTCCAATTGGTAAGTAATATTGTGCAGTTTCCACGAAAAATGCAAGTGGTAACCTGCTCCTCCATCTCACCGCTACAGCTCGTCGATTCCGAAATGATACAAGTGGAGCTAAAGAAGCTCATAGAGCTGAAGAAGATTTTCGACCGCAAGTACAGCGTGCTGGCGGCTCTAATGCCATTCCCCGAGGACAATGATCTGATGCCTCGCCTCGAGCAGGTGGTATCGATGGCCGAGAATCTGATTAGTAAGCTCTCAATGGCCAAGGCCAAGGCCACTGACCAGCCCTGCCAAGAGGCCAATAGTGTCACGGCGATGAGATGCTCCAAACAGGGGGGTGCAGGAATGGTATGTAGGGAGCAGTCGCCGCCTCTTCATTATTCATTGTTTATTTATTTTCAGACCGCCGCAGAACTAGATAATGAGATGGCCAAAAAGAGAAAGGAACGCCGATCCAACCAGGAGATTAAATGGTTGACTGAGGTCCAGCAGAAATACTCGTAAGTGTAATATTATTCAAAGTACATTTCCTTCGATTCTTAAAATTCTTCAATTCTATACATTTAAGATATCTAAAAATTCTTAAATTCTCTTTAAAGCGGTGAAGGCATCGAGCAATGGAAGCTGGAGGATGCTCTAAGCAAGGTGGAGGATGCTCTGAGCAAGGTGGACGATGCTCTGAGCAAGGAGGATGATGCTCTAAGCAAAGAAGAGGCTTTCAATTGAGAGCTTTTTCAACTCTTATTAAGACATTTCTCTTTATAAATAACCATTCCTTACCACTGAAGGTATTATATGCGGGTATAAAATCTGTGAAAATCTCAAAGTTCCCCACAGTTTTTATGTTTAATTAAAATTTTTAAGTTTTGTTTAGTTTTACATTAATATTTTTTGCTGCAAAGAAAGCAGTTACCACGAAAAGATACAATTATTTACTACTTAAAAGTCGGATATCATTTGCAAGTTTTGAAAAACAATGTTTATTTTACTCATCTTACTTAACAACCTAAAACAAATTTGAAAATGTATCACTTTCTTGAACTTTTTGGAAAATAAATAAAGGAAAGCTAACTAATTTTAAGAGCTTAACGTTGTATTATTTTTTTGAGCGCAAATTTAAATTTATTTTACATTTAACCATGAACTTTGTTTACTCCACACAGATCTAGATAATGTTAAAGTTATACAAAAAATAGTGGCTTTAAAATATCAAGGAATATAAGCTTTAATGAGGGATGTTTATGCCCTTGTGAGGTATTTTAATTTTAGTCAGATTATTTATTTGTATTATATATATATTACTATATACATATGTATATGTAGTATATGTATATTATTATAAATATTTTTGGGACCGTAATCGGAATTTAAAAGATCAAAACTATTGCCTAATTGATGTATTTATTAATGTATATTTTGCTTACTATTATCAATTATAATTTTATATTTATTTAATCGTTCAAAATATTAATAAATATTTTTAAGGGGTTTCATAAAAATAAAAAATGTAATTATTAAGAGTAAGCAATAAATAAGCAAATAATTGTTATTTTAAGCAGATATATATATATTTTTTGCTTACCGTTAATATTTATAATTTTATATTATTATATTACGAGTAAGCAGTTATTAACCAAATAAATATTATTACTTTGAGCGAAATTATGTGTATTATATATATTTTGCTTAAAATTAATAATTCTTATTTTTATTTTATCTCTCCAAACAATAATCATTAGTTTTTTAAAGTGTTTAAATCAATATATATATATACAATATACAATATAAGTATTAATGTATATACATATTTTTTTTTTGTTTTTTTAAATAATTTTTAATATTTAAATAATACTCTCAGTTAATAGTATGACCGCCCCTGCATTAGCGAGTATTTCTCACCGAAGCCAACACGGCCACACTGACGTTCGGCGTTTTGTTGTGAAATTTACCTGACTTACCTTACCTCACCTTACCCCCCCGAACCGTGGACATGGATGAATCCTCGCGCCAGCACATGGACGACTGCTTCCTGCGCAGCCCCAGCAATGTCCGCACCACGTGAGTAGAGAGTGCCGCCACCCTAGCACAGAGTATAAGCAAATCCACTGAATGTCACCCACGAATCCCTCGTTACAGCAACGTGCCCGCAGCGCCCAAGTCACAGGCGGACAACAAGTCCCGCAAGACGGAGCTGCATGTCCTCCGGCTGAAGGACGAGTCCCGCCAGATGACCATGGACACGCTGCGCTCGATCCACGGGCCGGACTTCAAGCTGGACGACATCAGCAAGTACAAGGATCGCGGCAGAGGCGGTCACGGGGTGAAGCACTCGTACTGGCAGGATCGCGGCACCCTGATGGTGCAGAGCGTCCAGGGTGTGAGTGCCAGCCGCGGCGACAACAGCGACGGGGACCGCCTGCGTCGTTATGCCCTGGCCAAGCTGGAAAACTATGGCTTCCAGGCCGTCCACTGCCTGGAGGCGTACGATCACTGCTCCGGTGACACAGAGGCTGCATTGCTTTTGCTCTACCGCCGCTATATGCGTGTCCCGGAAACGGAGCAGACCCATTTGGAGGCACCCAGCGAAGCAGAGCTCCTGGACATGCGAGCGGATGAGAAGGAGGCCCTGGAATCCATATACGACAAGGCGTACGAGGAGCGAGAACATAACCGCGTGTGGAACCTCAAGTTTCGCATCGATCATCTGCTGGCCCACAGTCCCTCGGAGGTGCGTAAGGCCCGGGAGGCGGCCCTGGCGGCCGCTGCTGCCGCTGCCCAGGCGGCGCTGGACAAGAAGAAGAAGGCGCCGCAACGGTGTCGGAACTTTGATCGAGATGGAACCTGCCGGTTTGGTCCCAAGTGCCGATTTGCCCACCTGCCACCGCAGCCCATGGAAAAGGAGGTGGCCCCCAAAAAAGGTGATGGTGTCGATGAGAACGACAATGAGCTGTGGTTCCATGTGGAGGTGCGCTTTCCGCCTGGCAGCCGGTATCCGTACGAGGCGCCCTTTATCTACCTGAAGACCACCTGCCACGACATACCGCACGAGCTGCGCCTGCGCTACGCCCGTCACCTGTACCGCGAGGCCAGGGAGATCTGCCGGGATGGAATACCCTGTGTGTATAGCATCTGTGACCTGTTGCAGTCCAACGAAGAGCTGGCTGGACACCTGGACACGGCTGCCTTTCCCTCACCCAAGCGCTCGATCTTCCACGACGAACCAGAGGGCAATGGCCAGGATCTGGATGGCGAGGATCAGCAGGCCTTGAAGCCCACGCATTACGCCCGCGGGCAGACCTCCCGGAATGAGGGTGCCAACCAGCGCAACGCCGAGGCACAGGCCCGCGAGAATCGCCGACTGCTGCAGCAGTTCGTGGAGCGTCGGAAGGAGGAGCGCTACCAGAAGGTCATCGATGGTCGGAAACAGCTGCCCGCCTTTGCCGAAATCGAACGTATTTTGGCGCTGATTGAGAGCTCGCCGGTGGTGGTGATATCCGGAGAGACGGGCTGCGGCAAGAGTACCCAGGTGCCGCAGTTCATTCTGGACAATTGGTTCTTCCGCGGCCTCCAGCTGCCCGCCAAGGAGAGTTTGCCCCACGTTGAGATTATATGCACTCAGCCACGTCGCCTTTCGGCCATCGGAGTGGCGGAGCGGGTGGCTGCCGAGCGTCTGGATCGTATTGGCCAGCTGGTGGGCTACCAGATCCGGCTGGAGAACAAGATCTCGGCGAGCACCCGGCTTAGTTTTTGCACCACGGGCATCCTGTTGCGTCGCCTGGCCTCGGATCCGCTGCTGAGCAGCGTCACGCATGTCATTGTGGACGAGGTGCACGAGCGATCCGAGGAATCCGACTTTCTGTTGCTCATCCTCAAGAATCTGTTGAGGGAGCGAAAGGATCTCAAGGTGATCCTCATGTCGGCCACCCTGAATGCCGCCCTCTTCTCTGATTACTTTGGCGGAGCGCCCGTGCTGGATATACCGGGACGCACCTTTCCCGTGCAGCAGCTTTTCCTGGAGGACATACTGGATATGAGTGGCTTTGTGATGGAATATGACACCAAGTACTGTCGCAAGCTCAAGAAGCAGGAGCAGGAGGTGCTGGAGCGGGAGCTGGAGTATGCCGATGTCCAGGCCTCGGGTCAGGCGCCGGGCAAGAAGATCAAGGACGAGAAGCTAACCCTGGCCGAGACCTATCAGCGATATGCGGGTAAGTGAGGGTCTGCTCCGGTTCCGTAGCCTCCCTCCTTGACTTATCCTTTTCTCCTTAATTTCCTCAGAATACAGCAAGCCCACGTGCAAAAGCATCTACCTGATGGAGCCGATGACCATCAACCCGGAGCTCATCGAATCCGTGCTCAAATACATTGTCGAGGGCTCCCACGACTGGCCCAGGGAGGGCACCATCCTCATCTTCCTGCCCGGCTTCGGGGAAATTCAAACCGTCCACGATTCCCTGCTAGACAACGCCCTGTTCTCGCCCCGCGCCGGCAAGTTCATCCTGGTGCCGCTGCACTCATCCCTGTCCGGCGAGGATCAGTCGCTGGTCTTCAAGAAGGCGCCGCCCGGCAAGCGAAAGATTGTGCTCAGCACGAATATAGCGGAGACCTCGGTGACCATCGACGACTGTGTGTTCGTGGTGGACTGTGGCCTGATGAAGGAGAAGTGCTTCGACTCGAATCGCAACATGGAGTCGCTGGACCTGGTCTGGGTCTCCCGAGCCAACGCCAAGCAGCGCAAGGGTCGCGCCGGTCGTGTGATGCCCGGTGTGTGCATCCATCTGTACACCAGCTACCGGTACAGCCACCACATCTTGGGACAGCCGGTGCCGGAGATCCAGCGCGTGCCGCTCGAGCAGATTGTGCTACGCATCAAGACCCTACAGATGTTCGCCTCCCGCAACACGCTCTCGGTGTTGCTGGAGACTCTGGAGGCGCCCACGGAGGACAGTGTCCTGGGTGCCCTAACCCGATTGAGGGATGTGGGTGCCCTGGATGCCGATGATCAGTTGACGCCGCTGGGCCATCATCTGGCCGCTCTGCCCGTAGACGTGCGCATCGGCAAGCTTATGCTGTACGGGGCAATCTTCCAGTGCCTGGACAGCGTCCTGACCATAGCCGCCTGCCTGGGCAACAAGTCGCCGTTTGTGAGTCCGATGAACAAGCGAACGGAGGCGGACAAGTGCAAGCGGATGTTTGCCATGGGGAACAGTGATCACCTCACCGTGCTAAATGCATACAGGGTGAGTTTCTAGCCACTTCCCTTTAATCCATTCTTCTAAATTCCCAATCCCCCACAGAAATGGCTGGATGTGGCGCGGCGAGGGAACTTTGCGGCCAGCAGAAATTATGCCAGCGAACACTTCCTGTCGCTGAACACGCTCGAGACCATAGCCGACCTAAAGTACCAGTATCTGGAGCTGCTCGTCTCCATTGGGTTTGTGCCCATCGATGTGCCTCGGCGGCGTAAAAGTGCCAGCGACAATATTTTGCAATTAACCGGCGTGGAGCAGAATCACAATGGCGACAATAACCGCCTGTTGACCTCGCTCCTCTGCGCCGCCCTTTATCCCAATATCGTGAAGATAATGACCCCGGAGCGTGTCTATGTCCAGACAGCCGGCGGTGCCGTGCCTCGTGAGCCGAGCCATCAGGATCTGCGCTTTAAGACCCGCGGCGATGGTTATGTGAAGATACATCCTTCATCGGTTAACTCGCAGGTGGCCGTCTTTCAGGCACCCTTCCTCGTCTACCAGGAGAAAGTGCGCACCAGTGCCATCTACATACGGGACTGCTCGATGCTGCCGCTCATCGCCATGGTTTTGTTCGCTGGCAGTGACTTCAAGGTGGAGCTGCACGACGGCGATTTCCTGTTTCTGCTGGAGAGCGGTTGGATAATACTGAAGGCCCACGACCACGAGACGGCCGAGATGGTTCAGTGCCTGCGGGCGGAGCTGATCAAGCTGCTGGAGGAGAAGATACGGGATCCGTGCCTCAACCTGTTGCACCACAAGAACGGCTGTCGTATGATCGCCAACATAGTTCATTTGCTAAGCAAAAATAGCTGAAAGTCCTTCTCGTCTGTCCTCCAAATCGTTTGTATATTTTGTATAATAGCTGTTATAGCCGATATTTAAAATGATTTCTCAGATAATTATACGAGTAAATGAACGCCAAAACGAGAGCAATACTTACCGATTCACCGAAAATGAAGGCTTTAAAAAAGAATATAAAGGAAGTGTTTTTTTTTAAGGTGGTTTTGTGGTAAATATTTCCTGAATATATATATATTTCAACTGATTAATCTCATTTAATTATTAATTTCGATTGAATTCCATACTATGATGATGGATTTCTTTGCTATCCATCAAGTGGGAAATGCTGTTTACTTTGATTCAATTACAGACAAGCGGAATGCAGTGGGTTTTAAAGTGATTGATGGGTTTCCCATGATGGATACGTGATAAAATGGAGCCGATGAGCAATAAGGGGTGTTTATCGAGAGGCTCGATATGATATATCGGTTAAATTATCGCGCTCGATATTGAAAATATCGGTAACCTTGATACATTGAATAATATCGTTGTTTAAAGAATATTCTTGCATTTCAGGTAGAGCTAGAAATAAATAAATTTTCAAAACCTACATAAATAAATCGATTTAAATCGAAAATTAAAAAAAATTAAAATTTTATATATATATATATATATATATTGGAAATACAGCGATTTTGAGTGAATTTATTTTATCTCAAAAATTCTTTAAAAAATCGATTAATATCGAAAATTAAAAAATGCAATTTATTTATTTTTATATATATTGAAAATAAATCGATTTTCGATTATTTGTTGTATAATAATTTAGAGTGGTTTTTATTTACTTCCAGTAGCATATTTAATTTGAAACTTAATTGTATTTTACATTTATAAAATTCCTTTTATTTTAGACTAAAAGTTAGATGGAAAAATGTATGTTTGATGGCCTACATCCATCACCAGCATAATTGATTGGGCGCCCAAATCATCACCAGCAGATGTCATGCAAACATTCCCACTCTTCCAATCGGCGACTTGCAAGACAGCGACCCATGATTCGTCGGGAAATACCTTCCGTGGGCCCGGTGGCCAGGTATACGATCAATTACAATTCATTTGAATTTATTTAAATACACTTGGATTTGTGGCGGCCACTTTGCGTTGACAGGAGGCGAGCCCCGGAGGAGGGCTCTTCGGTTCCGTCGATACATCAAAGCTGGCTGGCTAGCGGCGTAATTAATTATGCTTATCAACATGGGCTAATGCGCCCCATGAATCAGTTGCCAATTTAAATAGGAGTCTCTGTGGGCCTTGGGTGTGCAGTTCTCTCTCCGGATCTCTCTTCTGTATAAAGAAAAAAAAACCTCGCACTTTTTGCGATTTATAAATGTACATACATATATAGCTTATCTTTCCAATTAAAGGCTCCACTGATCGAGCACAAATGGGATCTTTTAGCACCTCGTTGAGTTGTATTTGCCCGCTCTGATTTGAGGAGCAAACTCAGTTGCTTGAGGTACTACGATCTATGACGTGGAAGATATCAGATATAATATAGTTCAGGGAGATCTAGTTCCCGGTGGAAACACTGGGAAAAAAGAATTTAAATTGATTTAAAATAATAATCTTTGGGAAGAAACCGTTATTATAGTTCCCATCAAATAACATTTTTAATTTTAGTTACTTTTAAGCTCTTTAACCATTATGTATTTTCAGTGTAGACTGAGGCACTTAGGTAAGTCATCATCCGCATCATCAAATTCCAGGTGTCATGGCCAAGCACTGCTCCAAATTCTCACTCTCCTCAGATCGTGAGTTTTACTTTTTGGCGAGCTAAAGCTTCGCTTACTCTTATCCAAAGCGAGGCACTCGAGGCGCGCTTGTTATCAACACTATCATTGTCACTGGCGATGCCCCCGGGTGGCTATCTCCTCCGTGTGCTCTCCGGGGAGCTTTCTCCGCTCGCAAAATCAGAAATCAATCGGTGGGAGACTATATAGAATATGGAGCAGAGGCGATAACTCAACTCTGATGTTGATGATCATGAGTACTTGTACAATACTTGCCCAGCTCTCGATCGCGTTCTTCCCATTGGAATCGTTGCGGTTCGGCGTCGTCCGTTTGCATTGATTGCACCTGCACGGTGGAACACAGGGATCTTTAGACTCTCTTCTGGACTACATAAATCTTCTAAAAATTAAATATTGATATTCTTAATTCGATTTTTAAAGCAGTGATTTTGATGAGTTTAAAAGGACATGACAGACTCATCTTGCTATGGTTTTTAATAAGATAACTAGAAAGAGTTTTCCAAGAATTGGATTTCCGGATATAACCCATAGATACAATATCTACAATATCAATATCTTTTGATAGTTTATCATAGTGGAAATTTTACAAAGTTACCTTCTATTTCTCATAATATTTCCTATAGAAACAATGTGTTGCACCTTAAGTATACCTAAAGCCCCTCCATAATAACTCCAGACCGCACTTGGTAATCAAAAATTTAAATTTTTCACTATTGACATTGGCATTGACAGTGAAGACTTTTCACGCTGGCCCCCAGGATCAGGCCCTGTAAGCTCCCAAGATCAAGGTAAGTAAGTCCGGGGGGGTTCCGGGTTGGTTCAGTGGCTTCAGTGGGTGTGGCGGTGGGTGGCTCGACGGCTGCCGTTGACGACGTTAAAGTTTGCTGTCTGCTATAGTTCCCCGGTGCCTAGTGCCCGTCATAAAGCACTAAAATCCGTAGACAAATCATTTGCGTTCACCGCGATTGTGTGTTGTTATTGTCACAACGCAACGTATAGGTACTAGGTGTGTTCTCTTCTGGGATAGGCCGGGCGCCCACTTGGGTCTGGGTGGGGGTCTCCGGCCTGCAATTGCCGTACTTTCTGCCAAAGTCGTCGACGGTGGCCAGGCTAACGCCGATCAAATGGAAAAATCAGAGCAGACAGTGGTTTCAAATGGGTAATAATTGTCATCTAAATTCGATATAATATAGCAGAGATAACGGTAAGGGTAAGAAATCGATCAATAAGATAATTAATACAATAGGAATATTTATAAAAAAAAAATTCGAATTATTATATTTTAATTGTCCCTGACTCGATACTAGCCCGCTTTTAGCCCTTTAGCTTCTTTGACGTATAGCAAAAATGGGTATGTCACGACCATATTTTACAGTTCTATGGAAATATTTATAACAATTATTTTACTATACATTCAATCAAGGTTATTATTGGGGTGTTTTGGGAAAGTCACTGTAAAATTGTGAATCATTGTCTAACCTGATCAGTTCTGAAGAAAAGAGTCAGGATAATAAATATATGTTCAAGGTCAGGTTTGATAAAGTTAAACTTTATCTATTTAAATGTGAAACCAGTTCTGGAAATTGGGGGCAATCTGACTATATGACAAGCTAAATAATTGAAGAATAATACTGATAAGAGAACATTTTATTTCTATCTTATTAATTATATGAACAAAATATATCGAGACAAAAAAAAATGTATTTAAATAATATATTTGCCTCATATCGACGAAATAAAATATGAGAATATAGTGAGTATATTATTTCTTAGATAACTATTGTAAATGATACATTTACATTTGTAATTGTATTTATAAATATTATAAAAAAAAAATACGTCAATTCCAAATACAAGCTAATAACCAACAAAAGGCAACAAGGATAGCAGTGATCTCACTTGAGATTTAACCGTGATCACTTTCACATCACTTGAGTTCCTTCTTTCCAACGAATCGTTCCACTGTGCTGCTCCGTATTCCAGTGGTAGCAGTGATTAAATGTAGCACACGAAAAAATATCACTACTTTTTCGCGACGATGGGTTTGTGGGAGTTTCAAGGGGTGGTAGGGGGCGTTGTTCGTAGTTGCCGTTTGCCGATCGCCATTTCGACTTGATTTAGTAGTTTTAGTTTAGTTTAGTTAGTGCAGGGATGCGCGATGGTGCGGCGAGGGCGGAGGCTCTCCTTTCAACCATCCACACACTCATACACACCCACACACAAGCCGAGCGATTCTTGAGTGATTTCAACCTGTCTTATTCTTTGGAGCCGGCGAAGAGCAAAGAGCGCTCAAAAGTGAGTGAGCGCCGGATTAGAGATCTCCCACTCACACGCACGATCGGCAGTTAAAGGAGGTGGGAGGGACAATTACACTTAATACCGCGTTCGCTTTCGTCTCGTTCGCTCCGCTTTGCCGTTTCATACCGTCTACCGTGCGTTTCCGAGCTTTTCCGCTCTGCATTCTCCGACGTTGCTGCTCTGATTTGTTTTCGAGTGCTATACTCGCGGATTTTTCGATTCAGTTTCTGTGCCGTGCCGTGTTTTTGCCATGTTTTTGTTGCCAGTCATATGATGGAGGCGTCGCGGAACGTGTCGTAGCTCCTGTGCCGCTCCTTCTGCTCCCCTCCCCTCCTCCTACTTTGTCCCGCTCGAAAGTGCAGGAAAAGAAGGAGACGGCAAAGCCAAGCTTGGCTGGAAAGTGCCAAAAAAGGCGAGGAGGAAAAGAAACGGAAAGAAGAGCAACTGGAATAGCGGTTCGCGGACAGGGCAGGGCAGCGACGCTGACGGCGACGCCTGCGCCGGCAGAGACTGGGAACAGACGTGAGCTTGGAGCGTTCCATTTAAATCAGAACGGTTACGGGAACCGAGAAGCGACGGAGCGACGTCACCGCCGCCGTCACCGTTAACAAAAAGTGTCAACCGAGTGCCTGCAGCGCTTCAATTCAGCGTGCGCCGCTTAACGGTAACGGTCCTGGGACGCGATCGCTCAGCTCTCTCTTTGATTTTTCGCGATTTTTCCCCCTACTTGCCACCCACGCCCCATCCAACTCAAAAACGCGAAGGAGTGCGAAGAAACATAACGGTGCCTTTTAAGTGTTTTTTTTTTTTTTTTAATAACATTTCTGGAGCGGGTATGTCCTGAAAGTGAAACTGGAAGGAAGAAGTTGGAGGTACAAAGGAATCGGAGCGAATCTCAATGTGAATTTTAAAATATAAATTTAATTATTTATTTAAGAAAGCAGTGCTGGTCTTACAGTTCACTCAAGTGCAGACATTATCGCCATCCGTGCTGTTGTTGTTGTTGTTGTGGTCACCTTGTTTTTTTGGTCCGCGGCTTATCTCAGTGGGACACGAAGAAAGTCCGAAACGGACAGTTAATTTGCACGTCGCGAATCCGAAATCGAAAACGGAGCGATTGTGAAGTGCACAGGTTAAAGCTTACAGTTCTCCTGTAGGGTAAAATATATAGGAAATATATGTGTGTTTTTGTGGAAAATCTTGCAAGAATATTATCTTTTAAATGCTAAATATTTCTAAAATAAAAAAGAAGTGGATATTAATCGGTGTTTCAAATAAGTCCTGTCGAATTTTGTTAAATATCAAACGGTCTTTAAAGAATACTTCCCAGTTTTTAAGTATTTCTGATCTTAAAATTTAAATAATTTAGAGATATTTCTTTTTCTCCAAATTAAGGACATTTTCCATGATGATGTTGATTTAAGGGCTTCGCATTTTTTTTCCCAGTGCTTGCTCTTAATCCGATCAATCAATCTGTGCCGTACACCGCCCAGTATCTGTATCTGTGTATCTGTAGCATGAATGAACCGATCCGCTGAATGCATTTAATTAACGAAATTGTTTCGCTAGGCAAGAGTGTTTGCTTAACTGTTGTTGCCATATGCAAAACTCAATACAAACACGCGCGCACCCAGGCGGAATTAACCGTTAGCCGGAGCTATAACGGTTGCCTCTGTTATCGATCAGTCGATTGGCAGGCAGGCAGGGCTCAAGGCGTCTTGCGATTGTTTTAGGCTTATTGCCGCTGCTGCCCCACCGCTTCATCCATCATTTGGCGAGCGCTTTTCGGCATTTGTTTATAAACAAATATGGTCCCAGAGCCGGTAGTGATCCTCCTTAGTCCGTCAATCAGTCAGTCAGTCGGGCAGTAAGTCAGTCAGTTTATTGGTTAGCCAGTCAGTTGGTAGGGTAAGGTGTGGGATATCGCAATCATCGATACATGTGACCGAGTGACTAACAGTTGAGCTTCTTTAAGACGCACCAGCTACTAGGGAATACGCATTACCCAGAACTCTTCCATATCATAATCATACATACATATTTCATGAAATTGGTACAGGAAGTGACACCTGATGAAGAAGGGTGACAGTTCACAAGTTCCAGCCACTTAAGAGAGTCAAGCACTCTCTTTGGATTAAAGAAAACCCCTTCTCCGACTATTCAAAGACCATATCGTGATGAACTTGATTCCAGTTCTTAGTTATTTGTCAAGCAAAAGAATTTCAAACTATTAGTTATTAATTGCCGTGTTTAGCTCTGGGCTCTGACGCGTAGTCTTATCACCGCAGACGGAGGAGTACCAAGACTATGAATCGTCATAGACAGCGACAGAGGAGACGAGACAAGAGACATTGATAGATCACAATTCAATTAATCATCGCTCCCCCCGGCTTGTAAAACAATGTCATCATTAGCACCCAATAGCCTCATCAGCCTGAGACGTACATAGGCCTGTCTGGTATTTCCACCCAGATTTCCAGATTTTAGATTTCAGACTCCCTCCGGCCAGAGAGACAATGCCCGTGATTCTTGTTCCTTTTCACCGAGATTTTCCTCCAACGTCTCCTCGCCTTAATTTTTTTTATTTTCCGTTCCGGGGCAAGTGAGAAATAAAGCACGGCTCTTGACGCTCGACAACTTTTGCGATTATTTACTAAACGTGTTCATTTTGCAGTCGCCGCTATTTATTATCGATTATACGACTATTTAGCGTCGGTATATGTAAATATTTTTGTATTTAATAATTTTGTTTCACATAATATACGACTACGGCGACTGCATAAGAGGCCCGGGAGTTATCCCCCGACTCTGCACGTAACCGATGGGAGGCTCTGATCACTCTCAGTCCGGGAAATGCACGAGGAGGTCAACTGATCATCGTGATCAGCCGATCGATCCTTTGGTTATTTTCGGCAAGTGCCCCCGATCTTAATTTCGAGCACGGTCGCCATGAAATGGAGTCTGTTGGTTATCAATTAGTAAACGATTTTATTGCCATATTAAATGTTCTGTTGTCTACACTCCACTTGACGTCAAACATTGACTTGATTCATTTACATGATCATCGAATGTTTATCATTGTTATTATTGTTTTCTTTTGTGATTTTGGGTTCGACTCTGTGGGTTCGGCTTGATAAAGATTGGGTCCATTTTATGGATTTACGACACGGGGCGTGGGTGAGCGCGAAATTTCAATGTTTTCGCTCCGAAGGTCTTTTGAGGGGAATATGGAAGAAAAATTTGTATATAAGTAACTAAAATAATAGATAAAAAGGGTTTATGATCTACTTTTTAGAATTACTAAAAATATATAATTTATTTAATTTAAATATAAATATTTTCTTATCGTAAAGGCCCAGCAGATGATCCTTGTTGTTCCTTCTGCTTTAATTTTCTGATTTCCGGCCAGCTTTTTCGGCAGAAATTTCCACTCGCAAAGAATTCCACCGGGGGCAAGCCCACAAAAAAAACCAAAACCAAAAAAAAAAAAGCGTTAAAAAGATCGTTTGGCAACACAGAGCGTCATCGAAATGTTTGTTCGGAATAAATAAAAACATAAAGAAAAAAGGAAACACAATAAATGAAAAGACTTCCATTGAACGGCGTCATCGCCAGCGCCAGTCAGTGCTCGAGGAACGCGCCCAATAGACGGCGATTTGTAGTTTTTATTGTTAACAAATTATTGTAAAAGAAGCAGCGAAGCAAAAAATGCGAAAACGGGAAAGAAGGAAAAACAACACATACTCCATAGATAATTTAATAGAAATTATACAATAAAGAACCCCGATAATAATAATTAAAACAGCGAAGAATCGTTATCAGCGGCGATCACTTGACTAGAACAGCGGGAATAAACAATTCCGAATTGTCTCAATGTAATCAGGCGTGTAATGAGAAGAGTCTTTATCGATACAGATACGGCGGAGGTACAAAATAAATACGATCTAACCGAAGTTAAGGCCAAAGATTAATCGTCGATTCACGTGAGAATCTGGGCCCGGGGGATTCCACCTTGTATGAGGGTCCACACACGAACTACCCCAACATGAACTCATTAGGGCGAACACGGCGACGACCCACGTACCGTCTTTATCTTTATGATACTGTAAGAGCCACCAGTGCCGATGACTTAAGCGCCCCCGAAGCGTTTATCTTTACGATATTGTAAGAACTTTCACCATCATCAATCGCCCATTAGCAACCAATCAGTTGCCTGACTAATGCTCTTTATGGTTTGGTAATAACTTTAGCCATTCGACTTGAAGTAATTTCATCATAAAGTCGTAGATTATTATCAATTTGGTCTAAATATGGAGCATTACCAAATGGAGCTAACTAAAAATCTACAAACTAGAATATCTTTATGATCTTGTTCCGACTTAAGGACTCTAATCATTAGCTAATGACTAAAGCTAAACACTCCAAACATTTGACACCTGCTTCAAGTTTTATTTTCTTCATTTTGGAACTTGGTTTTGTCAACTTTTTATTTGCTTTTTTGCATTCGCGTTCGCTAATTGGCATTGCGGCACATCGGTTGACACCCACAGCAGTCCCGGACTCCTGGCCCCCTGATCCCCAGACACCAGTGTCTGTGTATTCCGGAGATAAGACACCCGGGAGTTACTTGGACGCTGCTGGGAAGAGGGCGACGTCTGCGGCGGTCGCTAATCGTTAGCGGACTACTTTGCACCGCGCGACAAATCGTGGAAAATTAGCAGCAATGCCCCGCAGCGGTCCGACCCGGAGGGAGATATGATTAGAAGTGTCAATAGGTGTAAGCCTGGGCAGCGGCGATGACGTTGCCAGCAGCAACTATGAAGCGATCTAGCCAGGAGTAGGCAAGGCGTGTGCTTTTCCAAAAGGAAAACACCACTGAAAGGTAGACCGGCTACACAGATAGCCTGGTTCTCTACATAAGTATGAGAGATACCATATTCATATAAAAAGAGACTTTAAATGGTCTGAATAGGGTCTAATTTCTATATATATTCTCCAAGTCTTCTTAGCTTTTAAAGATTTCTTGTGATTATGAGCTAAGGCTTAACCCATAACGTTCATCTTCAGGTTATAACCACAAACAGTCACACAAGACCCCAAAGTTGAACAGTAGAGCAACTAAATCGTGTTGTCCGATATCTGCTCTCACCTATATAACACATATGTGTATATAGAGACAACAACGCTAAGGCGACTGACTGGCCACCACTTGAGCAATCGCAATCAAGCTCCGATTAGCAGCGATACAACCATAAATAACGACAGACAACACGAAACCACAGCGCCTTCGATCCGATTCCAATTGTTCCTTAACCTAACCCACCATTTGCCGGCATCCTGGCATCCATTGCAGCTGTTAGTGTTGTTGTCCTTGCAGGTAGAGCATGTCGCCAAACCGATGGATCCTGCTGCTCATCTTCTACATATCCTACCTGATGTTCGGGGCGGCCATCTATTACCACATCGAGCACGGCGAGGAGAAGGAGGCACGGGCCGAGGAGCTAAAGGAGCGCATCGAGATCAACGGTGGGTGAGAGACTATATAACACTATATATCTAGCCAGAAATAAGAGATCCACGTGATATACGGTTAAGAGCATGTGATATCCCACTGCGAACCAAACTAAATGGTAGCCCACGATTTGGAAAGTCTAGACTGCTAAACCTTTGCCACCCACTTGAAATTGATGAAAGCCGAGGTGTTATAAGACGGAAAGGTTTCCAATTGAAGCCTCTAGCTTTAGATCCTTGGTGTAAACTGATGTAGTCATCATAGTCTAGTCCGACTGGAGAAACTACCCTATAAAGATGGTTCCCAAAAAAAAGATGTTAAATGGTAAACATAGAATGACAAGTTAACAGCCAATCAAGACTGTTAATGAAAATACAGTCTAAAATCCCCTCTTCCTAGCTGCTAATATATTTTTGGCAAAACGTGCGTAAATTCGAGAAAAGTGTGAGCTTTACGACCAGCACAAGTCTGGGGCAATCAGGAATGTTCACTTTATCAAATGAAAGCACCACTTAACTCGGTTAAATTAAAGTATTAAAGGTATTTTAAAATTAGGATTTTTGTGGGTTTTTAAAATTGAGTATTGGAATTCTGAATTTCATCCAAATCCCGCTCAAACCCCAATCAAAAACCCCTATATTCCAACACACATACTCCTCATACAGCTAGATCGCGATTATATAGACGCGAAGTCTCGGATGTATTTATTTTTATGCCTCTTCAATTGCAATAAATCCAAATTTAAACAGCACATAAAATGTGCTAACTACGCGAGTAAATAACCCATAAACGCTCTAATTAGTAACCATCGACCCAAGACGTGCGGAAATCGTAACGGCTTTGGATCATGCAAAGGCTTTCTCGATCTCTACACGATCAGAGAGTCAAAAACTGCCGAGGTTTGCTCAAAATGATACGATCGATATCGCTGACTTGTTGTAGGCCTTTTGAGCCCCCCAACTAATGCCCTGGGAATCCGCAATTGGACCCCGGCACTTGTCATGTCACTATTTGTATGCATATGTAAGCAGGCAGTAAGCCAGTGGACAAAGTCACCTTAATCACTGCCACAGACTTCGGCCAGAACACAACGAAAGTAACACTTGAATTGGTTAAAAGTCGGACAATCGACTATGACTATGACTGTGACCATGCCGATGACTTTCAAGTGTCCACAAACATGTGATAATGATGGTATTTGAGCCATTTGACACCCGATAAGGTAACTCTAACTGGCCAGGCGATGACAATGACACCGCCAAGGGAGGGAACTCCCAGATGGCAAAGATCTCGGAGCTAACCTTTTTTTGTTTTGAAAAAAAAAGAGTGAGTGATCAATGATTTCAGTATGGAACTTTGCTTCTTATTGATTGAGTAAGGATTCTATTTTAAGTCTAGCCGTGCTTCGAGTTAAACAAGATCACTTGGCATTAAGCTCTACTATGGCAGGGGCGAATTTCGGGGTATTAATTAACACAGAAACCAGGCTTATATGCTAATTCTCGATCTATTTTTACTGGGTGAGCAAACAGCAGAACAGGATGTCGAAGAAAGGTGGATATGGGAAAGGGAATTACCTAGAATGTTACGACTTTTAAACAAAGCATTTGGGGCTTAAGGAATAGATGGATTGCCAGCGATAAGGACTCATAAACCTATTGGTAATCTCCTATGAATTAGCTAGAATAGAAACCCATTAGCTCCAGTTCTATCATTTCCATTTAATACATTTTTCTTTGAGATGCACCTCGACCTCGACCTCGGATGGTTTGTGCAGTTCTCGCAGCTGTCGGCTTTAATTAAATTAATTTATCAATTTGTTTGCAACAAACACAAACTTTTCCGGGGCCCATCGCCCCCAGTCAATCAGCGAGATAATCAGAGTAAATGGCCGTTGTGGAATTCACGGAATCCACCCAGTGCACAAAGTCGAGAGGACTTGCAAGAACTCGAGATAATGATCGACTTCTATGAACAAATTGCCGGCAATCAAGATTCCGGGACCCGGACCACAAAGGCGATTAAACTGTGACAGTGACAGCTGGTGCCCGTTCCATTACGTTCCGTTGTGTATTCACTCCGGCTACTCTTATATGGCGGATTTATGGTGACTATTTGACGTTAATGCCGCCTGAATTGCCCCCAATTGTGTCCCGTTGTGAGTGGTGAGAGAGTGCAGATCTGAGTGGAATCTCTGCCTCCGCATTTATTGAATTATGCAATTCGTTAAAAGATTACCCACAGGAACCTTACGGTTCGGGGTTTATTGAATGATTGCAGCTGCCGGCAGACTCGACTCGAATGAACTTGGCCATAAAGGTTAAAATGGCCTCGATCTGGCCGAGTGTCTGATAACATAAACGAGGCTGTAGAGGAAGAGCGTGGCCAGAGTGTAGGGCTCTATCTGTCAGAGATTGAATGAATGGAAAAGCAATTCACAATTGCTGATAGCCTACAAAGCGATCGTTTTCTGTTTTCTAATAGATTTTTCAATCGATCCTTGATTTGGTTATGTCACAAGCTGATAGAGCAGCTTGTAGATAACCCATTCCATTAGATCACTTTGGTATACTTGAAACTTTCCTTGCATTCGAGGTTTACGTCTTCCGAGAACTCAAATCCGATCAAAGCTCTGAATTTCTGACAGCAAGACCGACTGTCTGTCTCACGACCTCACAATTTATTTGCCGGATAAAAATCTCGCGCTGAGCGCATTTCAATCAACCGGAGCAACGTCGTCCGGGTCAGGTCATGATCGTGATCGTGTTGTACGATCCGAGAGCTCATTACGATCAGTGTGTGGATGCGGGAGACGTGTAAAATATGCCACTCTGTCGGCCGGGGGTAGGGTCACTACCTTGTGGCGATCAGTGATCTCGGAAAACGTAACGGGAGGAAGCGTCGCGCTGCCAGCTCGTCGCATCGGAATCAATTTGGGGCCTCTTTTATGGCCATTGTTCTACGGCGGAAAGCGGAAAGTGGAAGGTTAGCTTCCGGATCGGATAGACACGTGAACTAACATATAATGGGCGATCAATTAGATTTAATTTGATTTCACGCCCCATCGGGCATTACATTTAATTTGATTTATTTTACGTATATTCTTTTTTACACAGCCTATCTCCTAGAGGAGCTTTCGGACAAGAATGTGAGCACACAAAACGAGATTCTCGAGCGGATCACAGAGTATTGCGGCAAGCCGGTGACGGACTACACCAAGGATGAGCACGATATACCATACACTTGGACCTTCTACCATGCCTTCTTCTTTGCCTTCACCGTGTGCTCCACGGTGGGCTATGGCAACATATCGCCGACCACTTTTGCCGGCCGGATGATCATGATTGCGTACTCGGTGATTGGGATACCCGTCAATGGAATACTCTTTGCCGGCCTGGGCGAGTACTTTGGACGAACGGTGAGTGAGGATAATAATAATAATTAATAATAATAATAATTGATAATCCATCTTCCTTTCTCTTGTCAGTTTGAGGCTATTTACAGGCGCTACAAGAAGTACAAAATGTCCACCGACATGCACTATGTGCCGCCGCAACTGGGCCTGATCACCACGGTGGTAATTGCCCTGATACCGGGCATAGCTCTCTTCCTGCTCCTGCCCTCGTGGGTCTTCACCTACTTTGAAAACTGGCCGTACTCCATTTCGCTGTACTACAGCTATGTGACCACCACGACGATTGGTTTTGGTGATTATGTGCCCACCTTTGGACCCAATCAGGTGAGATTTCAAACCTCCCCAAGTCTTCTTATCTTAGTTTCTTCTTATTATAGCCTCGGGAGTTTGGCGGCTGGTTCGTGGTCTATCAGATCTTTGTGATAGTGTGGTTCATCTTTTCCCTGGGCTACCTGGTCATGATCATGACGTTTATTACCCGGTAAGTAGCTGTCCATCGCATGTCCTTTGGGGTTGCCTTTCGTTACGTTGCGTGTCCTGCATGCCCTTAACCAAATATGTATCCCTTCTCTCAATCCAAAAACAAAAAACCACATTCCTCCACATTCGGGACACATACGGCATGAACAGGGGATTGCAGAGCAAGAAGCTGGCGTATTTGGAGCAGCAGCTGTCCTCCAATCTGAAGGCCACTCAGAATCGCATTTGGACGGGCGTCACCAAGGATGTGGGCTATCTGCGGCGTATGCTCAACGAGCTCTATATACTCAAAGTGAAGGTAAACGACGACGACGATCATTATTCATGGGCCAGCACTGGAATATATATATTCCAAAGATGTATATAATAAACTGAATAATCCAGGCTCGTAAAGTGCATCTAAACTCGATTCATTCATAGAGTTTTAAGGGGGATAAAAAGAAAATTATTTAAATGAATTTTTTATTTGATTAAAACCGGGAAATAACAAAGTAATCTTAATATATAAACCCACTTCAAATCTAACCCTATATAAAAATCGTTCAAGGGATTAACTAACCATGATTAGAATTCAAAAATAGCAAAGAGTTTCCCCTTTTGTATGTCCTAACCTTTACCCCTACGTACTTGTCTTACTAAGCGGTAGCCACTCTACTCCGTTCCCACCTGCCTGTTGGCCATGTTCTTCTGTTAACCAAGTTAGAGTCCTGCCCTGTTTGATGCTGATGAAGACCCGCTCTTCTCTGTTCTAGTTTTGTCGAAAGGGAAATAGAAAGAAGCCGAAGAATAAGGCTCCGGCTGAGCAGAAAAAGAAGAGCCCCAGATGTAAGTAGAGCTACAAAGGAGCTTATCCAAATTCCAACCCAGATCCAGAGATAATCTTATATATATACTATATAGACAGTGCTAGCCCAGATCAGCCCCACATAAACAGAGATTCCGCTGAGAATACACTAATACAAAACCCTTTTCTTTACATGTCCAACACCAAAAACACATCCATCACACGCTGATCTGAACTGAACACGCTGAATCCTCCAAAAATCTTCCATTAACCCCTCTCAGCCCGTGTACACCGACATAGATATCGCCTATACGCTGCCCCGTTCCGCCTCCTGTCCGGATCTCAGCATGTATCGCATTGAGCCGGCTCCTATTCCCAGCCGGAAGCGGGCCTTCTCCGTTTGCGCCGATCTGGCTGCTGCCCAGCAGCAGAATGCCACCGGCATTATGGTGCACGCCAGCTCCGACACGGAGCTAAGCAAACTGGATCGCGAGAAGACCTTCGAGACGGCGGAGGCATATCGCCAGACCACCGATCTGCTGGCCAAGGTGGTCAGTGCTTTGGCCACCGTCAAGCCCCCGCCAGCAGAGCAGGAGGATGCAGCGCTGTATGGAGGCTATCACGGCTTCTCCGACTCACAGATATTGGCCAGCGAATGGTCCTTCTCCACGGTCAATGAGTTCTCCACGCCGCGACGTCCGCGGGCTCGTGCCTGCTCCGACTTCAATTTGGAGGCACCGCGCTGGCAGAGCGAGCGGCCGCTGCGTACCAATCAGCACAACGAGTGGACATGGAGTGGGGACAACCAGCAGATCCAGGAGGCCTTCAATCAGCGCTACAAGGGCCAGCAGCGGCCCAATGGTGCCACGATGGTGCATTTGGAGCCGGATGCCCTGGAGGAGCAGCTCAAGAAGCCTTCCCCGGCGGCGGCGGGGGGACGAGTCAAGAAGTTCTCCATGCCGGATGGTTTGCGTCGCTTGTTTCCATTCCAGAAGAAGCGTCCCTCGCAGGATGTGGAGCGCAAGCTGTCGGTGGTGTCAGTGCCCGAGGGCATTGCCTCGCAGCAACAGCCCCGCTCGCCGCTGGACTTCTACAGCAACACGGTCACGGCGGCCTCCAGCCAGTCCTATCTGCGCAACGGTCGCGGTCCGCCGCCGCCCTTCGAGTCGAATGGCAGCTTGGCCAGTGGCGGCGGCTTGACCAACTTGGGCTTCCAGTTGGAAGATGGCATCGCCGGTCCAGCGCCTGGAGCCAGCAGCGGAGCCTATCAACGTCGCGCGGCGGCTGGCAAGCGGCGTCGCGAGAGTATCTACACCCAGAATCCAGCGCCCTCGGCTCGCCGCGGCAGCATGTATCCACCCACCGCACACGCCCTGGCCCAGATGCAGATGCGACGCGGCAGCCTGGCCAACAGTGGCTCCGGTTCGGCGGCCATGGCAGCGGTGGCCGCTCGTCGCGGCAGCCTCTTCCCGGCCACGGCCGGTGGTTCCGCCTCCTCGGTGGCCTCGGCACCGCGTCGCAGCAGCATCTTCTCGGTGACCTCCGAGAAGGATTTGAATGTGCTAGAGCAGACCACCATAGCGGATCTAATCCGTGCCCTGGAGGTGGTCCACACCCATGCCGTGCTTGATGAACAGCAGCAGCAACAGCAGGCGGCGGCCACGGCATCTGGAGCCAAGGGTAGTCGGAAGCAGCGTAAGATGGGCAACGCGGGGCTGGATCCGCCGCAGTTGCCGCCCATTCTCTCGCTCTTTGCCGGCGACCAGACCAGGTCCCTGCAGGCGGCAGCTGCCAATAGGCTTTATGCCCGTCGCTCCACAATTGTGGGCACCATGTCGCCGCTTGGCGGGGGAGGAGGAGGCGCAGGAGCAGGTGCCACGGCTAGATCCCTGCTGGAACCCCCGCCCAGCTATACCGAGAGAGCAGGCGGCAGCCAGGGGCAGTCCCCGTCTGTGTCGGGTCCATCGACTGCCGCTTCCGGTCAGAGCAAGTTCCGGCGCCGCTTCAGCGTGCGTCCAACGGCTCTGCAGATTCCACCGGGCCAGGCGCCACCACCTGGTGCCAGTTTGGCTGAGCAGTCCTTGCCGTCCTCCTCCTCCTCGCAGTCGGCGCTGCAGCGCCGCCTCTCGCTGCGCCCCTCGCCGCTGGCCCGCGAACTGTCGCCCACCTCGCCCACCGGCGGAAGCTCAGCGGTTGGAGGAGGAGCTGTGGGCGGTGTCACAGAGGAGTCTGTGCCAGCCTCGGCGCAGCGACTATTGCCGCTGCCGGCGGGCACGAGACCCAGCACCAGCAGCACCCACTCACCGCTCTCGAGGATCGTGCAGATCTCGCAGGCGCAGCGCAAGAGCAGCATGCCCACCACGGGCGCAGGGTCGCCGCCAGCCACCGAGAAGTAGTTAGTTTCCTAATCCGTAAGATGTATTGCCAACTCGTATATATTTCCAAGTCGAGGAACTGTTGTTTTTTTTCCTGTTTATATTATATATCCCACATAGTCGATAAGGCTGCCAAAAGTCCTTAGTTGTTATGATAATGTTACTGTTATGAATACCTTATACCATACACCATATACTACCAGTTATCCTAGTGTTACGCGCATGTATCTCTCTCTCTATTGTTACTACTGTATTTATGCCCATCTGTATCCACATTCTATTTCGTATATTTTCCTCTATTTGTAGTGCTAAGAAGGGGCTTATGTGAACAAAAGAATCCATATATTTTCCAGAGATCGAACAGGGGTCTTCTCCTTTCGGTTGTATAATTCCATTGAGCTCTCTGAGAGTGGCTTCCATTCGCCGAACATTCTCCAAACATGTTGTTAAATAATAAAGATAATTTGTTAAAGCAATAACAACTGTCGTAATTTATTTTAATTTTATTTATTTTATATTTTTAAACAATTTTTATTTATTTTAATTTATTAAATAAATTACAACTGTTGTATATTTATTTTATTTCTTTTTTGTTTATTTTATTTTAACTTTCAATGAAAATTCTTATAATTTAATAAAAACTGACAGAAAAGTTTTTAAACAAAATTTATTTCCTAGTGATAAGAAGGAAATTTCAAAAATCCCCCCTACCTATCGCCCAGCTATCGATATATCTACCAGTGTGGCTGCCTCCGAGTATACTTTGCGGCTTTTGCTGTGTCCCCCCGCCAAGGTCACACTGCTCTGCCTGTTTGTTTTGTTGTTGTGTCTCTATATAAATTGCTGGATAATTCCAATTTTGTGCTCATTTTGTACTGTTGTTCCCGCTCCCGGATCATTTTTTTTTTGCCCACGACGCAATTGTGTGATTTGGCAATGCTATAAACTGCAGTTAACTGCCGTGTGATCCGTGACTCCAATAAAAACGTATAAAAACAAAGAAGCGAAGCCGAAAATGCAGCGCCTGCAGCAGTTTTTCCTGCTGCTCCTGGTTGGTGCGGCGGCAGCGGGACTGGCACAGGCCACTGTGGCGCAGGAGGAGCAAACGAAGGTGGCAGGCAACATCGTTCACTATCAGCCGGAGCAAGTGCATCTGGCCTTCGGAGGTGAGTGAGAAACGCATTATGTAAAGAGAACAGAGCGGCGCAAGGTGCACTTTGTTGTTGTTGTTTTGTTTTTGCAACCTCTGGTCAATTGTTGCTGAGAGTGCGCAATTCCCGCGGGTTTATTGTTGCTATTATCGGGTGATATCTCCCTGTTTATGGCTCCAGATCTCTGCCAGAAACAAGCCATAGGGAACTGATGCCTATATTATTATAAATAAAATTAAACAAGAAAGGAAGCTAACTTCGGCACGCCGAAGTTTGTATACCCTTGCAGATATCATTTCATTACATTTTACCTATACTTATTATCTTTACAGTTTGATAGTTACAGTTTTACATTCCCAGCCTTACATTTTCTCTACATCTACCGATCGTTTCTATGGCAGCTATATGATATAGTTGTCCGATTTTTATGAAATTAATACCAAAATTCTAAAATAATAAAATAAGCTTATATCTCAGAGTAGATGAAAATGCGTAGAAAAACAACGAAGTTATAATTTTTTTCCTATTAATTTCCCGATCGTTCCTATGGCAGCTATAAGATATAGTGGTCCGATTTTCGTGAAATTTTTACCAAAATTCAGAAATAATATAAAATGGCCATATCTAAATAATGGTGCAAAAATGTTGAAAAACATCCAAGTTATAATTTTTTTCTAAAAATTTATCGATCATTTGTATGGCAGCTATATGATATAGTCGTCCGATCCGGCCCGTTCCGACATATATAGCAGTGAGAGTATATAGAAGACTATGTGCAAAGTTTCATTCAGATAGCTTTAAAACTGAGGGACTAGTTTGCGTAGAAACGGACAGGTGGACAGACGGACAGACGGACATGGCTAGATCGACTCGGCTGTTGATGCTGATCAAGAATATATATACTTTATAGGGTCTGAAAAGTCTCCTTCACTGCGTTGCAAACTTCTGACTGAAATTATAATACCCTGCAAGGGTATAATAAATCAAGAAAATGATTAAAAATGTATAATTTTTTAGGAAATAAGACACTTTCTACAAGAAATACAAATCGATAGGTTCTTAGTTTTTAGAAAAAAGGACACCCTGTAATTGGTTTTTCGATTTATAATCGTTCAGCCTGAACGTAATTTAAAGCCTTAAACAACAAAATATGCTAATTTAATGTACACAATTCAATGATTGCTAATTACTGGCATCATCAGAGACCCTGAAAAACACTGATCAGCCTGCGCAAAACTCGAAAAAATCAGTTCTTTAAGGATTTTTGGGGGTTATAAGCTAAGATATCGTATAATATTAAGTATTAAACTGTATTAAGCTTCAAATTAGTACAAGAAATGAGAAACTACCCCGTGTTTACTTGCTTAATCTGTCGAGTGACAGTTCGCCAGCATAAATATTTGGCTCTTGAAGTGCAGTGCCCTCTCCTCTAATCAGGGGACTCCCCTCTAATATCGTGTTAGCTAAACAACAAAAAACAAATAAATAGGAAATTCAGAACCCGTACTCGTACCCAATCCCAGACTTTGCCACCCCATGGGGGGCCTGGAGTCGTTATCGCGAAGGGCATGAAGAGCGATTCAGCAATCCGAACGTCATCCAAGCGCAGTCATCGCGCTTTGTTGTGCTCCAGTTTGTCCGGGGGAAGCGATAAGAAAACAATAACGAAAGAGCTCCTTCGCTGAATTAGCTGAAAACAATAGAAAATAATCGGAAAATAATAGAATCAGCTGCAGTTGGTCTTGATTCCAATAACTTCACGGCCCTGCTCTCGTTTGCATTGACAAAGAACCGAAAATGATGACAAATTACCTATCGATAAATTGTTTAAATTATTATTACTTGTACTATTTAATGGAAAGGTTTTTTTCCTTTGGAAAACAATTAAATTTGAAGTACATACACAACTTTTCTACTTACAATTTGTACTTTACCTTTCACAAATTAAATAAAGTGTTAAATAAATTAAAATAAAAGGTTCGAATTGACAAAGAATCGAAAATGATGACAAATTACCTATCGATCAATTCTTTAAATTCATTTTACTTGTTACATTTAATGGAAAGGTGTTTTTTTTTCTATAGAAATCAATTAAATTTAAAGTAAATATGCAACATTTTTACTTAAAATCTTTTCTTTACCTTTTACAAATTAAATAAAGTATTTAATAAATAAAATGTCTTAAATATTTATACTTATTTGCAAAGCAAAACTATTATTGTTTGTTTATTAAAACTAGATTAAAGGTGAAGTGTTATCAAATTTTCGTATTCCTTAATCAAAAACGAAAACAGGCCCGTTTGTTATTTCTTTCCATCTTCTTGGCCCAACGAAATTGCTCAAGTTTGTTTTTCTTTTTTTTTCGCTTTCCCCCCGCTTTCTTCCTGTTCCGATCGCTCCGCCCTGCTCTTTGCTCCGGACTTCAGAGCGCACCGCTAGCGAGATAGTCGTCACCTGGTCGACGCGCAGCCTACCGCCGGACCCGGAATTGGGGGCGTCCAGCTTGGTGGAGTACAGTCGTATGGTGCCCGGAGAGGTACCCCGGTTCACCCAGCACTCCCGCGGCACAGCCACCAAGTTTGTGGACGGCGGCCGCAAGCAGGCCACGCAGTACATCCACCGGGTATGCCAGAGATTTCAGACGAGAAGAGAGGGTCAAGTGTGTGAGGATAGGAAGTGCTATCTATGGAGGCTAATTGGGAATCTAAGATTTTTAATAAAAACTTATTTTTTAAGCACTAAGGTTCTTTTTGTAACCCCACAAACTCCATAGATTGCAAAGATCCTCCTCCACCTTGACCCTCCATCTGGAGTATGGATAAACACAGACTTATGGTTGGTTTCCATCCGCTTAGGTGACGCTTAGCGGCTTGGAGGCGAACGCCACGTACATGTATCACTGCGGCAGTGCCGTCGGCTGGTCGGCCATCTTTCAGTTTCGAACGGTGCCCACCGCCACGGCCGACTGGTCACCCTCGGTGGCCATCTACGGGGACATGGGCAACGAGAATGCCCAGTCCCTGGCCCGACTGCAGCAGGAGACGCAGCGTGGCATGTACGATGCCATCATCCATGTGGGTGACTTTGCCTACGACATGAACACGGAGAATGCGCGCGTGGGCGATGAGTTTATGCGGCAGATCGAGACGGTGGCCGCCTACCTGCCCTACATGGTGGTGCCGGGCAACCACGAGGAGAAGTTGTGAGTAGAAGATGAGGGATGAGGAGGAGCGGGCAAGAGCAGAGGGACTAACCCAGGGGTGTGTGTGTGTTGCAGCAACTTCTCGAACTATCGCGCCCGCTTCAGCATGCCGGGCGGCACGGAGAACATGTTCTACAGCTTCGACCTGGGACCCGTCCACTTTGTGGGCATCAGCACGGAGGTCTACTACTTCCTCAACTACGGCGTCAAGTCGCTGGTGTTCCAGTACGAGTGGCTGCGCCGGGATCTGGCCAAGGCCAATCTGCCCGAGAATCGGGCTGAGCGTCCGTGGATTATCATCTATGGCCACCGGCCGATGTACTGCAGCAATGAGAACGACAACGACTGCACCCACTCGGAGACCCTGACCCGTGTGGGCTGGCCCTTCGTCCACATGTTCGGCCTGGAGCCGTTGCTCTACGAGTTCGGTGTGGACGTGGCCATTTGGGCGCACGAGCACTCGTACGAGCGGCTGTGGCCCATATATGACTATGAGGTGCGCAACGGGACACTTAAGGATTCGCCGTACGAGGATCCCCGGGCTCCGGTGCACATTGTCACCGGGTCCGCGGGCTGCAAGGAGGGACGGGAGCCGTTCAAGGGCAAGATACCCGAGTGGAGTGCCTTCCACAGCCAGGATTATGGCTATACGCGTCTCAAGGCTCACAATCGCACCCATTTGCACTTTGAACAGGTGTCGGATGACCAGGATGGCGCCGTCATCGATGAGTTTTGGCTGGTCAAGTCCAAGCACGGCAGCTACCAATAGAACTGAGGGACCTAAAACGAAACCAAAGCAAGCTAAAGGAGTCTCCAGGCAGCACACAACACAAGCACCCATAGAAACTGTGGCAGTATTAAAAGCGCGCACATTCGATTCTCGACCTGATTCGATCACAAACTATATAGATACCTAGGAATGGCAGAATATATCGGTTTATGGGGTCTGATATTTGATATCTTAACGTTGATAATGAATGATATTGATATATTGGATATTCCCGCTCGATATATGTACATCCCTAGCAATGGTACCCTAGAGGTAGAGCTGGAGAAAAATAGATTCCGTCGATTTTTTCGATCTTTTCAAAAAAAAAAAAACATCGAATAAATCGATAAAACAATTATTTATTTTTAAATTAAATGAAATCCAATACAAGAAATAAAAACCAAAATACATTCCTACACATTTAATAAGGAAAAGTAAGGTTCAATAACATAGAAAAAGAAACAACAAAATCATCGATTGTTTTATCGACCAAAATAGAAAGAATCTATGTAATCGTTGACATCGATTTTTCCCAGCTCGACCACTAGGCATGGTCTATAACACATTCCTTAAGCGAATATCACATGTACAAAGCCCAGCCAGACCGAACTAAACTATTACTTAGCCAATTTTTGCGAGCCAAGCATTTAAGAGAGCATTTAGTGTAAGGAGCTCCAAACTTGCACTTAGCCCAATTTAAAATTAATTAATTAAGCATTGGGAAACCCATTTATCACACTTATTATTTTACTTAAGTTTTTTAACATTCAAAATGCAAATTCAGTGCTTTTTCTTGCCTGAAATTCCCTAATGGTTTTTAATTTATGGAGTTTTGGGTACTTTTACATATATTTATAGTCCTGGAAAACCGACTATACTACCATTACAATTACTATTTTACCCTGTGGTCCCAATAAACTGCTTAAATACAGCATAAAAATGTTTATAGTGTGGGGAGAATATTTTTAAAATATATATATAAGTAGCATTTATTGTGGGTTCGATTCGTGGCCAAGTCCGTAGTTAATCCGTGTGTGCTCCTGCAGAGACCGTGCTCGACATTGTCGTCACCTGGAACACGCGCGACAATACCAATGAATCCACCTGCGAGTTCGGCATCGGTGGACTAAATCAAAGGGCCAAGGCGGCACAGATGCCCACGAAATTCGTGGACGGCGGACCCAAGAAGGCCACCCAGTACATTCATCGCGTGAGTAGTCAACCCCAATGAGTCACAGCTACAGTTCCAAATGATTCAAAATTAATTTTATTGATTTAAAATGGTTTAAAAATATTTTGATGTGTTTTTAAGGATTTAAAATAATAAAATCCAAATGATTGAGCATTAATTTTTATGATTTCAAATAGTTCAAAATTATTTACAAAGATTTCAAGGACTTTGAATATTTCAAAATGAATTCAAATTATTTTAAATAAATTCAAATAATTTGAAATTATTATAAAGTATTAAAAAACTTGCCAAATAATTATAGAATAATTAAAAATTATAAAAAAAAAGTTTTTATATTATTCAAAATTACTTCAACTTATTCAGAATGATTTAAAATTATTTCAAAATGATTCAAAACTATTCAAAATAATTTTAAATGAATTCAAAAAAATTAAAATTATTAAAAACTATTAAATGGTTTATATTATTTAGAATGATTTTAAATTGTTTCAAAATGATTTAAAAATATTCAAAATAATTTTAAATGAATTCAAATAATTTGAAATTATTATAAAGTATTAAAAAACTTGCCAAATAATTATAGAATAATTAAAAATTATTAAAAATAAATGTTGATATTATTCAAAAAGACTTGAACTTATTCAGAATGATTTCAAAATGATTCACAATGACTTAAAGCGATTTTTAGTCATAAATTAGTCATTTTGCGACAAAGGGATTCGTTGGCTGTGATTTTACTCCAGGTTCGGTTTAGGGTTAACCCCTGCCAACACCCCCCCAACCTCCATCCTTACTCCATATATGTACGACCCCAGGTGACGCTGTCCCAGCTGCAGCCCAACAGCACTTACCTCTACCATTGCGGCAGCGATCTGGGATGGTCGGCCACGTATTGGTTCCAAACGCACTTCGATCACAGCGACTGGGCACCCTCGCTGGCCATCTACGGCGACATGGGCGTGGTGAATGCCGTCTCCCTGCCGGCACTGCAGCGAGAAACGCAGCGCGGCCAGTACGATGCCATCATCCATGTGGGTGACTTTGCCTACGACATGGAAAAGGAGAACGGCGAGGTGGGCGACGAGTTCATGCGCCAGGTGGAGACCATTGCCGCCTATGTGCCGTACATGGTGTGCGTGGGCAACCACGAGGAGAAGTAGTAAGTGTGGCCCAGGTCAGGGAGCCAGGGAGCTTTGGAAAGCCTAAATCCCCCAATCCTGCCGTTTCCACAGCAACTTCTCGCACTACATCAATCGGTTCAGCATGCCGGGCGGCAGGGACAACATGTTCTACAGCTTCGACCTGGGGCCAGTGCACTTCATCGGCTTCAGCACGGAGTTCTACTACTTCACCCAGTTCGGGATCAAGCAGATTGTGGCGCAGTACGACTGGCTGGAGCAGGACCTGATCGAGGCCAACAGGCCCGAGAACCGCCGGAAGCGTCCCTGGATCATCACGTTCGGCCACCGGCCGATGTACTGCAGCAACGACAATGGAGACGACTGCGCCAACCACGAGACCATCGTGCGCAAGGGCCTGCCCATGCTGGACATGTTTGGACTGGAGCCGCTGTTCTATCAGTACGGCGTCGACGTGGAGCTGTGGGCGCACGAGCACTGCTACGAGCGGATGTGGCCCATGTACAACTACACGGTGTACAATGGCTCACTCTCGGAGCCGTATGTGAATCCTGGTGCCCCGATCCACATCATTTCGGGTGCCGCCGGCAACCACGAGGGTCGGGAGCCGTTCTTCAAACACATGCCACCATGGAGCGCCTTTCATAGCCAGGACTTTGGTTACCTCCGCCTGAAGGCCCACAATGCCAGTCACCTGTACTTCGAGCAGGTGTCCGACGACAAGAAGGGCGCGGTTATCGATAGCTTCTGGGTGATCAAGGACAAGCATGGGCCGTACAATGCCTGATCTGCGGGGGACAGAGAGGACACATTGTGATATTTACCACAACCTTGACACTAACCGGGCGTATTTTCATTCCTATCAACTGTATTAGCAAGTACTTAGAGCTTAAACCATGTATATCCTTCTGTCGGAGAAATCGATAAGGTTGTTTATACATATATATTTTGTAGAATACAGAGCCCCAGCAATTTCTGTGCTTTTTATCGAAATACGTAGGTTATTTGTTATGAAAACAAGTTTTTTTTTACAGAAATACGTATCTTTGAACAAAATTCATTTTTGTTATCGAAATATGAATAATATATAATTTTTATAATCGAAATGTAAACTTAAAATACACTGCAAAACACAATAAATCTCTGATGAGAAAAAATATATTCAGAAAATGATGTTTTCTGGTGCCACATTCCCTGCGCACGAACTAGAGTTTTGGTCTGCTATAAATATCTCGAAAGGAAACCGATTAACTTTCATATATCGAAATTGTATAAATTTTTAATAAGATATGACAAAGCTTTCCAAATATGTATACAACTCGCAGGAAACTCAATTAAAGTAAACCCTCTACCCATCTACAAACCCTTTACAGATAACCTACAGGACATTGTGGTCACCTGGTCCACTCGCGGCTCCCCCAACGCCTCGCTGGTGAACTTCGCACGCAACTATGCCACCGACAAGCTTACCACGGTGAATGGCACCTGGCAGCGCTTCGTGGACGGCGGCAAGAAGAAGCGCACCCAATACGTGCACAACGTGGAGCTCAGGGGTCTCCAGCCGGACACCCGCTATGAATATAGCTGCGGCAGCCCGCTCGGCTGGTCGCCGGTCTTCCACTTCAAGACACCGCCGGCCGGCGAGCAGTGGTCACCTTCGCTGGCCATTTACGGCGACATGGGCAACGAGAATGCCCAGTCGATGGGACGACTGCAGCAGGACACGGAGCGGGGCATGTACGATGCCATCATTCATGTGGGTGACTTTGCCTACGACATGGACACGAAAAACGCGGCTGTGGGCGATGCCTTCATGAGGCAAATCGAGTCGGTGGCCGCCTACGTGCCCTACATGGTCTGTCCGGGCAATCACGAGGAGAAGTAGTGAGTAGAATCGCGCCGAATTGGTGGCCATTGGACAGCCTCTAGATGTGTGTTCTCTGCAGCAACTTCTCCAACTACCGCGCCCGCTTCAACATGCCCGGCGATACGGACAGCCTGTGGTACAGCTTCAACCTGGGACCCGTGCACTTCGTGTCCTTCTCCACGGAGGTCTACTACTTCCTCAGCTATGGCGTCAAGCTGCTCACCAAGCAGTTTGAGTGGCTGGAGCGGGACTTGGCCGAGGCCAATTTGCCCGAGAACCGGGCCAAGCGCCCCTGGATCATCACGTACGGCCATCGGCCGATGTACTGCAGCGACGACAAGGAGTACGACTGCAATGCCCAGCTGGAGACGTACATACGGCAGGGTCTGCCCATGCTCAAGTGGTTCGGTTTGGAGGATCTGTTCTACAAGCACGGCGTGGACGTGGAGTTCTTTGCCCACGAGCATTTCTACACTCGCCTGTGGCCCATCTACAACTACAAGGTGTACAATGGCAGCATGGAGGCGCCTTATACCAATCCCAAGGCACCCATACAGATCATCACAGGCTCCGCCGGCTGCAATGAAGAGCGTGAGCCCTTCTCCCACGATTTACCCGCTTGGAATGCCTTTCACAGCAATGTAGGTGGAAGTTCTGGGGGGGATTTCCAGGGGTTTCTCTGCTTACAAGTACTAAAACTTTGTTATCCTTTGCAGGACTATGGCTATACCCGCCTGAAGGCCCACAATGGCACTCATTTGCACTTTGAGCAGGTGTCCGACGACCAGGACGGCGCCATAGTCGACTCCTTCTGGGTGATCAAGGACCAGCATGGCTCCTACCCGCCACCTAAGTGATACTGCATCCTCCCTCTGTCCCTGAAACCGACTCTACTTATCAACGAGACTTGTGCCTTCCTCTCTTAATTTGATCTTACTTTTTTTTTGTGTTTTATAGCATCTTTTAATAAAAAATTAAGTTAGAAAAAATATTAAAGACAAAAAAAAATAAATTCCACTAGCTTAAATGTTGAACGTTGGGTGTTTGGATCTTGCCTAGTAGACGGTGCCCGAGATGCCGGACCCGTAGTTGTAACCGGTTCCAATGGGCGGCACTCCGCCGAGGGCTCCCAGTCCGCCGCCGACCACGCTGTTGCCGTAGTTGCTCGTGTAGTAGCTGGAGGGATAGCCGCCGGCTCCGAAGCGGGTGTTGTAGTACGGGTAGCCAGTGCCTCCGGCTCCCACGCCCAGCCGGCTGTTGTAGTACGACAGCGCGTAGGGGTTGGAGTTGTAGGAGCCGCCATAGCCTCCGCCCAGAGCGGAGCCGTAGCCGCCGAGAGCAGAGCCATAACCTCCACCAAGAGCAGATCCATAGCCGCCCAGAGCAGAGCCATAGCCACCATAACCGCCATAACCACCCACTGCGGCGCCATCTGTAATGGGAAAAGAAAGATAAAGTCAGAGATCAGTCAGAGCTAAGGTTAAGCTCAGTCCCCGCCAACGCTCACCCTCACCTAATCCAGCCAGAGATCGAGAGCCGTAGGGATTATAGTAGCTGTCCACTCCCACGCCACTGCCATAGGCTCCTCCATAGCCAGCGCCCAGAGCGGAACCATAGCCGCCATAGCCCGCACCATAGCCTCCTGCTCCGCCATAGCCGCCTGCTCCTGCATAGCCACCGTATCCACCAACATAGCGCTTCTCCTGCTTCTTCTCCTGCAGCGGTGCATAGCTGCTGGCGGCGCCCACCTGATCCTCCTCGACGGGAGCCACCGCTACCGATGACTGATCGGAGGCCAAAGCCACCTGCTCTTGGTCGGGCGCATCCTCAGCCAGGACACTCAGCACTAGGCTGGTCGCCAACAGGATAAGCTGTTGAAAATATTTAATTTAACACTTTTTTATATATTTGAAAAAAAAAAATCACATCCTTGGTTTATTTCAGGCTTTTCTTTTTTGTTTTTTTTTTTTTCTTTTGTCATTATATCCACAAAATCCTTACAAAGCACTTCATGTTGTGGTCGCCTGTTTGTGGTTTCAACTGTTTGCTGGTGGGCTTGCTCCTCCTCTGAGACTATGTTGCGCACGCGCGGCTCGACACTTGTCTAATGATTCCACTGCCAGGCCGCCACTCGCTTTTATACCCACCAATCCCGGCGAGCGAGAGAGAGAGAGCTTCGCGAAGTTGGAGGTACCATCAGGGCAGGCCGGAGCTCGACCCCTTCAACCACGGATGACGCATGCCACGAGCCAAGATCTCCATGGGGGTCTTGGCGTAATTAACTGCTCAGGTTGTAAGGAGAAGGGATACTTGGATACTTAATACTTGGTTTATTCTAGGAGTTGCTCATGCTTAAATTATATTTATTATATCTTATTATTATATATTTATTACTTAAGAATATATATTTGGTATTATTAATTTTGTTTTCAATGAGAGTTTCAGTTATGAGTAAAGGAGATAGTTTCCTTATTATAATAACAATTATATAATAAATAATTAAAAATTAATAAAAACATAATTAGTAATATATAAAAATAATAATATAATTGTTGTTATTATCAGCAACATTTTGCTATATTTCTAAAGCTTAAAAATATACTTGGTACTCAAAACATGGTACTTTAAAAGGCCACATTTTCTAATTTTATATGTATCATTTAATTTAGGCTAATTTTAATAGTTTAACAAATATAAAAACATTAAAAACATATAAACTATACTTTAAATCTGTCAATAAAAATTAGGAGTTTAAGTAGTCAAACTCAGTAGTTGTTTATAAATATAAAGACATTAAAAACATATAAACTATACTTTAAATCTATCAATAAAAATTAGGAGTTTAAGTAGTCAAACTCAGTAGTTGTTTATAAATGTTTATAAACAATGGAGTAATATATTATTAAACATTAAAATGTTGCTATGTGTATGGATATATGGACAACAGATTTATGTATATGGATTAATATATAAATAGGTCTATTCTATATATATTAAATAATAGTAATATCTATTAAAAAACTACAACGAAACCTAACTCGACTGGAGTCCCTAAATAATTCCCTAAAAATCCTTGAATCATGGAGATCAATTTATAAACTGATGTTAAACTTAATATTTAAATACCTCTTATATAATACCTTTTAAAATTATAAGTATTAAGAATATTTTTAATTAAGAAAACTTCAATCAAAAACCCTTAAAAAGAAAGTCCTTAATATTTAAAAGAATTTCGAAAAACTCCACTAATTTCAAAACCTATTGAGTTAAATTTATGAATATTTATATATGTATATAAATTCTACATTAAGAGGATTAATAAAATATCAAGTTCCTTAATTAAACCAACAAAAAAAATCCCTAATCCTTATAAGAAGCCTTGAAACCTCTGTAGTATGTACATCTATTTCACTGATTCAAATCCCCATTGATCTATATACGACTATATGCAATCACTGAGGAGGCGAAGGCGGAGGTGTGGCTCTGCCGGTCGTCGTCACACATCATTATCAATATTCCCACGATCTGGGGATCAATTATAGACCGCAGCCAGCACAGTGGAAACAATAACAATGATGACAAATGCTAATTGAATCATTAACTTGACCCTGGGCCAGCTAATTGGCCAACATAAAACGCCAAATGGCCAAGTGCAGTGCGTTCAGGCCAGTTCACCGATTTACTTAGATAAATATTGGGGCTAAGTAGCAGTACGTGAGTCACAAGGTTCGGTGCTGGGTTTTCACTTTCCTAGCCTTATTTTTGTTTTTTTTTTCGCCAGCTAAAGAGAAATCCAAGCGGATCTACATAAATCTGTTTGATTTTTGGGCCAAAACAAAGGCGCCAACTGTCCGCCAGTTTGGCCTGCCTGGGGGGTAGGTGGTGGTGGTGGTGCTAGTGGTGGTGGTGTCTCCACTTAGAGAGTGGAGTGGATTCTGCAATACAACCAACCAACCACTCACCCACTCACCACGGTTGACATATTTCCAGAGATATAACGGGCCCGAAAAAAAATATAGCATACACTTGCCAAAAGGTTCTAAATGAGGGAAATTCTTTTATTTTAGTTTGTTTTTATTATAATTAATATTAAGGAAATAAGACTTCAATTAGTGGAGCTAACTTCTAGGCTAAAAATATTTTATTTACAATTAAAAAGCTTCGATTTGGGGATCGATTTATCAAAAAAATTTCAATCTTACCTTGAAATATAAGAATATTTCATATAAAATAATTTTTTATACAAATAAAATATAAATATATAAATTAAAATTATAAAATAGTAAATTAGCTTAGCAATCCCAACTTCTGAGATATTAAAAAGTCAGCAAAATCTGGTTGCAGATTTAGATATTGTATCTCAAAGTACGTGTGGCAATAGTCATCCGCAGGTTGATGTCAAAATATAGCTGTCGATGCTATATAGACTCTGCTGCTGCTGCTGCTGCTGCTGTTTTTGTTGCTGTCTTCGATCTCTGGTGTTCCCCCTTCATATGAGTTTACTATATATATGAGTGGGGCCACATTGTGTTCGGGCAGGGCATGTGAAAAGTGTTAACTGAGTGGGATCTACGCTGAGGCAACGGTAGCGATGACTTGACTTGGCCATGGCTGTACTTTGGCGATGGCCTGGGAGTTTTTTTGGCCCACTGAGACAATGATTCTTTAATGCCGAGGCCTAAAAGCCTATTACACACGGGCAGTCAGTGAATCTCTAGGTAAGTGGCTGGGTGGCCTCCAAGGTGAAAGAAGAGGCAGCCATCAGGGCGTATACGTGATGTTAAATAATTATTGAATAAATACATTTTTAAAAATCTAGAAACCCATATCAACCTATAGCTAATATTTATGATTTTAAGATGTATTAAAAAATCATTTTTTCTCGGTGTTCTTTTGAAGGGAACAAGCCTGGCTTGGAGTCTACCATAAGATTCATCTTGGGGCGTTGCCATCATTCGTTGTTCTAATTTGCAAAACCAAATCACGCTCTGACAGCAACAGCAACAGCAACAACAACAATCTTGCATCATTCATGACAGTCGCACGCCCACCAATTATATTTACAAACAGATTTAATTATAATTGAACAACGGGGCGGACGACGACTCTAGCTCTGGCTAGGCTCCCTCCCGGCTGTAGACTTCAAAGTGAACTAAATGAAACGAAAAACCGCAAGCCAGGTTACACAGCAAATGAAGCAGCAAATGATGATTACCGCGATGAGGACAAGTACTCCGCCGCAGTCCCAGGGAGAGACAATGAAAAACAAAACGAAACGAAACCATGGCCTTTTCCGTTGAACTTGCACTGTGCATAATTGCATACTAGTACCATCGGCATATCAGCCCAGCCAAGCCGAGACCAAGAATACTTCGCACGATTATCCATGTGCATTGTGTGAACCCCCAAAGCCAAATCCCATCCCCGGCTTAGATGGAACCACATACCACATGCACTTGCACTGGGCGGGCTCTGTCTCTGGCCCTGGCATTAGGCCTCTGAGCAAAGTCTTCACCGGGTTTTATCTTGAGCGACAAGCAGGAAGGATTCAGACTTTAAAATAGTGTTTCTGGGGATTAAAATTAATGATATTTTATGGTTTTAATAAGCTATGTGTTCTAAATAAGAATAATATAGATAAATATATATTTTAAGTCACATTTTTTGAAGTGTTATCATATAAAATTAGCGATACACATATTTTTTAAATTTTTAAATCCCTTTGAGGATATTATACCTAAGTTCAGTCAGAAAACTATCTCCAACAAATATCTAAAATGATGGATGATGAGTTCACCAAGGATGTGCCAGGAGGTTACACATACCATGTGACAGTAGTTTATTTTGATGAACGAAAACTCTCAAAGACCCTGGACTTGGCACGGGGATAGACCCATCAACCGAATGACTCAGCTGGTGTATTGATTGGACTCGATTTCGATGTGTCTAATGATGAGGTTCCAGTTCCAGTTCCCATTCAAAATCCAAACAATGAGTAATTGGAAGAGGCTCAGAGGCATGACATATCCATAAATTTCAGGTTGCAGCGTGGAGCACGGGGCATAAATCGCCGGAGACAATGCCAAGTTCGTCGGGTGGTATGCCCCTCCCCCCCTTAAGTAAAAAGACAGTTTGGATTTGAATGCTGTAAAAAATATACATATACACGTATATACAGGACTGTGTCGCCATATATATCGTGCATTCGTGTATATATATATCAGTTTATTTAGTCTTCTTCAAAAGTTCTTTAGCGAGCTGCCCGCGGCGGAGCTTCCCTCGTGTGAAATGGCACCTCCACCTCACCACCTCGCCCCTAATCTAACTATATTTTGTAATTTTTATCTCATTTTCTCTTCTTTTTTTTTGTCATTCTTTTCGTTTCTTTTTGATTATTTTGTACGTTTTCTTCGGTTTTTTTTTTTTTACTTTTTTCTTGTTTTGTAACTTTTTTCTTTCGATTTGTACAAAGAATTTTAGCTGAAAGAAAATTTGGTTTAGGCTTTATGTCTTTATAAATATATATTCGATAACAATTAAAAGGTAAGTTAGATGATGCGCGGCCCTGCTCGGACGCACGTGCAAGACGGAGACGGAGCGAGTGCAGCAGTAGGGCACCAAGAAAAGGGAGAAGGAATGATATGAGGTGAGTGTAAGAGAGAGAGAGAGAGAGAGAAAATGGACTTTGGGGGTACAGTTGTGTTAGTTATCGAAAAGGAACTTCCGGTTGACATTTTTAGTGAAGGAATGGGATCGATAAAGACAGGCGTAGGGTTAGGTAACAATAGTCTCAGGGGAAAAGTCAGAGGGGCAAATTAAGTAAATTACAAACTATAACAAAATCAAACAATTGATCTAGGGCTAGGAAACAAAACCAAACGAAACTCGGGGCGTGTGTGTTCGGTTCAAAATGCTTAAAATTATAATAAATATATATGGCTATACGAGTAGTAGGTAGGATCGTGCACACATAGAGTATCTTTCTAGGTATACAATACATACGTACATATAACTAACATCGAATAGTGTGTGTGTGTGTGTGTGTGTGTGTGTGTGTGTGGTTGCTCTTAACTATACATATATATATTATAGAATGAAACGGAAAATGAAGCTGGGAAAAGTACGAGGAATGTGTGCGGTAAAATAATAATAATAAGACAACTTAAACATTAATTGATTCGAACGGGGCCAAAGGCCACACACTCCATCTCCCATCCATACCACCCACATTATAACTTTACAGTACTTCTTGCTATATCACACGCCCCCTTTTAAGCCGAGTTTCGATGGAATGGAGCGTGGGCCATGGCCGATTTAACTAGCACTTAATTCTAGGACTCGATCTTCGAGGTGTACAAAAAATAAAAGGTTTTGTGAAGAGGCGAGGGGTATAGTATGATGTGTAAACAAAGTGTAGTATGCTAGGGGAATTTGAGCATAATGTGTTGTTGTTGTTGATTTTGTTGTTATACATATATTCATGTATATGTATATATATATATATATATATAGTTTATGCATAATAATAAGAATAATATAAAAATAATCACAGACTCGGATTTGCTGATTGGAATCGTTATTTGTTTTGCTATTTCCACTACTAGTGTTCGCTCATTCGTTCGTTCAGTTATCAGCTGGAACGACAGATACTATGTATGTCTTAGGTAGTTCTTAAAGGGCTATAATCACTTGGAATAACTACAGAATGGTTGTTGTACAGTTATGCCGTTCCATGCTCGTAGTTATGCATGTAATAGAATTGTTTTTTATTAGTCCATATATTATCATTATATATTATCATATTGTGTGTAGCATTACGATTACTAAAGTTATACGAATACGACTGTTGATGTTTCTTTTATGCGCTTCCATTTGATCCTTCTTATGCTTATCTGGTTCTAGCTTATAGACAGGCGTTGCAGGACCTCTTCTTCACAATATTATATAGTATATATTAGGTTTTATGTTGTCAGATAAATAAGATGTGTGTTACAATGTCAGAATTGTTCGGGGACAAGCTCTTGCGTATAGACTTGCTTGGGATTTCGAATTAGAGTACAGTACAGCCCACAGTACATGCTCATCCCTTCTTAGTTTATTTTGTCTAATTAGCTTACTGCGAACTAATATTTGTATTATTGTATATTTGACTCATTAACGTATTACTGAGCTTATCACTAAATGGTTTTTACTCGCGATACTACTCCTCTCCTCTCCTCCCAGAGTACATATATACGTAGTATGTGTAGGCCATAATCTTTCGAGGATTTTGGTAAAAATGGTTATAATAAACAATCTCTTATTCGTCTAGGTATCTTTCGGAGTGAGTGAGAGCGAGTTATGGCTGTTGTGGGTATACATTTATGGGCTTTACGTTTACATAATGTGTTCCTAAGCAAATATTTTATATGTACAATTACTTAATTCACTAGATTTCATCTCGCTTTATTTGTGTCAGATCTGGCCCTGATTTTGTGTTGTGTTTAGTGTATGATCTCTCTACCTTCCTTTGGGTATAACCCTATATTATAATATTGGTACCGTCGTCGTTTCCGTTTCCGTTTACTTCTATGCTTTTGTTCAGGCCTTTATGGTATTGCGTTCTGTGTGTGCATATTTATGTATATTAATGCCACATTATCTCAAGTTTATACTTCGTGTTAAAGCAAACAGTGTTTTTTGTGGTTAAAGGTCATTATTATTTTGTTTGTTTAAAAAAAGAGAACAATAAACGGGTCACAGTTAAAAAAAAATACAAATATTTGGGTCAGTTTTAATATAATCAGGATTAAAAATTCCACAAGGAGAGCCTCAACTTGTGGTTGCTGTCCTCCTTCTACCTCCTGATCGGCAGAAAGACTTAATAACTAAATTGAAGTATTTATACAATCGATGCAAGTCTATAAAAAATGTATTACTACTATAAGTTGTATTGTTTGATTATTTATATTATTGACATGCAGATATTTGCACGCTTCTTTGCTGCTATGGTTGGTTCTGTCTGTGTCCAGGTCAAGCTTTAAGCATCCCACTTAGGTCTACGTTTAAATACAATCTGTGGCTGGGAAAACGAAGCACGTTTTAGTCATTGATAGGATATCTTTGTACAATTACTAGCCAGAATGGATATATTATGATGTACTCACCAACTAAGATGATCAATTGTTTATATATATATATATCTGTATATAGACGTAATGTTTACAATTCTACAACTTTATACCTTACAGCTACGGTTCCTTCAACTTTCGGCTTAACACAATATATGGATGAGGGAGATACACTATACGATTCTCTGATCCGTTACAAAAAAAAAAAAAAAAAAACATTTTGTATACTATATAGTTCATGATTCACATTTTAAGCTATCCTTCTCATCGCGCCTGTTCTTCTACTTCTCCTGCTGCTTCTGCTACTACTCCTTGTCCCATCAATCGTGCTTGAGTACGATGCGGGCGGGCGCCTTGGAGCGCTGCTTGTGGCTGCTCCCGCCTCCTCCAGACGATGCCTGTCGCTTCTCCAGCCGATCAAAGATGCCTCCTGCTGCTCCTGATCCACCCGAACTGCTGCCACCTCCGCTGCTCTTCCTTTGCTGTCCATGGTCCTGCTCCCGCTGCCTCCTCTCCCGCTGCCTGCCGCTGTGCGAGGACTGCTGCTGTTCGCCGCTGCCATTGCTGGTCGGCTTTAGCACCACCCTCCTTTGGCCGGAACCAAAGCTGGCCGCTGACGCCGCCGAGCTGCTGCCGCGCACCACCTTGTGGTTACGCTTCACCACCAACAGCTCTGGCGTGGCCGATCGCTTGCTGCTGGTTTTCTGCGGCGGCGGCGATGGCGTGGCCAACAGACGATCCTCCTCGTCCAGCAGCAGGTCGTCGTCGTCGTAGTCCAGTTCCACCTCGTCGTCACTGGGCATGCCCAGACGCAGCATATCGCGCGGCTTCGGCGGAGTTCCACCAGTTGCGGTCGCGGTCACAGTTACAGCGACACCTCCAGCAGCTCCTCCTCCGGCCCCAGCAGTGGCCGTAACTGCTCTGGCCGGCTGATGATGATGTTGCTGCTGCTGCTGCTTGGAGGAGGGAGCCAGGTGCTCTGTTATACTGCGTTTGGCCTCAGGAGCTATTTTCGCTGCCGTTACTTGCTTGCGTGTTGGAGGCTGCTGCACCTGTCTGTTGCGACCACCGTTGCCTCCCTCCTGGTCATCGCGACGCTTTAAGGAGATGACCTTGCGCTCGTGACGCAAGGCTGCTGTTGCTGCTGCTGCCGATGGCGCTGCTGCTGATCCTTGTCCGGCGGGGGCGGGGGCGGTGGCGGCTCCTGCCGTATCCTGGTCACCCTCAGCTGGTGAATTGTGCTGCTCGGCGCGTTTTTCCTATAAATTTATATTTCGTTTGTGTCTGTGTGCTCATTTCACGTCTCCCCAAACTTAACTCTATAAACTAATAAATAACTAATAAATATAAATTAACTTTAGCTTCGGTTGCCGAAGGTCTTAATACCCTGGCAGGGGGCAGCACCTTTGCGGGGACTGGGCAAGGCCATATCTAGTTTTCAAGATGTTCTGCATACTAATTTAAGGGGGGACATCTGAGTAACTGTTTTTAAAATTTTTTTTTTGCTTAAAAAATTATTTAGGGTCTTAAAAATAACATACCAAAAGATGGAGTCCGGCAAATGTGTCTAAGTGTCGAAATTTTCCATTCTGCGGCGATGCCTCTCATGTAAATATATACGATTTTAAAACTTTAAACGCGTTTTTCTGAAAACCACTTTTTTTGAGTTGGCCGGAAACATAACTCGATCAAATCTTAACCGATCGATCTGAAATTTTGACAGTATTATATTCAAAATTTCTTTGTCTATCGACACACGTAGGATTTTTTTTATGCTTACTTTTTTTTTATTAACAATTTTGTGACGTTTTTTTTTCATGAAAATTGAACATTTTTTTAATCACTCACCATTTTGCAAAAAATCAAAATATCGAAAAAATTCTACGTGTGTCGATAGCGGTTGAGATATAGAAACTAACAAAATTTGATTTTTTGTTCTAGATCAAAAATTAGGGACGTTAGGTTTCCGGCCAAAAAAGGGCCTACGAAGAAATGCTGCACAGCCGCCATTTGGTTTTCAATTTATTCAAAAAAAATGTATTTTGTACTTCACATATGACATTATCAAACCTACTTTAACATTTTTCAATTGGCTTTTTCATTTGGACAACAAAAATTCTAGAAAATCGGCTTTTTTATGCCAGTTACTCAGATGTCCCCCCTTAAAGATATAAGGATGCTTTAAATGTAATATAATTAAACCGATATTTTCAATAACAATATTTCAACTAGAGGTGGGAAAAAAATCGATTAAAATCGAAAATTGGAATAGTTGAAATTATATTTATGTATTCATTATAGATTTTTAGATTTGATTGTTTTACACATTTTATATATATGAATTTGATGTTTTTGAAAAGTGTTTTTAAAAGTCATCGAAAATTTGTCTAATTTTAAAGTTTTTCTGCATACTAATTTAAAGATATAACGATACTTTACAGCAAATATAATTTAACAGATATTTTTCGATAACAACAATATTTTAACTAGAATCGATTTTCTTTCATCTTTAATCGATTTAAATCGAAAATTTAAATAGTTAAAATTATATTTATCATAGATTCTAATTATTATAATTAAGAATAATACCTCAAAAATCGTAACTTTTCCACGATAAAATCGATTCTTAAAATTTTAATCAATGTATAGCATAACTGAAAAAAACCGATTAATTGATTAGTGAATCGATTATATTTCTAGCTCTATTTTTTAAGCTAAATCTGATATTTCAAATTTAGGATATTTTTGACAAGTTATTGAATTTCCCTATTAGCCAGGAGTTCCCTCCACCACTGCCAGAGCATTAACTGTATGACAAAGACCAGAAAGTGCTGCAGAACTTCAAGAAATCAGACTTACCTCATGAAGTTTCTCCTCGGCTGCGCGCCTACGCTTCAGCTCCTTGTCCCGCATGATCTTCTCGCGCAGCTGCTTCTGCTTTTCGATCTCCAGGCGGTAGTTGCGCGTCTCTTCATCCTCATCGCTCGGCTGCAAGCCAGGTATTTCGTTAGAGCCATGACCTATGTGTTATGTGGTGATTTCTTAACTTACCGCATTACGGCTGCCCGCGTCCGACGTCCGGCCGCGCGGCTCCCCGGAGAAGGGGTTCCGGTTGCCAGAGGCAGAGCTAGGGGAGCCACTGCGACGTCGCTTAGCTGGGGCAGCACCGGCGGATACTGCGCCACCGCTTGCTCCTTGACTACCACTGGCTGTACTTGTGCCACCGCCACCACGATTCTCGTCCCTGTCGCGGCTAGATGCTCGCCGGAATCCTCGGCTTCCCGCAGTCCTTCCAGTGGCGCCGCCATATCGCTCGCGATCACGTTCCCGATCACGCTCCCGGTCCCTCTCTCGGTCACGCTCCCGCTCCCGCTCGCGTTCTCTCTCCCTTTCCGTGCGCTTTACCGGCGAGTAGCTGCGTCCTCGGGAACGGCTGCGGCTGCGTGTTCCGCGCCGACGTTCGCCCGCCTGTCCAGAAGCAGCGCCCGACCCAGATCCTGTGCCTGCGGACGGAGGCGAGCGCTCCATACGCCGTTTCTCGAAGTATTGCCGGTTCTTGTTGATGAACTCCTCCTGCTGGCGCAGCAGCTCCGCCTCACTGTTGATGGCCGGCATGAAGTGCGTCTCCTTAATGAACTTGTTGGTGGCTGCCTCGACGCCGCCCTTGAAATTCGGATTGATGAGCACCTTGCTGACGCGCGGCACCGACGAAGAGCTTTGCTGCTGCTGCGACGGCGGCGGCGGTCCGTTCGGCGGTGGTTGCTGCTGTCCTGGATTGCCACCAACCTGCTGCTGTTGCTGCGACGGATGCCCCGGCGGCAGCTGCTGCTGCTGCAGCTGAGGCAATGGCTGTTGCTGCGACGACTGCTGCTGTTGCTGTTGCTGAGGGGGCGGTGGACCTCGCATTCCCATGCCATTGGCGTAGTTGGGCGGGGCTCCGGGCATCATGTGCGGCGGCAGGGTCTGCAGCGGAGGTCGCGGCATGCGCGCTGTGTCGCCCTGCGGCCGCCAGCCATTGTGCGGACGCATAAACTGCGGCGGATGCTGGGGCGGATGACCCTGGTCGTAGCCATAGGGCGGTGCATTGCGGTACAAGGGAGGTCGCATGCCTGCCGGCGATTGCTGAAGCTGATGCGGCCCAGGTCCCGGTCCCGGTCCTGGACCCAATAATGCTCCATTACGATAGCCACCTCCACCGCCACCGCCAGGATTAGGGGCATAACCCATTGGCGGCGGCTGCAATAGGCCCACACGCACCTGCTCGTGCGGATGCGGCAGCAGATGTGGCGGTCCGCCTCCGTTCGGATTGTGACCGTGACTGTGACTGTGGTGCATCATGTGCGAATGCGAGGGATTGTGGAGGGGAGAGGCGGCGGGAGCGCTGTGTGGCTGTTGTGTGTTGGTCGGTGCCTGTTGTGGTGACTGGTTGGGTGGCTGAGTTGGCGGGTACTGGCCTGGAATGGGAATGAATGTTGGCTTGTTCAGTGTCGGCTGTTGATGGGATGGATGTGCGGGATGGGCCTGGGGCAGCAGTGTGGAGAGGGTGAGCGGGGTGACGGGTAGGGATAGGGGAAGCAGACAGGCGGTAGGAGCAGGCGTGCTCATCAAGGCCAGGCGCTGCTGCTGCTGTGGAGCATTACCCGGCATGCCGTATCGCTGAGGTGGCGGTTGCATTCCTCCGGCCATCCCCATGCGCTGCTGCTGCTGCTGTACACCGAACATGGGCGAGGGATTGCGCAGCAGATGGTGCCGTGTCCCGATCCCGCGTGGAGGTTTTCCCATCTGATTCTGATTCTGCATGTAGCGTCCGCCTCCTCCGCCGCCGCTACCACGCTGTTTGTCTGCAATTTGAAGAGGAGAAAGGTGAGTTTAAGGATCTGGTCGGATGATTCTTGGCTCTTACCTGAGTGGCCGTGGTGTCGGCGCTGTTGCTGGTGCTGCTGGTAAGGCGACATGTGGCCATGCTCCTGCTGATGTCGCATATTGCTGTCGGCACGCTCGCTGGCCGTCTTGTAGTTAGTGCGCTCCTCGCGCTCCTCCTCATCCTCGCGCGGATCGGGCAACTCTGAGGCCACCGAGGCAGAGCTAACGCTAGGCAGGCTCTCCTGCGAGGAGGCCAGCAGCGAAGAGAGGCCCGTCTCCCCCTGGGCAGTAGTTTCTTCGCCGGCATTGTTTGCCTTTGGCACAGCCGCCTCTTCCTCTTGCTTTTGCGTAGTCGGTGCTTCCTTAGCTGGAGGCGGCTGATGCTCTGAGTTTGTCGTGGTGCTGGGATCAACTGTCACTAGCTGCTCTGCTACCTTCTCCTCCTCCACAACAGCAGCTGGAGTTTTCTCGAAGCTGGGCGGAATGCTGCTGGCGGCAGTGGGAGCGGGAGTGTAGGCTGGAGCAGGAGCAGCAGCTGGATTAGAAGCCGCAGCAGGAGCCGGGGCTGGAGTATAGGGTTCTGGGTCCGCGGGAGCGGCTTCCGTTGAAGGTGCTGCTGAAGGAGCTGAAGCTGAAGTTGAAGTTACTACTGCTCCCCGGCCAGCCTGCAGCTGCTCCTTGTGCTTGCGTTCATGCTGGCGTATCTGCTCTTGGGCCCACTCCTCGGCCTCTGCGCGCATCTGCTGCTTCACCTCGTTGGTGACATCCTTTTCGAGCTCTAAAAAGGGAGAGAGTACACAGAAGGCAGGTTCTCAGATCAAGATCGGGTTCGGGTGCAGAGAGCTTGGGGCACTTACCTTCGTCCGAGAGTAGCAACTCGTCCTCGTCGGCGCCGAGCAGGGTCTGGTCATCGATGTCGTCCCCCAGTTCGTAATTGAGCAGGTCATCGCTGCGGGAGAGAAAGAGAGCAAAAGGAAGCCAAGGTGAGATTCTCTTCCCTGCGAATTTTGTATTCGAAATTCCATTGAAAAACGAACGAGCGCACGCACACACTCTCCCCGGGGGCATTCACTCACACCCACACACACTAGGGCAAACACCTCGAAAATGTTATACACATGAACGCACTCGTACTCCACACGGCGGGCACGCACACACACACCACCCACCGCACTCGGCGTGGGCAACGGTTAACGATCGCGGCACAGCGGCTTCAGGAGCAGCTTGGGCATCCCTACCGCCGCACTATGCATATTTCACACTTTTCCCCCCACGGACACTTACTTAATGTCCGACATTTTGACTGCGGCCAGCCAGGGCAGCTGTTGACACTCAACGACGGCGGCGACGGCGCGGGGGAGTCAGTGTATGTTATTTAGAGAAGTAGAACGGCGACCCTCTACTTGCACGGCCCTCTTAAATGCATTTTGAGCTGTTTTCCAGATGCTAAGCAGCGGAAATGTATGCAAAAACTTCGTTTCTTTTTTTCACACAGTGTCACTTTTCAGAGGGATGCAATAGTGTGGCCGCATTCCGCAAAATCCGATATCTTTGCCCGAAACTCCGTCTAAAGCGGTAAAGTATGGCTGGTCACACGCCATAAAATTAAATTATTTTTGTTAAATATATAAAATAAATATTATTAAAGGCAGTGTTTTTAAAACGACGCCACCGGAAGAGTTTACACTTTATATATTTATTAAAATTTAATTTTTAAAAAACAAATATATTCGGGGTATTCCCTTTATCGACTGAATCTGGGTATTCCCCTGACGATTGAATGATTGAAAATATCGGCAGCTGAAAACAGCCTATACGATATTTTCGGTCATTTAGCTACCCCAAGTTGCTAAATTAAAGCTTTTTATTGCTAAACTAAAGGTTCATTAGCTTAAAATAATAAATAAAGTAATATAGGAGAATTTACTGTTCTGGGTCGTTCCCTTCACCGCTGAAAATATCGCCTAAGTATCGCGAAGCATACTACTTTTAGTAATTTAGTCTTTTAGTCAGGGGAATACCCATATTATATAATGTTATATCGTATTTATGGTGTATTTATCGAAATATATAAACACGAAAATACTTTAATTTAATAAATATATATTTATGCAGTTATATCTATTATTTATATATAAATTTTGTGTTTAATTCAACGAATTACCAAAGATATAAATACATCGATAGTATCGTGACAGAAGAAAACATCGATAGCGCCGCCTATCGATAGTAGCGATGCTTCGCTCTTCTTCTTTTCTCTAATTGCCGGGACGCCGACATTCGCTAACTTTTGTTATTTGCAAAAATATTCTGCAAAGTTTGCAATCAGACGGGAGCAGCATGTCGGACGTGCCCAAGAAGCCCGATCTGGGCGGCATCGCCGTCGAAGACGACGACGACAACTTGCTGGAGAGGCTTACAGCTTGCCAGAAGGAGGCAGACAAAATACACCTGGAAATTTGTGACGAGATGCTGCAGGTGGAGTCCAAGTACAACAAACTGCGCAAGCCCTACTACGAGAAACGCAGCGATTTCATCAAGAAGGTGCCCAACTTCTGGATGACCGCCATCATGAACCACCCAAAGGTTGCCTGTATTCTGGACGAGGATGAGGAGGATTGCCTGCACTCGCTAAGCAAACTGGTGGTGGAGGAGAGCGAGGATATCAAAAACGGCTTCCGTATCATCTTCCACTTCAATGAGAATGCCTACTTTGAGGACCAGGTGCTCACCAAGGAGTTCTTTTGGGAATCCAATTCCACCAGCACGCCCATCAAGTGGAAGGAGGGCAAGAACCTGCTCCAGCAGGTACTAGCGAAGCCCTACGACAGGGAGCGTCGCTCTGAGTACAAATCCTTCTTCGACTGGTTCTCGCACGATGCCGACTACGTCAGCGACAAGATCGCCCTAATTTTAAGAGACGAAATCTGGCCGAGCCCTGTCAAGTACTATAAACTGAAGGATATTGGACAGGAGCCCATGGATGCAGGAGATGAGGGAAAATAAGACTTGAACTTGTTGCCTTTCCTTCAATAAATAAGCTCGTACCAATGTATATATAGTAACCCTATATAAAATTGTGTTATTTTTCTGGCGGTATGTGAAAGGCTTCGCTTGGAGATCTAGTATGTTGAAGTTCCAGGAACTTTGGGCTTCCCAGGAATTTCAAGTGCATAAAAACAACTGCATATGTCCATATGTTAATTGTCAAACATTAGGTTCAAAGTTAATTTTTAGTTTTGCTGCTTTTATTAAAATAATTTTAAAATTGTTATCTTCAATTTGAATTGCGATTTTAATCGTACACACTCCCAGCATTTTGCCACCACTAGCTCCCATACATTTTCGATACCTAAACGCAGAATAAATAATATCGATATACCCAGATATATGTGTTGCCCATCCCCAGGCAACTTTCAAAGGCAACAACAACATGACTGTTGTTCAAAATCACCGCAAATATTGTATTTCCCCCAGTTAGTAACCGAGCCAGCCGCATAAAACAATGACGACCGACGAGAGCATAATGGAGGAGATGCTGGGTGCGTAGAACCTACGGCTGGGCAGGCGTAAATTCCAAAGGAAACCGCTAATACGGCTCCGTTGCCGCTGCCTCTTTTTCTTCCCCTTCCTCTACCCTTCTGCAGATAGAGCAACGAATCCGGCAAAGGAAAGAGTTGACGAACTGGGCGTGCAAATGTTCTGCATTGTGGTCCGCAGCAATGGCCAGCTGGTGCACAAGGCGCAGGAGATGATTGTGGCCAAGGTGCGATCGGCCAACGTAACCGAAGCCACCCGGGCCATTTCGGTGAGTTGGGTGGGTTTTTCTGACCCCTTTTCCCCCCATTTCCACGCTACAACCATTAACCGCTTTAGTGGGTGTTGTCGGTAAAGGGGGTATAATCACACACACACATGTGTATGTGCACACACGCACTTGTGTGGCTGCGCTGGATTCGCAAACGTTATCACTGCCTTTGTGGTCGTAAAATGGGCCTGTATTGTGGCCAGGTTCGATGCATATTGGAGGAAGGCAACAACAAAACAGCTAAAATAATATTAAATATGCTGTAGAATTAGTTCTTCTTCTTTAAAACTTGGATAAACAATCAAGAAAGCCGAAAGCAAGTGTAAAATATTTATGTAAACATTTATTTATGACAAAGCTATGGGGAAAAAGTAGGGTTTTTATTATTTTCTACCATATTTGATAGCTCTAGCTTTTATAGGCTGTGAGATCGATGATCCTGATCAAGCAAATATATCATTTTTGGCATTGTAAAAGCTCTCATCTGTCTAATAAGTTATAATAACCTCATTACCCATAAGAAACCGTCCATAAAAACATTTTAAATTCCAAAGACTGCTCTCTCAAGGCTACGGCTTCCACATTTCCCAACTGTTACAGCTCCTAGAGGAGTGCATGACCCAGTGCGGCGACGAGTTTCAGGACGAGGCCGCCAAGTTTCGCTTTCTAAACGAACTGATCCGGCTGGTGTCAAAGAAGTACAAGGGTGCCGAGACCCCGCACGAGGTTAAGCAACGGATCATGGAGTGCCTGCTGCTCTGGACTACCGAGTTTCCGCAGCGCCAGAAGATCCGTGATGCCTACGATATGCTGCGCAAGGAGGGTGACATCGAGCATGGCACCACAGAGGCGGCGGTGGCCAAGCGCGAAAGCGTCCTGGGTACCATCGACGAGGCCATGTTCGCCAAGCTGATCAAAAGCAATAATCCGGAGAACTTCAAGCGGGCCAATCTGTTGCTGCAATACCGCATGGCTCAGGAGGCGCGCCGCAATGATCTGTTCGCCCAACACCGCCTGGTGCTCAGCGAGGTTCAGGAGACGATGCAGCTGCTCAACCAGATGCTGGACACCTACGATCCCTCCAATCAAGATGTCAACGAGACGCTGCATGAGCTCTACAAGATCTGCAAGAAGCACAAGCCCATCTTCCAGCATCTGCCGCAGCTGCTGGACAATTCCGATGCCCAGCTAGTAGGTGGGTGTCGAGCACGTACAGTATTTAATGTCCGCTTGCCATATCCCTCTTGCTCTCCCTAGCCGACACTCTGGACGCCAACGAGGCCCTGCTGTCCACCATGCAACGCTACAAGCAACTGGTGCCCTCACCAACGAATATCTCGGCTCCGGGTTTGCCCATAACTACATCTACTAGCGCTGGCACTGCCACTTTGACGACACCGTCAGGCTCCAGCAATGCCCTCCTGCTCAACGAACTCCTTGGTGATTTACTTATCAATAGCGGAAGCAGCGGCTCAGGCACAGCCTCAGCCAAGGAATCGGCTACCATCACACCCCCAGTGGCCGCCAGCAATAATTCCACTTCGACGGGAGCGGGAAACCCCCTGGCTGACCTCAACGACATCTTCAGCAGCGCCTTGGCCGAAAGCGAGGCCAAGCTTAATCAGCCTACATTCCAGAATGCGAGCACATTGCTTGAGCCTCAGGTTCTGAGTCCCACCTCCACCACCGTCGAGGGTTTGGCCAACGGCAGCGTGAGCGACTCGGGCCAAAAGGCAGGAACCACTGCCAGGAAGATGCCCCAGATCGATATGCTAAGCGAGGAGCTCTTCCAGCAGATATTGCCCACTCAAGAGCGTATGACCAGCTTCAAGCGCGATCCTGAAAAGATTACCCTCAATGATCTGGCCCGGGACAGGATGCACGTAAAGGTGCCGTCCGATATGGAGGAAAAGAATGTGAAGCAGCCTGCTCCCGCCAACGACCCGGTTGATGATGTTCCTTTGCTTGAAAGCGAGACAGTGAGCAAAGTGGAGGAGGAAGCGGTGCCCAAAGTGGAAGATCTGGTGGTGGCCAAGCCGCTCAGCGAGATTCACGTGGACCTGGACAATATCCAGGCCACCGGGGAGCAACGCACCGTTCTGGACGATGATGACATGCAGCTCAGTTTGAACTTCACCAGCGATCGGCCCGGCCATCGTGTCTCGGTGATTGTGATATCGGCCCAGAACAAGAGCCGCCAGCCTGTTCGTGATTTTCAGTTCGAGGCGAGCGTGAAAAAGGTGAGTGGGGAAAAGCTTTCGAGGAGCGTTTATTCATTTCCATTCTCTTTTGCCAGCCCTGCAAGGTGCGTCTGTTGCCGCCCACCAGCAGCGAGATGGCACCCCACAAACCCTTTCGCCCGGCCACGCCCATTAACCAGGTGATGCTGCTGCTGAATCCCACTGGCAAGGCCGTCGACGTTACCTGCATCGTGGGCTACCAGCTGGGTGAGGATCCCGATCCCATCAAGGAGTCCGTGGTGGCCCTAGGCATACCCTACGCCGATTGAATCCCGTCCGCAATAACCAAAAAAAAAAAAAGAAAACAAGAAAAAGTCAATTGCTTATCCCCTCCCATCCCTATTTCTTATGGCGATCTAAAAGATTATTTGGTTTACTTTCCTTTAATTTGTAATGTTGTGTTGTGTATTATTCAAATTGTAAACTTTTGCACACATGATTTAGTCTTAATATAATAATATAATGTAATAATTATGTATCAAAGGTTTATATATATAAATTATTAAAAAGTCGCTACAAAAGCCAAGCGCTAATTTCCAGAGGTAGTAGTCACACGTTTTCTCACTGATCGCACCGTGCGTTAGAGCGGATGCTTCAGTTCTGGTTGGAGTCGTAATAAATGCCACACAACTGCCTCCAAAAATGGCCTTTAAGTCCATCCCTTGCAGGATGGGACCGGGACTAGGACCCTCCCGGTTAGCTTGCTAAATCTATAGCCAATATATACTACTGCTAGTGCAAACTTACCACTTACTGGCTACTATTTACCCACAATCTCATCCTTGAAGGACAGGGCAGTGATGGCCTTCGTGTGGCCCGTGTAGTCCCTTATCGGACTCCTTGTCTCCAGCTTCCAGAGGCGCGCCACGCCGTCCGAGGAGGCGGTAAAGAGCCATTTGGAATCGGCACTGAAGGCCGCATCCCAAACCCAATAGTTTTCGATGCACAACTCCCCACACTTACTGAAGTCGGGCGTCTTCCAAACGCCAACCGTTCCATCACCAGAGGTGGTGAGCAGCAGCTTGGAATCGGGACTGAATTTGCAGCGCAGAATGTAGCGCTTGTGGGCCTTTATCGGCTTGAAGGGCCTCAGGGTGCTCATCTTCTGGTCAGGACTGCTGGTCAGCGTCCAGATGTAGCAGTTGCCCTTGTTGTTGGCCGCGGCCAGGTAGCGACCATCCGGCGAGATTGCCACATCCTGGATGGAGGCATCCACCTCGGGCACGATCCGTTCGTGCTTCTCGGACTTGACGTCCCACAGAAAGACGCTGCCGTTCTGCGAGCCCATGCCGATTTCCACTTGATTTGGATGCAAACAGGCGGAATTCACCGGCGCCTCGCAGTCAAACACTCGGGAGCAGTGCGGTGGAGCCGATATCATGTCCCAGATTCGAACGTGATGATCCTCGCCGGCTGTAAACATCCAGTTGCCATCCTCCTGGAAGCCCAGGCGCGTCACATTCTTCTGGACGCCGTCGAAGTTGATTACCGGCGCCGTGCAATTGGATTCCAGGTCATACAAGCGGATGCACTGGTAGCCACAGGCCGCCAGTCGGGTCTTATCGGGTGTCCTGTCCAAAGCGTTCACTTGCTGCAACCACAATACATAGAATCCATGTTGTTGCAAAGTTGTAAAGTTTTAAGGTCCACCTACAGATGTTTCCACAAAGCGCATCGTCTTGATGCAGTTGCCGGTGTGCGCCTGCCACACCTTGATCGTGTGATCATATCCGCCGGTGGCCAGGATCAGTTGTTGTTGCTGTTGGTCCCCCATATTTCCACAAAACGCCGCCGTACCACCTATTTCAGCCAGATGAGTGTGGCTCTCCCCCTAAAAATCTCAAAAAGTTGAAATTTCCCCCTAAAAAATCCACACCTGATACTCGAACCTCAGCTGATACTCGAACCTCAGCTGATACTCGAACCACATCACATACTACACCCTCTGACGTAGTTCGCTATTTTAACGCCAGATGGCCTCTCTCCCGATTTAGCAGATCGCTTAACTATATCTTACAGCTAGCATACAATATCCTAAGACTTTGTTTTCTAAGTAGAAGAAATTATTATTAAAACCCAAATTCATTTCAAGCCCACCTGTTGGTATTTATTTAAGACATCACTTCCTCCCCCAACTGGGCCCGCCCTCATAGTGGGCTATATCTTGCAGAGTTAAGCTAGCTTTCAGCCTGATTAAATTCGGCATTATTTTTACCTTTTGATCCAGCCGGCGCAGATACTCTCGTGGACCTATGATGATTGTTTACTTAGTTTAATGTGTCATTTTTATTAATCCCCCGGATTAGTGAGAAAAACGCTTGCGGCCACAACAACGGGAGTGCCACACCCCTTTACACACACAGCCACCCAGCCGGCCCCTTTGCCTCAATCGGTTGACATGGTGACCCGGGAAATAAACCGAGAACCTGCCTCTGGCTTTTGGTTCGCTGCGGAATGGAATACATTCATTTAATTACAATTTGATTCAATAGAAAGGACACGGAAAGGGGTGGGAGTCGGGGACTTTGTAGTGACAACTACGCTCTGAACTAGCAGCTAGGCAATTACTAGTAAGTAACTACAGAGATTCCTTTTAACGTTATTTTTAAGCTTTTGCGTCTTTATTTAAAGAACTAAATACATTACTAAAATTACATTTACATTACATTTTTCTGTACATCTACCGATCGTTTCTATGGCAGCTATATGATATAGTCGTCCGATCCGGTCTGTTCCGACCTATATAGCAGTGAGAATATTCAGAAGACTATATGCAAAGTTTCATTCAGAAAGCTTCAAAACTAAGGGACTAGTTTGCGTAGAAACAGACAGACGGGCATGACTAGATCTACTTGGCTGTTGATGCTGATCAAGAAATGTCCTCCTTCACTACGTTGCAAACTTCTGACTGAAACTATAATACCCTGCAAGGGTATAACTAAACTTTTTTAACTACAGATAGTTTGTTTAAATTTTATATTATAGTCTAGATTTTAGGGTAAAATAATACTTTTAAAAGCTTTTAGACAAGATAAAATGTAATTAAAATTATTTGAAAATATTTTAAGGTATATATATGATATTTCACTTATAAACTAATAAAAGAACTATCTAAAGTACATTAATCTGGCCATGCCTTACGCCAAGTCTTGGAAAGTAATTTTACATGGTCGAGGCATTGATATTAATTATAGAAAAAATATACTTCTAATTAAAAATTAACCTATTTTCAGCTTAAATATATATAGGTACATCCTCATGGCCTCAACCTCCTTTTAACCCATTTAACTTTCGCTGCAAATCTTGGACCTAATGCTGACATGTGTGTGAAAGCAGATACGGATGCAAAGAGCGCACTGACAGATACAAATTCCCGCTGCGGTCGCCGCTTGTGGCCTTTGTGCTCAATGGGCGGCGAATAGATACAAGATACAAGGAGGCCGGGGGTAAATGAAGTGGGCCGGACATGTGGCATATTATTCGCATTCAGGAGTCGGTAGTCGGTAGCTGGGATTTGCTGCCTTTAATAATGATGATAATAATAATAATAATGCGGCATCGATTCCGCTGGGACCTTTGGGCCCCGGTAACCCCGAACTTTCCGGATGAGACGGGGCGTAAAATGGAAAGCCCGGTCATGCGTGTGAACGGGTGCGGTCTGTCCTCCCCCTCCCAGCCTTTCATCCCAGCCCATCGCCCGCTAATAGAAAATCTATTAGCGCTTACAGGAGGAGGAAAATCAAGAAGGGGGATGAGGATGTTTGTATGTTGTTTGTTTTTAATAATATATTTTTTATTAAATGATTTTTTTAGTTGGAATTCATTTCTAAATTTCTTTTTTTTTAGGTGTAGAAAATAAAAAGAAAGTGCCGACGGGCTAGAGAGTTGAAATTAGAGACCTGTTGGCTTGAAGCTTGTATGACTGACTGACGCTTCGGTGGGACAGATTGTCTGACAAACTGACAAACTGACAAACTGACAGACTGATGGATATATTGGAACCAACCGAAGCCCAAATATAGGTAGGAGAGGGTCTCCCATGTGGGAAACCTTGTCAAAGAGCGTGACAACCAGTAGTTTGAAATCAACGTCTACAAAAAATATACATATATAATATAAATAATATGTATTATATATTTAAACACAAGTATTTCCAGGGTTTATATTCGCATATATATTATCTATCGTGGCCTGGCATTTTCTAAATGTTTTAAACAAATATTAAATTACTTGTGCTTCTTGGCTAATGGAAAATCTGACCCATTTTTAACTCTTAAACGGACTGACAATAAAATCTCCGCTTACCCTTACCTCCCACTCCCCTTGCCCTGCAGAATTGTTTACATTTTCACGACGAGAACGTGGCGAGCACCATCAATCGCAGTTTGTATTGTATTTAAGTAATTGGAGGGTAAAATGTGTTTCCAATTTGTAGTACCTATTCGAGTAACATTTTCCCCCTAGTTTTTTGTCTGCCTTCCTCTGTTGCACTGCGAGAAAATGTTGCTTGCATTTTCTGATGTATCTAAAAAGTGGTAAATATTTTATAGAATTTTTAAAACAATTTTTAAGCAAGGTATAATTTTTAAATGCGAGGTAAACTATATAATTAAAGATGGACACTTATTTTTAAAGGAAGCCATATTTTAATTTAAGAAAATAACTAATTATTTATATATTTAATTGTTTCATTAACCAAGATAGAAATACATTTTTTTATTAATAATCTTAGTTAACAACTTTTTAGAAAGCTAACCAAATATATATTAATTAATATATATATATAGTTAAATAATAATTTATTAACACACTTATTATAATTAAATGCTTTTTTTTTTCTAGTGCATTGTAACAGTGAGCGGAAAAAGTAACCGGCAACAGCAATAAGATTGAAAAAGTATTGAATTACATTTATACAACATTTGGTTGAATGGCTTTCGCCAGCGAGGGGGTGTCGGTGGGCGCTAGGCGGTGGGTGGTGGGTGTCTTTGGGCCGGTCGAGTGTTGCGGTTAGAGTTTCCTTTTGTTGGCCTGCTGGGTGCCATGTGGGCGGGGTGGTTAGGATGCGCCGCCTGCCGCTCTTGTTCTTGGGGTTCGTTCGGGTTTTGGCGATTAACGTGAATACCTCGGTTCCGTTGTCCCCACCCTCCCGGCTCTCCTTCGCTCAGTGTGTGTTTTGTGGCTTCTCCGGGCGTCTGGTCTAGATGCACGGCAAAAAATGGTGTACCAGCAAGCTAGTCAATTTTCGAAAATATTTATATTTCAAATGATTAAGATTTTTTCATATATTTTATTTTTATGGACGGAAGACCCGATATGAGATAGATCTATTTGAAAAAGGCTTGAAATATTTAATTCTCGATCCGCGACGAGGGCAGGGAACCACTTACTTTATCAGGATATCTTTGCACATGTGCGCATAGAAAATCAGGCCATTCTGAAGAATATGACGTAGATTACCAGGGCCACGATCAAGGGTCTATTGCATTGCGGATCGCAAACAAATACATGCCGACATGCTGGGGGAACTTGTAAGAGCACATAGGTATCCAGGGAGCCAGGAGCATGAACTTGAAAAGACGCCACTTGGTGAGGCGTTGGGGCAGCATCATCACCGTGGGCATCATGGCCAAGGCGGTCAGCAGCAGGGCCTTGATCATGGTGATCTCTATATGTCCGGGAAGCTATATGAGACGCTGGGCACTGATTTGTACTAGAAGCGCAGCTTTATCTCGACCTCGGGAGCAGCGGCAATGGATGTCAGGAGCGCGGCTCCATACAGCAGCTCGATTAGCATTGTTCACGTGCGTTTTGAAGTTGTTATTCTTAAATTATATACATATATATTTATATATTTATATTTATTCTCAGTTTACTGAAATAAGGGTAATTTTAGTCAGAAATTTGCAAAAACTCACTAAAAGAATCATTTCTGGCTGAATAAATTATGTATTTTCATGATCAGCATCGACAGCCAAGTGGATCTAGCCATGTCCTATAGAAAAAAATGGGTAATTTTTTTTTTAATTATATACGGTCGTTAAAATCTTAAAAAATTTTCAAAAATTTTGATATCTTAAAATTTCTCTGTGTGTAATTTGAAATATTTTATGATTTTTTATATTTTGATTTGTCCCAAAAATTATATAATAATAAAATAATATACCTAAATTTCCATTTAAAGACAGGGTATTATAGTTTTTGCATGTGAAGGAGTAATTCTCGACCCCGTAAAACATATATATTCTTGATCAGCATAAACAGAGGCACCTTTCTGGCCATGTCTGGCAAAAAAAAATTATTACTAATATTTTCGATTTTTTTTTCATTTTATTTTCCTTTCATTTTTATTTACATCAAATTTCTTTAGGTGTAGGCAAAAAGACAACAAGGAACGGCGGGGAGTGGGGTAACAGGATGTGAGGAACGTCGAAACGGAACAGAAGTGAAGTGGACCGAAGGTCGATTCCCGCAGGAATCGCTGAGAAAATTCATTAGTTGCCCATTTTTATGCTATTTTATTTCAATATAAAAGACGCACGCATGCATGCATTTAGTTTGGACCATTCTTTGGCCTGCTCCTGCTCCCGCTCCTCCTCCACCTCCTCCTACTCCTACTCCTACTCTTTCACCTCCTCCTCCTTTGCCTCTGCCTTTGCTTTATTATGCCGTTTGACGCAGCAGACACACATTAAAATTGTAACAGCCCAGGAAAAGGAAAATGAAAATGGAAAGCCAGAGGAGGAGAAGAAGGGTAAGTAGTTGTGACAACCTGGAGGGTAAAAAGGACAGGTAGTGTCCTGTCAATTTGTTAGTTA